GTTGGTGATCAGGATGGCCTAAGGTTTAAAAAGATAAGGCAAACGTTAATTAGTGGCTGGACAATCAGTTTTTTTTTTTTTTTTTAAAACGGAACAACCGGGCTTGGAAGGAAACTTTTAGAAAGTGAAAGACCCGTGATTGACTGCCAATGCTAGTCTGCGACAGGGTCCGGGGCAGGTTGGTCGGCGAATGTCGACTCACCCGGATAGACAGGAGGACTACCGGTACTTCCCAAGGACCTTCTGCGAAGCTGATCATAGGGCTGCGAGTGATGGGACATTTCTCGAGACATGGGGAGGGGTGGCCCTGAAGCTGCAAAGCGTCATGGAGAAGTCAGGTCAGTTCTGGCTGTGAGACTCAGAGAGAGTGAGAGAGCGAGAGAGCGACAGAGAGAGACGGAGAGAGTGTGTGAGAGAGAGAGCGAGAGAGACTGAATTGTCTGGAGACGGGGATCAGTTGCCGTTTCGGGGAAAGCTGCAGGAGTCACGGGACCTTCTTTTTTTTAGGGATTTTAGCGCACGTTGGCCGGATCCGCGCTAGTCCCGAGACGGCATGGCGCGTCCAACCTTAAAAGGGGTTAGCGTTGGGTTGCGGTTGGCTGGAGCCAAATATAGCTTGTTGCTGTTGCTGCAGCTTGGTACCTGGGAGCCAGCGAGTTGCCATGTGCTTGCGTCGGGAGTCGCGCTCTGGCGTGGAAGCCCGGATCGGAAGAAACCGCTAGGTTTGAGCCACGCGAGAGCCACTGTTACGGCGTGAAATGGGCCATGGAACCTCCCCGTCATGGTGGGCGTGTGGAAAATAAACAAAACAGCGAAACCTCTCGTCGCTGCTTGGATGGTCTGTGCGCAGCAGCTTCGAAACGGCGCACCAAAAGGCAAGGACCTTTTTTTTTTTTTGGCGACATCCAGAGACAAACAAACAGGACACAGGGATACACAGGTGCAGTGATACGTTCTTGATTAAAAATTTTGCTCACCTTCATGGTGTATGGTGCCGTAGTCTCTTGACAGACGCCGGCCGTGCTTCCCACCCACTTCGCGCGGAGAGTGTGCCGGCGGTCTATAGGCAGGGTACGAGTCCGGAATGGGAGGTGTGGCGAGATACGACGTCGAGGACGACGACGAGGAGGGCTGCGTGCAGCTGGAATGGGGAGTGACATCGCGGGACAGATATCGAGAAGGGTAGCGCACCGAGGCTGGCGGCGTTGGCGGGGGTCCACGCGCTGAGATGTCGAGTTGTTCTCTTCGACTCAACGGATCGTAGGGTTGCTGCGATCGACCGTTGGCTATGTTCGTCGCCGCCGGGCCGAACAGGCGAGAAGGGAGAGACGGGAGTGAAGATGCGCGTGGGCCGCCCAAGGGTGATGGACGCGAGTAGGAAGGCTGAGGAGGCGGTTCCATGGCGGAAAAGAAGTGGGATGGGACGCAGCACCGAGCGACGCAACTCCAAAAAAGTTGGAGCACCTAGGGGATGAGATGCATAGATTTTCTGCCTAGAAGAGAAGTCTGCAAAGGAAATAAGCTGGGATGACTGCGGTGTCCTGGTTGTGGTACAACGTTGCCGCCTATTGGAGGCCACAGTTCAACGAAATAATGATGACGATGATGATGATAATGATGATTATGATGATGACGATGGAAAACTGACGGTCAGATTGTCAAGAGGAATACGGGTGGTGCAAGAGGCGATGTGACAAGGGTACCTGTTGTTGGCTGCAGAGGAACAAAAAGAAAAGTCGAAGACGGAAAAAGAAGAATGGTTGGTTAATAATAGCAAAAGAAAGGAAATAAAAAGAAAAAAAAAAAAAAAAAAAAAAAAAAGGTCGAAGCGCACGGAGAAAAAAATAAACAAAAGTCGAAGCATGCAATAGCTCCCAATTAGGGTGGGCTTGATCTCCCCAACCGCGCGTGAACGGGCTGAAAAATTTGTCTGGGAGATTGACGCAGAAAAAAAAAGCAAAGACGGGGAAAAAGCAAAAACAAAACGACTGCGATGGTGGCCAAGACCGGGGCCGCACTGGAGGGGACAGGGAATTCTCGGCAGGCTAAGCTTGACGAGATGGAGAGCGAGAGGGAGAGAGAGAGGGGGGGGAGAGAGAGAGCCAGGGGAGGATGGGGACTGGGTGGATGAAGTTCCCGAAGAGCCGAAGGAAAAGGCACAAACGCCCGACGTGACAGCTCTGGAGGGAACAAAGAAGCTCTACAGTACTCCGTGCATCCTCCGTACATGCACACATCCAGATGAGGATCTTCTGAACCCAACAAGGAGCAGAGTGATTACCGACGTGCAGTCTTACGCATCGCACCCTGACACATTTGGAGCGGTGGTGGTGGTGATGGTGATGGTGATGGTGGTTGGGCCCGGGGGATATGGTGGAGTTAGCGACGGACATAAAATAAATTCTCCCGGTGCAGAAACACAGAAACTCAGTCTTCAGGCAGCGAGATCGTCTTTGTTGCTGGGCACCTTCCTCGCAGCGTGCAGAGAGCGTTCTGGGCCCAACTTACTCCGTACTGATTCCCATCGAGGTCACTACTTTCCCTTTTGACCTATTGGATCTTTTGTTATTGGTCGCTTTGACATATTTATTTTATTTATTTACAGAGTACTCCGTACTCCGTACTTTTCTGTTTAATTCCTTTTTTTTCCCACTCTTTTTGAGTGTTGGTCTCTTTCCTTCTTTCCTTCTTCTTCTTCTTCTTCTTCTCTTGGTCCTTCCCTCCTCCGTCCTTGCCTCTTGCCCCTTTCAAAAAAAAAAAATAAATAAATAAATAAAAATAAAATAAATAAAAAAAAGAAAAGGAAATTCAAGCCCAGCCGAACACGTCATTGCCTCGGTGCACTCTTTCCAGATCAGGAATCGCCAAAATAAGAGTTCACTGTTGGGTGTGGGTCCCGGGTCCGGGGAAATCAAATTTTCCCCTGGCTTGCGCTAACTCTAAACTCGGCTTAGCGGCTCCGGCGAACCTTGCCCGCTCAACTCACTTTTATCCCTACCTCACCACGGGAGTGATCGCCAAACTCGCAGCCGGCCGGACCAAGCCCCAGCGGCAGCTGTTCCGTCAAAAGCTGCCTGCAGGTCCCTCTCTCCCGGAGTTCTCCGTGCTTGGTCATTTTTCCAAGCTACCACGGTCATGCAGACTTGAAGATCACTTCAACACAGAAAGTAGATAGATTGATTGCATCATCATCATCATCATATCATCGACTGGCCAACCGATAAAGCCCAGTTTTGTGTCTCAATCCCCTGACAACTCTGTCCTCCGTGGACATACATACATACATATGCAGGCACAACCTGGTGACCTCACAGAGCAGGGCGAGTTTTTGTCAACTGGTCCAGATAATTGTTTCTCAACTCGCATCTCGGGTGACACGCTGTTGTACGGAGTACTCCGTACCAGTAGTTGTATTTTTATTTATTTATTTATTCTCTTTTTGCCCCCTTTTTTTACGTCTTCTAACTGCTGCCCCTCGATTGTCTCCGTCGCACAACACCGTGCATCGGGGTTAAACACCCTCCGTCCCCTCCTGTCCATAAAACAATTCTCCCTCTCTCGTTTTCTTTTTTCTTTTCTTTTTTTTCTTTTCTTTTTTTTGGGGTCGCCCGTATATGCATGGTCGCGTGGGAAAGGGGGGTGATTTATTTTTCTTCTTCTTGTCAATAGCAAGAACTCAAGAATAACACCCCTCTTGATGTACAGAGTATCGCCAACAGACATCCTCCCCCTTTGGTTTCCCACAAAAGCCCTCCTTTCAATTATTGTCCCCATGACCTGCCCTTCAACTCCCCCTCCCTCCCTTTTCTATTCTCTGCCTCGAGTGAACCTCCCCAACATCCTTTAATGAGTCAAAGTCCGTTGCAGATAGACCTGGCGAAACCCGAGGCATACATGACACGTCACACCGCGAATGCGCTTTTCCCATTTACCCGCAATATGCACCGTTCCGAGGTCTTTCACGGCTGTGTATGTATGTAAGTACCCTTTAGTCTGTTGAGAACGATGACTGCATGTCTCCGCCCCCACGAGCCGCAGTCTATGTAATATTCCGGATTACGCCCCGCGGTGGGAGACGAAATCGCTTTACGGGAATACTCTCACCAAAAAAATAAAAATAAAAATAAAAATAAAAATAATAAAAAATAAAAAAATAAAGTCAAGTTTCATTTCCTCACATTATTGACTAGGCTTTATACGTACAGTACGGAGGACACAAAGAAATCTATGAGAATTGAGCTCCATACCAACTAAGCTTTGCATTTATCCGTTTTCAACACCTCCCATTACTTATGTTCATTGCATGAAGATTGACCAGCATATCCGTCAAGTCTCTTCTCCCATATCTGTTTAACGTATTTTGATATTCGGAGCTCTGCTTCTGAGCCCTTTGTCACCCTATCAGACAAGTTCGTTGGTCTGCATCAATTCCCTCTTAAAGGGGGGAAAAAAAAATAAGGACAACGTTATACGGCAGCCGAGGGTGTCGCCACCTTCGAAAATCCATCATGGAACTTGTGGGGTTTACCGATCAACCTCACTCGATTGCTGTTCTTCTAAGAGAGCTTCTCTCTTTTTTTTTTTTTTTTCTTCTTCCGCCATGCGGTCTGCCGGAAATGGCCTTGCCCTTGAACCTTCCTTCAGCTCAAGTCCAAAAAAAAGGGCCGTGGTGGCATTTTTGTATAGAGTCAAATTAACTTCCCCAAAAGTCATATAGTATGCTAGCTGTCTTGATATGTAAACTATTGGCCGTAAGCAGTTCTTCCTGGCTTGATTGAAAGGTTCATGTATCCCCCTTGTTTCGGTTTGCGGGAGTTAAGAAGCCTTCATGTTGTTTCCTATCAGTGAGGCATTATCATTGAATTTAATTAAGGAGAAGCAGCACTCAGCACCCCCTTGGAGAATTTAATGGATCAGTCCACCAAAGACCACGCGCACACAAGTTCTCATAATGCTTTTTGTAAAACCTCAAAATATGTCGTTGGTATGTTTCACACTCATCACTGGTCCACCTCTGAATCATATGCTCTCATGCGGCGTGATGGATGGAGGGCAGCAGCCACAGCTAGCAGCTCACCCTTTGGATGCTCAGTATCACCATAGTATTTCTGGAATTTCAAGTTGGCAGCTTTGATAGCTTCTTGAATGTTCTCTCTTTTTATAAACTGTTGGGCCTTGTCCTCCTCTGTTTCTATATGCTGGAAAAGATGATTGTAATTTGTAGGTTGCCCATACCAGATGAATTGTTGGACCTGTTGTTTTGGGCAGTAGCTTGGTAAATCAACTGAATGGCTGCAACAGGCTACAGCCCAACCATATACCATTAGCAAATTTCGTTACCTTTCTAAGAGTATTTGCAAATGTGTCCGTTGATGCTAGGTCATCAGTAATTGAGCTCTCATCAAACATGGGGTGTGTGACGCACCCCATGTTTGGGATCATTATCGTGGCGTTGTATTCATGCTGTTTGTGCAGCGTCAGGTATTGGTCTTTGTTTTTTTATATATTTTTGTACTCTCTTCTTATGTTATTTACATATGTGTATGGCATAGTTATGTCTGTTCGGCAATTGAGACCAGGTACCGGCTTCGTTGACCTCTAGGTGTTCGTGGTCCTCTTGAATTGCCGCATTAAGAATACTATGTATACCAAAGATGACGAGAAAAGATTTGGTATCAAGTGGATAGTTTGACGAAGTGAAGTAGGACGACGACGTTTCAAAGAAGGTCCATCGGGGACAGAAGTGGCTTGACGACGACGACGTTTTGCAGCTCCGGAGTCGAGCCCACGAAATTCTCGTTCTAAGACACTCATGCACTTCACATTGTAAGGACGGCGCGGATCTGCAGCATCGAAGGAGTGATACTCCTCTCGAAGACGTAAAAGCCGACGGACGACATTAATAGCGGACTCTGGTACCTATAGCCATGTCAGAACAAAAGGAAAGAACGGATGAAGACGCACTTACATCACGACAAGTACGGGTTTGATGCTCTAAACAATGGGCACAGGACTCCTTCTCAGGATCCCATATACAAGGTTCGGCCTCGTCCAAACGATCTGTGAACATCGAATATATGCAGACAGAACAAGGAAACATATCCTCTTCATTATTGGGAGCGAGATCCTTTGACGAAGACATGGTAACGAGAGGGAACCTAGAGGAAACGACGACGCTTGCATCAAGACGTGGTAGAAGAAAGAAGAGAAGAACGAGGGCGAGGAGACCTCTATTTATACCCGTACCACAACGCACTAAAGTTGCTAGTCCTACGACTTGTTGATAAACAACATGACAACGGACACGTCATTTGCAAGCCTGGCGATATCCGAATTTCAAGCCCTCTACTACCCCATGGAGCCCATGGCCCATGCAAAAAGGTCCGCCGCGACCTCCCATCATTCGTTGATGGTGGTAGTACATGTCGTATTCGCCGTTGACACGGGTGAGAACTGTAGTGGTAGCGCCTTGTAGTTTATCATTCCACCAGCGCATTAGCTGGGGAATTACAACAGACCCAGTGGTCTCCCATTCTTTCTGAAGATTAACAGTGGTGAACTTGTTGACGCCAGTGATTCGCGCGTAACGGTTGAAGTCGAAAATCTTCATATTCGCGACCAGAGGAGTAATCGGTTGATGCTTGAATTTGTAGATGCCCAGAGCATCTTCAGCTCTAGCTGGTCTATTCGCCAAACGGAACCAAAGGTAGGTACTATCATCAGTGTTGACTGAACCAATGTTTCGGTGATTCTTATAGATGTGAGCCAAACGATTCAGGAGTTCCTCTCTATTAAGAGTGCGTGTCTGTAATCCGAGCTTCGAAGCCATTAGCTTTGCATGGATAACATCAGAGTCGCATTTCACGGGAAGCGGAACCGGGTTCCCAACATTGGCATTAGTGTACGCCACGGGCAAGGGCAAGTAGAGGATGGCCTTTGGAACTGACCGATCCCACCTTGATTAGTATTGATAATGATGTTGAGGCATGTCAGGCCGGATATGTAGTGCAACCTCCTTGGATTATTTCATCCTTTTCAGTTCATATTATAGACTGGACTTAGCTTAGCATTGGAAATGTACTAACCACCGCGGAAGTTGTAGAGGGGCTAGTATGTCTTAGTCTATTGTATGTTAAAAAAGTGCACATCGAGATGGCGATGTTCATATAATTGGCGTTGATGATATCACGGTAGTGATTGGTACATATTGGCAGTTGGGATGCTGGCGTGTTGGAGTTCCTTGCAGGGCCTGGTGGAGCTTGATATGGCGGATTGGAGGTCTCTCAAGGTAGGCAGACTCTTGTGTATGCTGTGATTGGCGAGAAGCTTGCGGAACGCCTTGTTTAAGTGTCTTGGACATAATCCTGACATTATGGGGCTATGGCAGAATATAATGCAATTACCGCGGCCTGCATGTCTTTTGGGATATAATAAGCCACAATCAAGCCGTAGGACTGGAGGATCTGGCGGAGCTTGATGTGGTGCTATTAAGCATTGAAAGAAAGAGGATATTAATGTGATAAAATGGTAAAAGTTTTTCTTGTTTGATAATGAAGTGCCCACATCAGGCCTTAAGCAGGTAGTTATGACAGAAACCTCTATAGTTGAAGGTCCATCTGGTTACCTTTGAATGTGAGCGAGAAGAGAAGGGAAGAAGAAGAGGAGGAGCAAGAAGATGTATTTTATAGCCATCTCTCTCCAACTAAAATGACAAAGCATCCTAAGCGAGATGATGCCGTGAATATGAAGTGCTCTATGCCAGTGGCAGTTCCCATGGCTTCCGATTCATAAAGGAGCTGGGCTCGCCACAAAATAAGTGACGGCTGCAATACTCCGTAGACTCATGAATCATGGAATTCACCCTCATGTTCACTTAACCTCAAATATCGGCAGAGCTATTCCACTCCCCCGAGAGCGATTATTCGGATGATTATTTTTCCGTTGCTCTTGAACTTGACCTCGTCGTGTGAGCAGTTCCCAGCCATAACCTGGCAAGTGAGCATCATCATTGTTTGTACCACAACAGGAGAATAGTATTGGAAACAACAGGAGGTGGAAAATTTTCACAGGTGTTATCTATGAATTTTGCTCTCCTGAGATAATTTTGTTTCTATTGAATTGAACTTTCATACAAATACGTATCAATGATGCAACTTGCTGAAGTCTTGAGCTCGTGTGCATTCTAGATGCTTGGATACCCTTCCATCGCTTTTGCTATTCAGGTTATTTCAAAGAAAATATAAAGCTACAAAGCAGAAATTTGATGGGCTTGGCCATATGCCGGAATCTCAATCGCCAGCGATGCTCCCGCTCCCATGCGCGCCGAGTTCATCCTGGGCGGTGTTCTGGGGGCGCTTTCGAGCACTCTTCCACAATGCTGATCCAAGGGTGTGTGCTGCATTTTGGTTATTTGGTGAGTAGACACAAGGAATAGTTCAGGGACATATAGTCCTGTAGAACAATGAATTTCTTTTTTGTATCTACCCAGGTGAATCTCTGTGGAGGGAGCAAGAGAGAAGGCGGGTGTGTGTGTGTGTGTGTGTGTGTGTGCACACGCTCGCGCAAACAGTGTGAGGAAAGAGATGGTTACTTACCACATCTAGGCTTAATCAACAATGTTCTCTATGTTATCATTCTATCGGCGGCCCTCGACCTCGTGGGCCCTGAAATCCCCAAAGGCGTCGTCCTTCTTGCCGATGTTATCCCTTCGTTCTTGACCAAGCTCTGCGCCCCCTACTTCATCCACCTTGTTCCGTATCCCATCCGAATACTCATATTTGTCGCGCTCTCCGCCGGCGGTATGCTCCTCATCGCCCTGTCGCCGGCCTACGACCCAAACAACCCCGCGCAGAACTTCATATCCACCAAGATGTGTGGTGTGGTGCTCGCTAGCCTATCATCCGGCGGCGGGGAACTGAGCTTCCTGAGCCTTACTCATTTCTACGGACAGTTTAGCCTGGCCGCGTGGAGCAGCGGGACGGGAGCAGCGGGACTGGTAGGTGCGGGAGCGTACGCGCTGGCGACGACGTCGTTTAAGTTGAGCGTGCGCGCAACCCTGTTGGCTTCAGCGTGTCTACCAGGAGTGATGGTTGTGAGCTTTTTTATGATCTTGCCGCTCACGCCATTGAGGAAACTCGAGAGGACCGTAGAAGGGTATCAGCCCATTTTGGGCGAGGGGGGCGGTGAGAGAAGTATTAATTATAATACGAACGATAGTGGAGTGATCGGGAACGATTTCCAGGACGACAGGGCAGAGAACGAGGGACTACTCGAAGCCAATGCTGATAACGATATCAAGGCCCCTCATCCCGGAGATGAAGGGCTATCGTGGAAGCAGTTCAAGACCAATTTGAAGCGAGCCAAAGTTTTGTTTTTCCCCTTGTGAGTTGAGCCAATGCTCAGTTGCTTGTCGATGCGAGTATTGACCGCTGTACTGTAGCATGCTGCCTCTTCTCCTTGTCTACATCGCAGAGTACACGATCAACCAAGGGGTGGCTCCTACACTACTCTTCCCCCTGGACGAGAGCCCGTTCTCCCACTTCCGCTCGTTCTACCCGACCTACAACGCCATCTACCAAATCGGGGTGTTCATCTCGCGCTCCTCGACGCCCTTCTTCCGCGTCCACGATCTATACTTCCCATCTTTCCTGCAAGTTGCCAACCTCGCGATCCTCACGCTGCAGGCGCTGTTCAACTTCATCCCCAGCGTCTACATCGTGTTCATCATCATTTTCTGGGAGGGATTGCTGGGAGGACTGGTGTATGTTAACACCTTTGCGGAGATCACAGACACGGTGCGGGAGGAGGACCGTGAGTTCTCGCTCGGCGCGACAACGGTCAGCGACTCTGGCGGCATCTGCGTGGCCGGACTGCTGGGGATGGTGTTCGAGGTGTGGTTGTGCAGCTGGCAGGTCAGCCGGGGAAGAGATTACTGCAAGAAGATATAGCGCCATATCATCACATTCTGCAATACAGAGTACATACAAATGTCTGCATATGTTTTTTGGGTTTGTGCTGTTCCGTCTCTCTCTCCCTTTTTTTTTTTCCTGCCTTTATTTCGTCTCATCTCAGCCATTTCAGCCACAACCACCTTGGGAGAAGCCACCGCCCCAGTTTTCCTTTCCTCCCCCCCCACGTCACGCCCTTCCGAATGCGGTCTAGCGGCGTGCGTTCTTAGGGCTGGAACGTGACCTCGCCAGCACGCCATAGCAGAAATGGGGAGGATTTGTAAACCGTAGATCCACTAGTCCCGATACGTTTACGTCGGAATATATGTTTATCTGAATCCACGGTTGTTTGGAAGTTTAAAAATATATACATTCTGAATTCAGAAATGTAGCTTCTGATCCTCAATGTAGAAATCAGGAAATGTTCAAACCCCTGATCAATGAATATATCTAGGAACATTCAGGATACCTTTTCAGGTTTATAAATGTTTATAGTATAGAAACCATTATAGTATAGAAACCATTATAGTATAGAAACCATTATAGTATAGAAACCATTATAGTATAGAAACCATTATAGTATAGAAACCATTATAGTATAGTTACTCCAGCAGACACTGGAGAGATTTCAACTAATGTGCAATACTACATACATCAAACTGCCTGATCCACCTATAAAAAGGAAACACTCCAAGTGCAGTTGAGAAAGGTAGTTGGCAGAGCAGAATTCAGTTTGAGCCTTTTGGAATCTTTGCTGACAGGTATTGTGTAAAGACTTGGTTTGCAGATTGCAGGTAGACTGATTATATGAATCTCATCCTGATTCACCTGCAAAATCAGCAAATTCAGTACCCTCTCACACTGAATTTTATGAGCAGAGAACATGGCAAAAAAAACCCTCCAGCAGCTGTCCTGGTTGTGGGTGAATATGCACCTTATTTGCCTGATCTTGGTGCCTGATGCATGAGTATACTCAACCAGATCATTGAGTTTCAATGTAGTGTGATGTGCATCTCCATTGAATGTAAAGATCAGCTTTTAAAACAATTGGATTGGGGTTGAACCTCTGTCAAGCATATATTGATATGCTCAATCACTGCTGTATGAAAGTTGGAGCTTTTGCAAAAAGAAATGTGTAATTGGTAGTTTGGAAAGCTGTGTGCTTTGTAAACCAAGCAATTCCATGACTTTGCAGCTAGCTGGTAGTTGGCAGTAGGCATTGATTAAGGTATGGAAGGGGGTGGTAGCATATGAATTATTGGCTTTGTTGGCATTCTCATCATCATCTTGTTGCTCATTGTGTTCTGATTGCACAAGGTCTTGCATGAGAATTAAACATTTGTGATGAAGTTGCTTCATCTGGCTGCTGATATAGAGTTCTGATTCCATAAGAGTCCCATCAAGAATCAAGAATATAGTGTGTTTGAAGCTCTCATGAATCAGTAAAATCTTTTCAACATCATGCTTGTTGGTTTGCTGCATAAATGCTTTGTATTCATGGTGTTTATTCTTCCTGATCAGTATATTGCAGTTATTTGGCACAGTATACTTCTTTGCCTGGTCAGCATAGTGCACCCTGATATGCATGTTTGGTTGGTGTTTCAAAGTATGTAACATCTTATCTGCTTTCAGAGCAATACTGACAGTGTTGATTAAAATGTCCTCTGTCAGGAGTGTTACAATCTGATTGAACACTGGTGAATTCTGCTGTGATCTCAGCATCCATACTGCCTGACTAGCCAACTGTGATGTCTTGGCAGCCATGACAGTAGCATCTATCACTTTCTGAAGTATAGTTTGGGTGTTGGCAACCACACTTTTAAGTTCATTGTACCTGACAGATGTCTGAGAAGTCAATAGTGAATTACTTCTTGCAATAGCACCAAAGATTTTAGCAAGCAACAAACATGAAATGTTGGGATCAATTGACTGTTCACCAAAGAAGTTATAGAGAGCCTGCTGAACAACAGTCTGAATCCAGTCAGGCTTTAGAGTAAAGTGGAGTATAATTGGAATCACAATTGAAGCTCAGGTGTGTTTCTGAATTTGATAGGACTTCAGATGAGTAATTGGGGACTGCAGTTGGGTCCAGTGTCTCTGAAATGGAAACCTCTGTAGAGTTTGGCAGTATTCCTTCTGCCCCTCAGGTGTCAATATATGTGATATTAATAATGTATGTGCAATTTTGGACAGGCCTGAAAATTCACTATAACAGGGGTCAGAGAGGAAAAATGTCACCAGATTCAGTGCTGGACAGATCTTCAAAACTGGAGGACTTTTCTTGATCAATCCATGGGTCTTCTACAGTGCTTCTTGCTTGTGAACAGTCTGCTTCACCTCAATTTTGGCCTGCAAATTGAGTAGCTGGTAATGGTATTGACTGTGTTTCACCAAGTTGAAATTCATATTGAATCTCTCTGTATTGGAGACAGTACAGCTCCAACAGGAGACTGTTGCAGTAGGGTGTTTGATTCCAGCATTGTCATTTTACTGTGGCATGTCACCAAGATAAGCAATACAAGAAGCAATGATCCTGACAGTTTCTTTACCAGTTACCACAATGTCAAATCCTCTTTCAACTGCTTGTAAACTGGGAGTCAACACCTCCACAACATTGGGAAAATTTGTAGCATGAGGCCTGAGAGCAATTGTATATACATTGTTTTGTTGTCTTCTTTTGGAATCATTAAGTCCTGCAGGAATCATATAAAAGCCAGTTATATTTTGGTACATGTTCTGATATAGACTGAATCTGTCAATGAACAGCAGGAAGGGAATGGATATAGTTCTCTTGATAGAGTCACCTGGGCAGAGCATCTTGATCAGCATATCTCTTCTGTATGCTGTGATTTCCAGTTCACTCTGGAGTGAAGTGCTAAGTTGGAGCTCTTGTACAGATAATGTGTGGTGAATTGTATTCATCACTCACCATATAAAGAATCCATTTGTTTCTGAGGATTTGTAGCTATCTGATCTGTCAAAGGTGTAGTTAAGATGGACATCCAGTCAGGCTAGAATGTTGTCTTCATGTATAATGTGAGTTTCCTGGTCTTTCAGTAAGAGCAGCTTGTTCAGGCAAAGTGAAGGTCTCAGTAAATGGATTCTTTTATCAAAGCTGCTGGCAGTAATAGTGTACTGGACAATAAGAACAATTTCACTGGATTTTGTGCAGGCCAGTCTCTGGTCCTGACCCACAAATTGAATTCTTCTGATATGGATTTCTTGTTCATTTCAAGTGCACTTACATGCAGCATTGTTGCACCTGAAATGAACAAAATTGGAAGAAAAGACTGGTGTCCCATCAGAATACCATGCAAAGTCATCTGATGAATATCTAATAGAGCTCCTCCAGCTCCATGATTGCCACAATTTGGTTGGGTTGTCAACTAGATTGGCTATACCAATATGTATCTTCTTGTAAAATACAGGAGACCTTGCCAGTAATGACAAAAGAGCCACAGAATTCTGAAAGAATAAATTAGATGTAAGAGATATCTGTATTAGTCACTTCTCAGCAGGTGAAAGAGTTGGCATTTTCAATGGAACAGCCAGTATGGATGCCCATCAGATGGGAAGCATAGGGAATTGAGCTCTGCATTTCTTCTTCAACATGCTCAGCCCCAATGGTAGAGATCTCAGTGCACTGATATCTTCAGAAATCTGTAAGACTTCCTGCAGTGTCTCATAGTGTCAGCAAGATATTTCTGATTTTTTGCACCATAATTCTAAAGCAAGTGTGAAGTGGTCCAGCATTTCATCAGGCTCTGCACATGCATGGACTAGGATCTCTGATGGATCATTCATTGTAGTCAGGATGTAGGTCTCAGCTGGCTGATTGCCCAATAAATTCTCTAGTTGTGAATGAAAATTGGAATCTCCATTGCCAACTGGGTGCACTGAATGTAACATAGTCTGTAACCAGAATTTGGATTCAGGCTCTTCATACTGTTGTGATTCATTGTTATCAACTGATCCCATGAGTAGAGCTGTCACTGCTTCTTGTATAATCTCCTGCACCCTGATATCTTCTGGTTCAGAATGAGTGTTGGATAGAGTGTCAGGTGGAGCATCAGAGGCATCTGAAAGACTTGCTGCATCCTGTACATAGTAATTAGAATGATGCAGGCTGACAGAGAATTCAAGATCTTATACTCAACCCTGACTCCTCAGTTTGATTGTTCAGCTGAATGTTGGGTTTCACTGAAGATAAAATGTGATTGCAATCTTGTGATTCCCACAACAAATGGGCAGGCTGTCTGCATCTTTGAAACTGTGAGGCTGGAAATAGCAAATGAAGTCATCTTCTCCAAAACATATAATTCTCTATGTGCCTCAAGTATCTCAGATCTTGCATGTTTGCTTGAGGTTTATATGCTGGTTTCTGCAGTGGTTGAGTTTCAAGTTGCAGGAACAGTGAGAGTTGCTGTGAAATTGCTTTGGGACAAAGTATGTAGGAATTAGAAAGAAAATTGCTGTTTGATTGGGGAATTGAATGTATTATAGCAAAGTTGAATGTTAGAGCAGCCACAAAATGTGCCAACTGTGCTGCAGATCAACTGTAATATTCTGATTATCTAGATCTGTAATTGGCTCTAAGAAATGCAAGGTCAGTGATGATCTGCATCCTTCTGAATGATTGGCCTATTTCAAAGAAATCAATCACTTAGCAGTGTTGAATTTTAGAATGTAGGGAAATATGGATACAGATCTGAATAGCAACTTGAGCAGTCAAATGTGCTCCAAGTCAACTATATAATAGATAGTGAACCTCTCTGAAATTCAAGCATTCACTCTCATTCATTCTCAATGGCAATCTGATAGCCAAAATGTTGGAGACACAGAGCACACTAGTGCTAAAAAGAACAGCTCACATCTTCCCATGGGCCCAATTGCACAATATGCCAAAGGCTCAAGGAGCATCATTCAGTTTGAATACAAGTATCTGAACTGAAGTGTTCTCTGATCATACAGAGATTGAAAAGCAGGTTTGAGTGGTGGAGTATGAGATATAAAATTGGGTGTGATGGGCCTATATATCAACATTAAATACTGACCTGATTTCTGATACCATCCAGAAGATGCTGAGCCTTGAGAACTGAGAAGCTGGAAATGACTCATATTTTTGTGAACTTTCCAGATGCATGTTGGACCTCTGTAAAGATTGGAAATGTAAGATCTTGAGTAGCTTGAAGGTTGGAACAATGTCTCTAAACTCCTAGTTATGATATAAACTGATCTCATTTGCAGGATCATATCAGGGAATGTATTGAACTCAGCTTGACTGAGAATTCTGATTTCAGACTTCATGAAATAACTGATTAACAAAAGCTGATCAGCTATTTTGCCTGATTGTTCAAGTGGGACCAATTCTGTGAAGTCTTTTACTGGGTCAAGCTGTGTGTCAATTTTGAGAAGTCAGCTCCACAAGAGAAATGGTATTTTGAATGTAAGTCAATAGTAAATCTTAATTATCATGATTTCTGCTCTGACAGTTATGGCAATAGAGGTGTATGCAAATTTAGCAGCATATGTGAAGCTGTATCTTGATGACAACAGTCTGAAATGGAATACATTCACTCTGTTAATCTACATCTGGGATTCTGTACTCAAGCTCTGGGACTGCTTGACACAGAAACCAGGACTGAGAGATATTAATTTGAATGACTTTGCCTGACAGAAGGTCTGATCAAGAAAGTCAAAGACTGTCCATATTAAGACTTTGCCAGGAATTCTGGATGCAGTCCAGTTAATATCTAGTATGCTGCCCAGGGAACCTGATTTATGTCTGGCTCAGGCAGTGCAAGCTCCACAGGAGCCAGAGAATAACAATTCAGATAAGAAGAATTGAAATTCTTTGCAGGACATTACAGAGAATTATTTTGAGACTGTAACAAATTGGCCTGCCTGTTTAAAGAGACCTGTGCCAGCTGCAACTGGTCACATGCTCTGAAAGAGATGCAGATTCTAGTTGAATACATGAAAAAGTACCTTCTTGAGTCAAAATTGGCTGTTAGTTTGTGCTTTAAAATAGATTTTGGAGTTTGATATCTAGACTTCAATGTAATGCTCTGTTATATCAATGCTTGCAAGAGCTGAATTTCACTATATTCAATATATATCTCTTTATTGTTTACTGTAATCAGCTGTAGGAGCTCTAAGCAAAATAAGTTAGCACTTAGTAATGTATAAATAGACATGTCCCAATTAGGAAATTCAAAACAATCAAGCAGACATGCTAGATATAATAATCTCTTTTCACACAAAATCTCTCTCTTCTTCTCTTCTTTTCTTTCTTTCCTTCTCTTGAGCTCATTATATTTCTCATTGCCTCTCTCCCCCTATTCCAATATCAAGGTAAGTGGTGGATTTCAGAATGAAATAAGGAACTGCAGCAAACTGAAGGATAATATATGCAGAAATAGCAAAAAATGGCTCCACAAATGTATAAATTGACAGCAGCTCAGGATGAGCACTTCCTGATGTCCACAAAGAAGAAGCCAGGATGAAAGCTCTTAGCTGTTAAAGAAGAGCCTGCTATAATAGATGATACACTCTGTGGCTGCTGTTTGATATTTGTGTATATGGTGTATATTAAAAAGTCTTGTTCCTGCAAGCAAGGAACTGTAAAGGCCTGCACCAATTGTGCAGAAGATAAAAAAGCCTGTGCTCCTGTCTCTTCAGAGCTGCAGAAGGAAGTGGCAGCATTGCTGTCTGACCATGATGATTTCCTCAGACTTAAGAATGTGATGCTCTGAGAGAAATTGAAAGCCAGTATGGCAGAACAAGCTGCTGGTCTCAGTGAATTGCTTGTCAAAATGGCACCCCTGTTGGTCTGAACTGATGAATCCCCCCCTTCCCCTCTCTTCAATACTGAAGTTGGTGCTGCTACTTTGGCAGTATTGAAAAAGCTTGTGTTCATTCAAGCTGAACAAAAAGAGCTTGTGGAGCATACATTCTGCTCTGTCAAGATAGGTTGAACTGATTGGATATCATACATTCAACTCATGCTAATGTAGTTATATATATAGAATATTGAAAGGACCTTGACCAACATTCACCAGAACTTAAAGTCCAATTGTTTATCTTCTGTAGTTAATATACTTGATGCAATGTCAGGATGAATTAAACTGACTTTGATATTTGATGACAGAAAAAGTGAAAGGCAGAAGAAACTGTCTATAAATCAGCAGTCAAGATAGACTGATTTGCTGCTGCTCTGCCCTCTGCTGTATCTGCTTCTTTCTCTCTCTCCCCCATTCTGATTATGCCTTCTCTCTTTGTTCAGTCACAGCTGAATATCTCTGCATCAGGCCTGTCTCCAACTGGAGGCAGTGGAGCTGATTTGCTTGAAAGTATGATCAAGCAGTCTGAATGGGCTTGCCCTGATGATTCTTCTGCACTGGTTTTACACCCTGTCCCTGAACCAGAGACTCCAACCAGGGAGGCTCAAATTTAAAAAAAAAAAAAAAAAAAAAATTCATTATGATTCAGGTTGTGCGGGTGGTTTATAATACTTAGTTAGTTCCTAGTAATTGAAAAGCTTCCAAATCAGGTTCAAAACCCTCAAGTTTAAAAATATATATATTCTGAATTCTATATGTTTCAGACCCTTTATACATGCATTGTAAATATATGGTTGATCTACAGTTTCAAGCTTGCAACCTGTGGTTCAACAGGTTGTGTTGGATAAACATTTTCCGACAGTTGCCCGAAAAGCTCATTTTTCCGGTATGGCGTGAGCCCCACCCCGGACCCAGTTCGGCGAGCAGATCCGAGACTTTCACATGTCGCCCACTCCGTCATAATCACATGCTTGGAGCTGAACAGAATGCCCAAAGAGGCAGCGCTGGCTGACTTTGACCAGAGAAGCGCGTTCCATTTCTGGAAGTGTGCACTTCGCGGTTGTCTTTTTTTTTACACGCAACAGAGCCACTTTCCCTGTTTGGACAGGCGAATCCAGCTGAAAAGTACGGCGTACGGAGTGTCGCAAAGCACACAAAGGCATCCCTTTCCCACTCAGTGCCTGGCAACGTTCCATGGGTCGCGGCAACATCTCTGCGCGGCGGAAAAATCTCGTCTTTCATCTGATGTCTGCCACTTACTACAACCCTCATCCTCTTCCTCGTGTTCTTCGTCCTCCTCGTCCTCCTCGTCCTCTTCTTCCTTCGATGTACATTGTTTAAAGACATTTTCCTGTCTATGGTTGTTTCTCTGCGCTCCCTCTGCTTATGAAGTTTATGACCTGCCATACGGGTGGCGCAGCTTCGACTTGACTGTTTCAACTTTGCGATTTAGCGGATTCTCTCTGGCAGATACGACCGCTCAATTGGATCCCGTCGACCGACGCTTTGAAATTTCCTTTCTTCTCTTATGGGAACCTCCTTTTGCAGTTCCTTGGTTGCTACATTCCATCCATCGACCCTGGAGGGATCTATATTTGATTGACATACCGTCCAGCATCGGGTCTTGCCTCTGCTCCTTTTTTTACGGTGATACGAGAGAGACGCCGGTGTAAACTGTGAGGATGATAGGTATGCAATATTCATCCTATTGTCCATTCCCATGATGAAAAACGCAAGTTGCTGATTTCATTTTCCTGAAGATCACGTCCTGGGTAGGCCATCTACCCAGTTTCGCAAGATCCAGGTCTTTTCTGTGGTTTTCTTCTGGATTCTATACCTGATAAGGTACGTATAACGTCTAGCTATCTCGTTTTGAGTGGAGAAACGACGCTGATGGTTCGACCATGCAGAGGCAACAGACATGGCCCGCCCGGAGCACGGTTGATATCCTCTCGCCTCTTCAAGCGGATGACCCCATGGCAAACCACGGTTATGACGATGTTGACCCTCTATCTATCTCGTAACTTTGCCAAACTCGTCGGGCTAGAGTGTCCTGAACCCCTGGCAAATCTGTATTCTCGATCATATTTCCGCGCCACGTGGATAACTACAGCTCTGGATGCAGGATTCTGGACCGCGATGAATATAAAACGAAGGTGGCTGCGTGACCTGGCGTCCTTCATCTTCTCGATATATTACCTCATCGCTGCGGAGCAGGCGGATGAAAAGGTACGCAAGGTCCGGGCCGTGCTAACGGTGGACCACATGCGTGTGTCGTGGAATAAAGCCACTACGCCGTATCTATCATTTATCGCGGGGTTGCTGAGGCCACGATTCTGCAAGTATGATCCTATCGCGGTCAGAATCCCCAGGCCGAAGGAGTCATCGTACAAAGAACCAAGTAGTGCATGGTTATACTTCAACGGACCCCTGAGTGCGCTGAGAAACCAAGATACCATTGTACTGGACATTCCGGGTGGTGGATTTGTGGCGATGAATCCCAGAACAAGCGATGATAAGCTGCTTACCTGGGCCGGGAAGACGGGGATCCCGATCCTCAGCTTGGATTATAAGAAGGCACCAGAGCATCCTTATCCTTATGCTCTGAATGAATGTTATGATGTGTATCACACCATTGTTATGACAAAGGGACGGTGTATTGGGTTAAGTGGGAAGAAATGTCCAAGGATCATACTCACGGGCGACAGCGCGGGTGGAAACTTGGCGACAGGCCTGACCTTGATGCTCCTTCAGTCCGGTAGCACGGACTCAAGAAAATGGAGAGGCGAAGATTTTTTACCCGTGCCAGCGGGACTGATCTTGATTTATCCGTCCCTTGATATGAATATTGGAAGCTGGATGACAGATGAGCAGATGTCGCTGATTCGAGATCGAGGCATGAGGAAGACAAACCAAAATGTCCTGAGGAGGAAGAGCGAGGATTATTACAAGCTGGCCCCTTCAACTCCCCATCCTTCCAAGGAGGGTCTGGAAGACCATTCAGTTCTGCGGGACTACTTCGCCAAACAGCATGGTTCGCTCGCTGGCGATGTTGAGTCTGCCTCTCTGTCCGCCGCAGAAAGGAGCGATCCCACCATCGATAAGCCAGTGCCTGGAAATGTCGCATCGCAGGTCGTCGCCATGGCAGATAAACAGCCTCAGCAAATTAAAACTCGCCTTGCCGTCTCTTCTATGATCTCCTACTTCAACGATCGAGTCCTCACCCCAGAAATGATGCGAGCAATGATAATATTATACATCGGACCATACAACCGTCCTGACTTTAGCACTGATTTCCTTCTTTCCCCTCTCCTCGCTCCCGAAGCCCTTCTTGCACGTTTTCCAAAGACATACTTCCTGACTGGCGAACGGGACCCGCTCGTTGATGACACCGTGATTTTTGCGGGTAGAATCAGGCAAGCCAAACTTCATCGCTTCCGGGAACGTCAAGAGCTTGGTTTGGAGAAGTCAAAAATGGAATTTGACGAGAAGGCACATGTGGAAGTCACCCTTATCCCGGGAATCTCTCACGGCTTCTTGAACTTTGTCTCGGTCTTCCCAGAGGGATGGAAGCAAGTATTCAGATGCACAAAGTGGATTCGCGATATTCGCGCCAACGCCGCCCGGGAAAATGCCGAGAGGGAGAGTAATGCTTCGACAAGCTCGCTTGCGGGCAGAAGGCGTGCAGCATCGGAAGCGGTGAGAAGGCAGCCCGGAATTGTGTCGACCAACCAGAACGTGCCTGGGGGTAAGGACGCGGGCGAAACACGGCACCATCATCGCGGTCTAACCGGCGAATCGTCCGCCGATGAAGACGGACCGTTGGAGATGAGCATTCGAATGACCAAGATCCACTCTTCATCCTCTTCGTCATCATGCTCCTCGTCATCTTCTAAAAGACGAGATTCGACGTCCCCGCCGACCGAAGTCCTCGACGATACGGAAGCTACCAACAGCGCCGACGCGAGCGGAACGCGTGCGAAGTCGAGCCGAAAGACGAAATCGAGCAAGTTGAAGCCTCCTGTCCTGTCGTTGAAGCAAGAGAAGCGCGCGATGCGGATAAATAGGCAAGACAGCTTGACCAGTTTGCCCAGCGAGGAAGACCTGTTGCACAGACGGATGAAGGGGTTGGCTGGTGGTCTGATGGGGATCGGGGAGGAAGCGAGAACGCCATGATGAAACGAGCGTGAAGCGGCGGTTGGATATATTTTGATAGCACATATATACGTAGATTAGATTCCGTATTTTAATGCTTTTTCAGTTCCCGAGAATTTATTTTCTATGGTGATCACTACATACGCTTCATAGGCCATATTTTCCATGGTCCCTCACTTTCCAAGCATCAACCGAACACGCCTCTAATCGTGTATATTCGAAAAGGTAGAGTACATGGCAGTAAATGATGAAAAAAGCTGAAAATAAAGGGGGTAAAAAAAATGTGTATAGGGTATATCCTACACCGTAGATTAGAACCAGTTGCTTACTTCTGGAATACCTTCTCCATTGCATTTCCTAGAATCTGCAACCCTTCCTGAATCTCCTCCTCGCTGATCACCAACGGGGGTACGAATCTGAGACACCCTTCACCGGCGGTTATCACCAGGAGGCCCCTCTCTCTGGCGGCGGTTACGATGTCTCCCACGCGAGAGGCGTAATCTCCGGTGAGTTGCATCCCGAGAATCAGTCCGCGACCGCGGATTTCAGAAATAGCGTCTGGGTATTTCTCCCTGAGCGCCTTGAGCCCCGCGACAAATACCTCTGAGCGCTTGAGCACGGTGTCCTGTAGTTCTCGCGAGGCGAGGCGGGTGAAGACGTGATGCGCGACGCGGCAGGCGAGTGGGTTTCCGCCGAATGTGGTTCCGTGGTCGCCGGTCTTGATGTGCTTGCCCACGTTGTCGGAGATGAGGGTTGCTCCGATGGGGAAGCCGTTTCCTAGGGCTTTAGCGGTGGTGAGGATGTCCGGGTGCGCGGGCTGCTGGGCTCCGTTTGTGGGGACCAGGGATGGGTGGGAGTGTGCCCAGAGGGAGCCGGTGCGAGAGAGACCGCATTGGATCTCGTCGAAGATCAGGATCGCGCCGACCTCGTCGCAGCGGGCGCGGAGGGCGGTTAAGAATTCTGGGGTTGCGCAGTGGACGCCGCCTTCGCCCTGGATGGGCTCGACGATGACGCCGCACGTTTTCTCGGTGATGAGCCTAGGTAGTTGCTCGATGTCGTTGTATTTTCCGTATCTGAATCCGGGGACCATGGGAGCGAAAGGAGCTTGGTATTTGGGGTTGGGGGTGGCGGAGAGAGCGCCGAATGTTCTACCGTGGAAAGAATTATGGAAGGAGACGAATTCATACTTTGCACCAGAGGGGTCAAGGCTGTGGCCGACTTTTCGGGCAAATTTTATCGCCGCTTCGTTGGCTTCAGTGCCGGAGTTGGAGATGAAAGCCTGGGTGGCACCTCGCATGGCGCCGGACGAGTGTGTCTGAGCCACAAGAAGCTTGCTCAAGCTACCCGTCCAGTTGTTGTGATACAGATTAGATGCATGAAGCAGTGTTCGAGCCTGAATGATTTAGAAAGGGTTAACTCATGTTATGAAAGATCTTCCCGGGGGCGGGGGCGGAGGGGCTATATTCTACCTGCTCGTTGATGGCTTTTGTCACGCCGGGATCGGAGTGTCCCAGAGACGTCACCGCAATGCCGGCGGTAAAATCCAGGTATCGTCGGTTCTCCATATCCCACAGATAGCATCCTTCACCCTTGACTATAACCGGAAGCGGTCGTACATAAGTCGTCACCATGTAGGGAGCACGCTCATTCACAAAGGCCGCTGTGGCAGAATCCGCTGCTGGATCGGCGTTTGGAAGAGATGCTTCTTTCTTCAATGCAAAAAAAAAAAAAAAAAGAAGAAAATTAGTCAATTGAGCCCGAACTGACCCAGCGTGGATCGAAAGGACATACAAATATCTGCTTCTTGACATCTTGGGGTAGATTCGAGGCACCCGCTGTAGAAGCAAATCGGCACTGTACAAATGACTCAAAAGCGTATGGGCGCCGAGCAGCACGGCTGCCAAGCCGTCGAGCAGCAATTCGCAGGGCCATTGCGATCCGGAAAATCACGATGAATGGATATGTGAGACTCTCCTTTCTGGTTGATCGACCCAACCCTCGATAGTTGCTCCCAGTGCGTGTGAACTCACTCCCTGCGATCCAGACAGCGAGCTTCAAGGATGAGCGCGAAAAAACAGCCAGGGGGATGCTGCTTATCGATAAGGGTCCAGTGGAACGACCTGTTAGGTAATCCAACCTTTGGAACTACACCTCGCTCACGTGACCCACATAGATTAGGTACCTAGACGAAATCCCCCTTTACGTAGCTTCGTGAATGACAAGCATACGAGTCCTCCATCAGGTTATAGCCCTTTGCGCTGAAGCAAGCGTATAAGGTTGATTTTACAGCTCAATTGGTTATTTAAGCTTACAATCAACACCCTGAACGGTTATCCTTGTGGATAACGAGTCCTTCGAGCACAAAAGAGAGCGTACATGTTGAGAAAGGCGCCTCCTATACGTGCACCCCCTGTAGCTTTCTAGCACCGAGCTGGAGAGCGAGTCAATCCCTGTAGCTTTCTGGCACACGGCCAGAGAGTGAGCCAAAACGCCTGCTACACGCACCTAGCGAGCAAATCGAGCACCTGGCAACACCAAAGCCATGGTGAACCGCACAGACGAACCAGAGCACCGAACTCCTGACCGGGAGGCTCCAACAAACCTCCCTACACCCCAAACCAAGCTTAGACAGTCAGATAGGCTAAGAAGAAACCCACCAATCAAGCAGGAGCCTAGGGAGGAGAATGAGCTTCAAATGTTGCGCAGAATGATGCTGAATCAACAGGAGATGATGCAAAGGCAACAGGAGACAGTACAACAGCTGGCACAGCAAGTGAACCTCTTGTCAGGCCAAGCAAGCACTGCAAACACGCCTGCAACAGTGCAGGAGAATCCGGAGCAAGAAGCTCAACAAGAAGAAGAGGACCGAGAAATAGACTCTGAGGACGAACTAGAAGAATTTGTCGGCAACCTTATAGACACAAATACGCGAACCGGCAGAGCGATCACCCAATTCATGAAGATCACGAAGACGGTAAAGAAGCCTATGACCCTGGCTGGGGCCAGCAACTACCTAGCATGGAGCAAAGCCATCCTAAAGGTAGCTCGTCAAGTGGATACTGAGAAGATTATCCTGGAAAGACAAGAGACCTCACCACGGCCAGAGAACTCGAAGATTTCACAATACTGGAACGTTCAGAATAAATGGCTACACGGCCTAATCGACAGTACGATATCTGCACAAGCCAGAGAACACTTCGAGGAATCGGATAGTCTTAGTGCTTACAAACTCTGGGAAGCTGTAAGGACAGCCTTCCAAGAGAGACCTGAGATACAGCGGGAAAGCCTATTTACGGAGTTAATAAGAATGACACCACAGTCCGCTGGCTCAGAAAGGAATTATATAATGAGATTCCTAGCAATCCGTGTGGAATGTGAGAGATTAGGGTTCAAAATTCATGACTACATCCTACACGATATTTTGAAGGCGAACATTACGCCTCGATGGAGAGAGTTCATACAGAACCGATTTGACATGGCGTGCCAGAGCGGAGCAAACCTACCAGAGAAGGATTTGGAAGGCCTACTGAAGGATATACTCCACCGAATCCCCAAGAAAGACCAGAAGAAACGTGGATCCTGAAGGCTTGAAACCGGCGGCCAGCTCGGATTCAGACTGGGCTGGAGCCGACCCTGCGTACAAATCCACCAGCGGCTACATTATTACCATGAACGGAGCACCAATTTCGTGGAGATGACAGCGCCAGACGTCCGTTTCGAAATCTACGACCGAAGCGGAGTATTTGGCAGCTAGCGAAGCTGCTTGTGAACTAGTTTGGATCAACGACCTGCTGATAGACGCCGGGGTGATTAGCGAAGGCTCAGCAAAGCTAAGGAGCTCGAAATTAAGTGTTGACAACAAGGGAGCAGTTGACTTAGTTAAAGCTGAAGCTATAACACAAGGAGCACGCCATATTGAGATTCAGCACCATATGCTAAGAGACTGGGTTCAAAAGGACGAAATCTCAATCGAGCACGTTGGAACCGATGCGAATAAAGCTGACGGGCTCACGAAGGCTCTTGCAACAGATCCCTACGCTCAATTCACAAGCGCGATAGGGGTTACAGGTTGATACAGGAAAATGTGGAGGTTTATCAGTGAAGCCAACGAAAATACAGTATCGCGGCAAAACGGAGCTAAGCCTAAAGAAGGAGTAAATCTGGACTCTGTAATTAATTTTTATGGCGGATTTGAGAATCTATGTGGCTCTCGCTCGCTGCTGGAGCTCGTTGCACAGGGAGCACCTCGCTCACGTGACCCACATAGATTAGCCGAGATTCCCCTTTAGGTAGCTTAGTGAATGACAAGCATACGAGTCCTCCATCACGACCTCTCCCGGAACAACGATGCTCCGAGAACTTGGGACTTCCCGATTTCGTCGTGGGTTGGATGCTCTTTCCAAGTCGCAGTCTCTCGAAGAAAAGAAAACATCGGGAAGGAACTTTTTACTTGTTTACTCGTCCACTCAGCTCCTTCCCAGCTCCGGGGGGTAAACAAAAAAAAAAAAAAAAAAAAAAAAAAAAAAGAAAGAAAAGAAAAGGGGGAAAAAAGAAAATGGCAGGTCCATTCACCATCGCACTTTCCACCCGAACGCTGTCCGCCACGCGCCTTCCCCTCCTCGTCCCTGTTTCTCTCCGCGCCTTCTCCCTAACCCACTGCCCACTTTCCCAATCCAACCCCTTCCAGACCGGGCCCGCCCCGCCGCGCCTGCCCAAGGAGGAGCAGGAGATATTCGAGCGGCTCCAGCGCCAGTCCACAGGGGCGTTCAGCACACCTCGCTCACCGCCAAAGGTCAACCAGCCCGGCGATGCTGACGCCTCCTCCTCCTCTTCTTCTTCTTCTTCTTCCTCCTCCGAGCCCCGGATTGACGAAGGGGAAGAACTGCACCCGGACGTGCGGCTGGGCGTGAAGCCCGAGTTCGACGGAGATGTGAATCCCAAGACGGGAGAGGTTGGCGGGCCGAAAAATGAGCCCTTGAGGTGGGGTTCCGGCGGCGATTGGAGCTATGGTGGGAGGGTTACAGATTTCTGAGAGGAGCAAGTTGTGAAGTTGTGAATGTGAGTGTGAGAAGTATCGGAACTCTGCGGAATGGGCTTCTGGAAGAGAAAAGGGCTGGTGTGTTTGGGGTGTTGGGGGGGGGGTGTTTATACGAGCAAAACGACGAAGATGGGAGACCGGATGATTGCGTGAAGATCTCTGCCGAGTTAACTCAAGCTTCGCTCTATGCCCAGAGAGATATTACATGGTGCCTTATGGCGCTTTTGCTTAGACGAGAGCCCGGATGCTCATGGCTTTCCTCTTCGTTCCTCTTCGACGTCCTGATATATGGAAACGAAAGCGTGCAACGACTGGAGGTTAACTATGTGGTTTGGCTGAACGTTTGGCCCGTGGAAGAATCGTGGCGAGGACTCCTTTTTTTGTACGATATGACGACCGGCTATGCTTATTTTCGTCTCTTCTTTGTACTGTACCATAGAAACTATATACATAATGCATCCCGTAAAAAAAACTGCCTCCCGCTAGACAAGCCTGGGGTGAGCGCATAGATAACCGGAATAAAATAAAAAAAAACTATGTTTGAAGCTTGTTTACAGTCGCTTTGCCAACCCTGCTATCGTTAGCCCGGCCAAGTTCCTTGCTGATCCAGTCCCCAATTCTGGACATCTCCTCCAGGTCTATACCCGTCTGCATTCCGAGACTGTGGAGAGTATGAACCAGATCCTCCGTCGCGACATTCCCAGTCGCTCCCTTGGAGTACGGACATCCTCCCAACCCTCCTACACTGCTGTCAAACACCCGGATCCCGTGCTCCAAGCCCACGATCGTGTTCACCAGCGCTTGGCCGTACGTATCGTGGAAATGCAGGGCAAGATCCGTGTTCGCGATACCCGCCGCCGTGAGCACCTTTAGGAGCCGCTGCGTTCTGGGTGCGGTGCCCATCCCGGTCGTGTCCGCGACGGACACCTCGTCAGCACCCATCTCTAGCAGCGTGGCGGTGATCTCGGCCACCTTGTGCGGGTCGACGTCCGGGCCTTCATACGGACAGCCGAGGGCGACGGAGACGTAGCCACGTACACGGATGTTCTTCTTCTTGGCGAGGTCGACGATCGGTTCGATGCGTTTGAGGGACTCGGCGATGGTGCAGTTTGTGTTGGCCTTGGAGAAGGCCTCTGTGGCGGCTGCGAAGAGGGAGATTTCGGTCGTGTGGTTTGGCGCGGAGGAAGAGGATGATGATGATGATGATGATGGTGACGTGGGGGAGCCGGACTCCGGGGAGAATGAGAAGCCTTCGGATTCGGCGGTGGACACTAGAGTCTCGAGACCTTTGATGTTCGGGACGAGGTAGTTGAAGGCGATGGGATGGGGGGATTTGGGCGGTGATTTTAAGAGATGTGTGAGGATCTCTGATGTGCTTGCCATCTGATAGCGGGAGGGTTAGCCAGGTTTATTCTCTCTCTCTCTCACACACACACACACACACACACTCTCTCTCTCTCTCTCTCTCTCTCTCTCTGTCTGTCTGTCTCTGTGGACTGTTTAGGAATGAATGCAACTTTTGTGACTTACCTGGGGCACCCATTTCGCGGGCACGAACGAACCAGCTTCGAGGGTCTTTACGCCGGTTTTGGCAAGTCTCTCGATGAGCTCGATCTTCGTCTCTACCGGGATGGCCTTCTTCTCGTTCTGCAGTCCATCTCTGGGGCCAACTTCCACAATCCGCACAAAGTCCGGCGATAATCTACTCTCGGTGGCCAGACAGCGCACAGCCTGCTTTGTGCGCAAGCCTCGCCGAGGGAGGCGAAATGTGACTCTAGAGGACAACATTGAGGATGTGGGCAGGGCAAAGTGATCCCAAGGGGGGAGAGAGAGGGCGGAGGAGAAGAGGGGAGGGGGCGTTAACCGAAATCAAGGACGGGCACAATATAGGAGTGAGTTATATTTAGTTTCAATGGTGAACACAGTGTGTTGCACGGGAATTGAAAGCCATGGTCCTTCAGGCGAAAAACAAGCCCGCGGGAATTTGCCAATCAGCAGCTATGTTCCAGCAGGTCTCGGAGAATTGGCAAAAAAAAAAATTTACATGGACTCTAGGAGTGATGGGCCGACGGGAGCCAGGTTCGACGGCGCAACACGTTACATCATCAAGATGAACATTCCGGTTGAAGTCTATAGTTACTGATAGCTATGCACTGTGCCGGACGGAACAGCCCCAACTCATCACACGGGGCGAGAGGATATTTTACAGTGAATCGGACTCTCTCAGCTGTCAAATTCCTCGCCCGCCGGCTTCTTCTCGGGAAATGTCTCTTCTGCGCTGTCGGCTGTACTCCTTTCGCCTGTGCCGCCGCCCCAGCGCCGTCGCGACGGTCGGGGGCTCGCCGCCGTTGCCCGATCGTAACCGCGGAGTAACCAGCTTTCAAAAACTCCACCAGCGAGGCGGGCCGGGCTGATTAAGTTAATCCAGGGCTGATCACTTTTGAACTCGCATCTTTTGCACTTCTCCAAGAGCATCACTTATTTCCAAATGATGATCGAATGCATTTGCTTAATTATCTATTCTGAATGATCCAGCTACCAATGCCTCTGAATGAACCTCCCCCTTCTGGTTGTCCAGCAGCGACAACAAACATTGTTTCAAATAGCAGATAAAATGGCCGCTACCTATGTATTCGCTGCTCGAGCAGGACCCCCCAAAGGCCAGCCTCACTAGTGATATACCCCAATTCCTGCGAACGAAGGATCCGAGGAGAGTCCTTCGACACCGCCGCACAAAACATAGGGGTTTCTGGTATACGGAGTGCTGTGTTTATTTCTCACAGATCGCCTAGAAATTAATTCCAATGTTAACAGGTCTGTTCTGCTGTTGGATCTTCTAAGCACATCCTTACACATGACCCAATCCCAGTTGGCCGACATGTTTTGCAGCACGCGTCCGGCGGGTTACATGGACACCAGCGGCATACTTCTGCACGGAAGGTCTGTTCAGGATCTGCCGGTTCGGATTCAGATTGGGGCGCAGGCATAGCCAAGCTGATGCCGATCATGAAGAAAAGAAGTGTCAAAAACTGAGTGGTCTTCATCTTTGTGATGGGACTACGGGAGTATAGTGGACAACTTCGATTTAGCTCTGGACTGAGAGGCTCTAGAAACCTAACACTGGGTTCTTGTCGGTCAGGTAAAAGGGGGGAAAACAAAAAGGGGCGGGGGGACTGATCACGCCCTTATATACATTTCCCCTCCCTGCTTTTCTTATAGAATTCGGGAAGCAATGTTTCCTGGTTATTGACAGATCACAGGACTGGACCTGCGCTTGTTGGGTACAAGTGTGGTTTAGAATGAAATAATCACAGAAATCATGCTGTGATTGTGAAAGGGCCTGTCGCGAAACATCACCTGTGGATACATTGTTACCCAAATCAAGAATCATAGAGCAGCTTAGCAACTTAAACCCCCGGCGAGCTTCAATTATTAGTTATTCCTGATAAGAGTCTCGTACGCTTCAATGCTTGCAGGTTGCAAGATTGAAATCTACTGTCGCACTGATATCCTCAGGTTGCGACCAGAATTGCCTCATGAGAGATATATTCCCAGGGCTGTTACTATCTTCCCACCAGTTGTAGCTGCATTTCTATGATGCAGTACGGAGTATCCGAGCCTGGAACTTGGCACTTCCTGCCAACCTTTGCGGTGACTTTTTATATGGGAGCATGCTGGTCAAATATGACCGTGCGAGTGACCTGAAGTTGCAGTAACGTTGAATCCACAAAATTTCTCACGAAAATCAAACAGAGCCTTCTCCACACAAGGCCATTGCGAACCAGGGCCTCGAGAATTCCGTAGCACACTGACCAAAAGCCATGATTCAGCAGCTTCTGAGCCAACATCTTAACCTTGTCGCCCGTTGGGGTAACCCATTCTCAGCAACTTCGCTTGTTAGCAAATCGTCGGGGGTTACATGACAGTCGTCCAGGCTTCTTCCCAAGCAAACGACTCGCATACCCCAGTCAATGAGAGCCCATCAGTTATCAATTTCCGACTGCCAGCTCAGATGTGATGCATCAAGCTTTCCTGTTGAATGGACAAGGCGCAAATTTTGATTGTGAATTAGACTTGTGCTTGGAGAACCGCCACCGGTGATACCAAGATACCCCTTGCGACCGTTCTTGGTTAGCTCGACAGAGTTCTGGGCTGAATAATTGTATGAATTATCACCTCGTCAACCCGTGGGAATATTTATGAATAATTCCGCGATGACGTGGCAGCCGCTGGTTTGGAACTCGTTTTGACCATCGGCAGACCGAACCGTCTCTTGCAATGAACAGCGACCTGTGCTCCGTACCAGCAGCTCGGATCACATCCATAGGAGATACATGATACATATGGTCGGCACACTCTGTGTTCCGTAAATCTTCCGGGTTAAATTAACTCGAGCTATGGAGTCACTGCGGGTTACCCCGGATTTCATCACTACCCTGACACTCACAGCCTGACAGGCGATCCGATCTCCATGGAGGTTGTGTGGCTTAACCTCAAACCTCAGCCTGATGGCTGCAGGGCTCCCAACCACCACTTCAAATACGTCGCCAGCGCGTGAGATTCATTTTTGTTTGGACTCTAGATTCTTCGTAAAGTCCACCGATTCTGCGATGACAGAGGGTATATGCTATGGCTAGAAACAAACCTATCCCGAATGCCTTGACATTCTGTAAGCGTTGGTATTTGTCCCTTGGAGGTTGCTGATCTAAAGTCGAAAACAGATTTAGGAAAATGGGGGTTGGATACTCTTGACCTCTCAAAAGTGGATTCATCCCGCCAGCGATTTGGGGTCGCCTGCTAACAGTGCTATAGACTTCAGAACTGCCTGACAATTGCTGCATGTAAGGATCCTGAATGCCCCCCTGGAAAAGGTTCCGAGACAAGGAGGTTAAGCTTCCGCTCCCAGAATCCTGGAAAGGGACTCCTACCCGAAGTCGGAGACCGGACGTGCACAGGTACTGCGGCACTTTAATGTGCCGTCTTTCTTGACCAACGATACCTCCGCCGCGTTGAATGGCTATTTCGGGAGTCGGGGTAGTTACGACGAGAAAGGATTGACTAGCTATAGTAAGCAGCTCGTCTAATGTCGGGCCCTTGACCGCCATTGACATATCGCCCGTTAGGCACTTGGTTCCGATGCTTGATCAAAGACGTCGATAATGCTGCCGACTATAGATGGTACGAGATGACCTTTTTTACACAATGGGATATCCGGGGCCACTGCAGAGTTTTATGCATCGACATGCCGGATAGGTTCCTCTATGATCTTCAGGCAATTCTTGCGGGCTCGTCTTTTGAGCCGAGAGACCCGTTCTCTATGCACATCGCCATATTTGATCAGGTCGTAAAGCTATATGATAGATCCGTGTGGCGACTGCGTGATAGCATTCGTCGTATTGAGAAAGTAAGTCCACCACTTCCCGGATCTGGCGAAGGGAAGCTAATGCATTTTCGAGTAGAATAGGCATATCGCCGGACCAGACTTTGAGGGAATGAATGACATGTCCAGGCACTCGAGTCATATTGCCGAGGTCCTTGAGGTAACGATACAAACATTGGGAAGCATTCAAGAGCAGCAGCCGCCTGTCTATGAAGCTCTTCCCTTTGTATTGGACAAGACATATAAAGCACAGACACGGGAGTATGTAAAGTTCCAGCTGCAAATAATTAATAATCTTCTTCGGCGCTCGAAGTCGAATCATGAAAGACTGAAAAGTGAGATTTCAGCGGTAAGCTTGTCCTTTTCAGACTTGCACGAGACTGTCAGTTATAGAAGCTCACTGGTTCCAGGCATACAATATGATTGTCATGCAGGACAGCTCAGCAATGAAGTCCATCGCATTCTTGACCATGTTGTTTTTGCCTGCTACATTCGTTGCGGTACCTATTCCCCTTCCTTAACGTAGGCACATCCAGAGCATGTGTCTTGCGGGTTGTGTAGCAACTCTAATAGAGCAACAGGCAGTTTTCAGCACGACATTCTTTGAATTTGATGAGAAGGGTTGGAAAATATCAAACAGCATGTGGATTTACTGGGCAGTGACCATTCCAGCAACCATTCTGGTTTGGGTAGGATGGACATCTTTCCCTTCTTTGCTGCGGTTGTGGAAAAGGCTCGAAGAAAAATCACGGCGGGAACCTAGTTTGAATCGAACTGTGTGAGCGGTGCCAGTTCGGGTCTGCACCGCCGCCCTCGTTGACAACTGGTGCTTGTAGCAGCTCTGAAGAGCGATGAAAGAGCTTAATCTCGGGTTCGAGGATGTCAAGCCTCGTCAACAACACCATTCAAATAGGATCATTCTTCTAGGATACCATATCAATGATTTTCCCTTTTGTGTAAAATAAAAAAGGCTATAGACAAGAAGTGCATAGTCTAGTCAGACTGATGTAAAGAGAGGTTGGTTGGCGGCGAGTAACTTGCCGCCCCAAGCCAGGGACTTCACATCATCAGGTTCAGCGGAGAAACTAAAAATATTTTTTCCCGCCAGACAATCAAAGAACCCAGTCGCCATTGACCCTATGAGATTGTGGTCTCCTTTTCAGCCTTTGCCAGTCTAGCGCCTAGAATAATTTTGTTCTGTCTTCCCAATTTCCCCAGGTGAGCATGCCGGAGAGCCTACGAGACCCAGAGCATCCCGTCGCAAACGGCGACGGCCGTCCACGCGCCCCCAGGAAGAGATTCGTGGGCAGAAGGACGGCAGAATCTCAAGCGCAAAGAGATGGGAATAATAATGCAGACCCGCATACAAATGCTATTCAATCAGGTACGATACTATCGCCAACTCTTGTGCATTTCGTCGTTAACACCGCTTACTTCGCCTGGCTAGCTCAACCCCGCCGCGGACCCCGCGCGGTGAACCAGATTCCAGCCGAGATCTTAGATAACGAAGATATCAAAGCCGCCATTGCTCTCCTTCCCCGAAATTACTCCTTCGAGATTCCCAAGTCTATCCACCGCATTAGAACCTCCGGCGCAAAGCGTGTCGCGCTACAGTTCCCGGAGGGGCTGCTCCTTTTCGCAACCACCATCTCAGATATCCTAACACAATTCTGCCCCGGAATCGAAACCCTGATTATGGGAGATGTTACATATGGCGCATGCTGTATTGACGACTATACTGCGAGAGCGCTAGGTTGCGATTTATTGGTCCATTATGCCCATAGCTGTTTAATTCCGGTCGATGTGACGACCATCAAGACGCTATATATCTTCGTCGACATCAGCATCGACACGGAGCACTTGATAGCCACACTGGAACGAAACTTCCCCGCTGGTAAGACCATCGCGGTGGTGGGGACCATCCAGTTCAACGCTACCCTCCACGGTCTCAAAGCGGTCATGGAGAAGGCCGGATTCCGCATCCTGGTTCCACAGATCATGCCCCTGAGCAAAGGTGAGATCCTGGGGTGTACCTCCCCACAACTTCCAAAGGACGAGGTTGATATCCTTCTATATCTTGGGGATGGCCGATTCCATCTCGAATCCGCGATGATACATAATCCTTCCATCCCCGCGTACCGTTACGACCCGTATTCGAGAACGTTAAGTCGCGAGAGATACGACCACGAGGAGATGCAAACTATCCGCAAAGACGCGATACGGTCGGCTCGATCGGCAAAGAAATGGGGAATTATCCTGGGCTCCCTTGGCCGGCAAGGCAACCCTAACACGATGGCCCTGATCGAGAAACATCTGAACGAGCAGAGGATCCCCTTTGTCAACATTTTACTGAGCGAGATATTCCCTGGAAAGCTTGCCACGATGTCCGATGTCGAATGCTGGGTTCAGATCGCCTGCCCAAGATTAAGTATTGATTGGGGCTATGCGTTTCCTCGGCCTTTACTTACACCCTATGAGGCCCTTGTCGCTCTGGGGATCCGCGAAGGTTGGGAGACAGCTAATAATGGCATCTATCCAATGGATTTTTATGCTAAAAATGGTTTGGGAAGGACAAAGCCAGAGACTTCGATTCCGTCTACTGCGTGAGAATGACATAGCGATAGATTTTGAATGTGACAAATCAACGTTCAAAGGATAAATACACTCCAACTGGCAAGGCTCATGGTACATAAATCAAACATTCAAACAGTGACTATTTCACATCCTCGGCACCCTCTACGTTGCCGTCGCCGGTGCTTCCCCTCAGGGTAGAAGTGCTGCCTTTACCTCCCAAATCATCAACAGCCCTCTCCGCCGCACGCCATGTCGACACAGCTCTCTCAACATCTTCATATATTTCCAATGTATCGTGAAGAATACCGCCTTCCTCCGGTTCCAAGGCCTGCGTTTGCTCCCGAGACGCAAACTCGCTCCGCATGGAAAATGCGGGTCCGAATGTACTTTCTGGTGTTGGATTAAACATCACAGCATTTGCGAACATCCGAATCAATTCCTTTTCCAACTGAGACGAGTTGACTATTCCTCTGGGCGGCATTAGTTCAGCGGTCCTTTTCAGAATCAACCCATTTCCCTTCGAAGTCCCGGACAATTCGTCTTCCGCGCCGGATGCGCTGAGTGCTTCTGAAGCCGCAGCGACCGCTTTGCTTCCCTGATGGATGGCTGACTTGATCGATTTGATATCCTGCGGGCGGTAAATGAGGTCCTTGTATCCTGGAGCATCCCGTTCGGTCAACGGCTTTGCAAAAATGGAGGCGTGCTTATGGGCAGCAATATCGTTCATGACGGGCCCACATGTTCGTGGGAAATTCCGGGTGCAAAGAACATGCTGCGGAGATGTTTGACCGTCCTCCGCACTGACAGTGTCAGTTGGTGCACGTTTTCGTTTTGACCTAGTCCTGTCATCTGAGACACTCAGAGACGAACGTGTCAGTCTTTCCGAAGTCCGTCTATCTATGTCCATATCATCATTGATAGGAGTGCTAGGTAATTCATTTTTGATCTTGCTGCTTTCAGTTTCATCGTCACGGCCAGTATTCGAGCGCGCGCGGCGTCGAGTTTGTATGGTCGAGGGCGATAGAGGGCTATTACTCCGGCCTTTCCGACGAGCTGGGGTCGTTTTCCTGCTTCGAGTGCCTGTCGCAGGTGATTCCAAGTCCGTTTTCGCCTTTTCCAACCCTCGAGGAGTCTCAGCAGGCAACCCTATTTTATCCATGGGAGATAGTTCCGGTTCACTAATTGGGCTTATATCCTCGGGTCGTGGTCGCATAGGAGATCCAGGGCGTCGAGGAATCTCAAGCGAACCCAACTTCTTCCACGGTGTGCGGGCACTTGAAGTCTGGAGCAACGAGGTAAGGGATGGTCGACCAAAGGGGAAAGCCGGAGAATTCGCTCTTGAAATCCCAGGACTTGGCGTAGCGATGCTCTGTGGTAAGTTGCTTGCTTCGGCCGCGAGTTTTGGGCCAATGCTAGCCTGGCTGGGTAAATGCTTAGAGGGTACGTTGAACGAATTCTGGGGTGTTTTGTTTAAGCTTTTATTGTTATTGTTTAAACCCTGTGGGCCCTGAACTGGCGTAGATGGAGCCTGGGTAGTTGGTTGCGGCGCGTTCGCATACAAAGAGACCTGCTGTGGCTGTGGAAGGGCGTGAATGGACCATGGCTGTATGATCCTCCCTTGCATCACAGGTTTCGGTGGGGAGGACCGTGAAGAAGAGATGATCTGGGGCTGTCGTGCTTGTTCTCGAGGAGTTATGACGGCGGCCGGGGTTGGAGCAATGTGGGGACTGGACGGTGAACCAGAGAAGGCCGGAGCCTGTGAATTGGGTTGAATGGGAGTGCGCCCTTTTTTGGCTTGGTTTGTCGCGGTAGCCGGAATGCCCACAGCAGGTTGTTGACTTGTGTTTACCCACGGCGGGCCTTGATGCTGGGCCTGCATGGATTGTGGAGTTTTGTTCTCGAAGCGATACTGGGTGACAACTCTGGGAACAGCTTGCTGTACAGGCTGGCGGTTCGAATCCGGTGTGGGATGAATCGGAGGGTTTGTCTCAGGTCTAGGCGGTATAGCCTGGGGAAGGTCACGTACTATACCCAGTCCATTTCCAGATTCACGGGAAGTCTGAGAGTCAACACGGGCTTCAGGCGGCTTAACATGATGCTGCAGGACGTCACCTGGCAGATGCGCGGGCTTTGGCTGCGGCTCGACCTGGGGCGCACCAGCGGGTAAAGCTGCTGATTCGGTCTCTTTCTCATGCTGTATCTTGCTCAGCTCACTGTTCAGGTCTCTGTACCTGCGTTCTTCCTCCTGAATCTCCTTTGTGACCAATTCCTTGTATCGCGCATACAAACGAGAAACCAAACCAGATATCACTGTAGAATGCGACTCTCCATCTCCTCCGGGCGGAGTAAGCCTGCGTTTCTTGGGGCTGGGCGGGGAACCCAGCCCATCTTGTTGGCCGTTTGCAAGCAGCAACTGCTGTTCCGGACTCTTCCTGGCCGATATTTCTCCTCCACCAGCTCCCTTTACCAGATCGGCATACAGCTCCTCGAGGGCCTGGGGCGTCAGCCGGTTGATGTCGAAGGCCGCATGTTGCTGGATAAACGGGTTGGTCCTGAGGAGATCCGAGATCGACGAGAAGTTCTCCGGTCGCTTATCGAGTCCAGCGAGGGACTGGAAGAACAAAAGGGACTCGAACGGGGTGTAAGACGACAAGGAAGGCATTCCCCATTGCCTGGCGCAGTAACTGGCCCGGGGGGGGGGGGGGGGGGGGCTGCTGAAGAGGGGCGTGTCTTCGTGCTTGATGCTTTTTGGAGATTGATGAGGGTGGGTCGGCGGGAAATTGATGCCGGCTGGTGACGGTTGCGTTTCGGGAGGCCTCTTTACGCCTGAACGGCCTTGTGTGGGAGATGAAACTGGCAATTATATGACTCGCACCGGGCTGATCGGCAGAGGGCGACGATTCCCTTCGATGAAACAGATGCTGCTGGCTCGTCAAGGGCTGATCCCAGCAAAACCGCCCGCAGAATTGGAAGCAGGAAAAAAAAAGAAACACGGGGATGCCAAGACCAACCACGTGACCGGACAGCTGAACCGAAGATCGTCCCGCCCAAAAGGAGACGCGCAGAGAGAAGAGCGAAGGGGGGAAAAAAAGAGAGAGAGAGCGACAAAAGAGAGATACTGTAACGAGTGTGTGTGTGTCGAGGGCGCGTTCAGGGGCTTCGGACGACTGAACGGAGGAGCAGATCAGCGAATCACCAGCGGGCCTCCACCCAGCCTGCTAAAACCCAAAATTTCCAATAATCTCACCTTTGGCGCCGAATAAAATAAAAATAAAATAAAAACAAAAGAGCCAGTGCGAGAGAAGCACCGGCCGAGTAGGGGCCTGTTGCTTAGCCCGTCCACCCGCCAACCAACCAGGCTTCATCTCGTCCCCTTTAATATACTTCCGTGACCAGCCTTCCTCGCCTCTCTTCCCCTCTCCCAGATCACTCCGTCGCAATACCATATTGCTTTGTTAATAAAATCTCTCCATATCTCCAGCTGGCTCTGGTCCCTGCACTCCCTTTGTCGCCGTAATCTCCCCTGCCATCCCACTCTGTACAGTATCATCTGCTTTGATAGACCGGTATCTCACGCCCGCCCTTCCTGCCGAAATTTCGAAACACACCGCGTCGAACAAATTTCCCAAGATGTCTGATATAGAGGAGGAATGGAAGCCCAAAGGGCGCCCTCAATCGTTCGTGTCCCATATTGATTTTCTGCCAAACTCCCCGACACGATGTCGTCGTTAACTGTTTACAGCACCATGGCGCAAGCCCTCGCAGACACTCTCGACAGTGTCTTCATGTTGAACTCGGATGTCGACACCCTCTCACATAAAATCCACCAGAAGTACGACCTTTGTGCCCCCCGCTTCTTCTCATCTCCGTCAAAAACATGCCTTCGACATCCTTGACGGGTATGAACTTCCCAAAACAACATACTAACCGGTGGCCCTCCCGCTCCAGGAAACAAACCATCACCATCCAAAACTGGGAGCTGGAGGCTCTTCACGCCAGAATTCGCGAAGCGGAAGAGCGACTAAAGAAGCAGGAAACCATGGCCAAAGCATCTAGCTCAGACGCCCAGGATAACAAAGATAACCCCTATGCCGAGAGATCTACATTCGAACAAGACGAGTCAGCCTCGTCACCGATTTCACAAAGTTGCCGCTCGGAGGGAGGTTTCACGGACGCGTCGACCGCCCCTTCAACGACATATAACGAAGATCACCCTAACGACGACGGTCGGACAATTCGAAACGTCGGCCTGAACAAACACAATCCAGAGAGACAGAACGATCGATAAATCATAGAAGCATGAAGACTCGGGAAATAAAGGACAAAGACCGACTATCAGCATTCATTTGGCGATGTGGGAGTTTTTTTTTTTTTTTTTTTTTCAACTCAGTTTCTCATATGCTTTAAATACCCCTTTTCCCTTTTTCGGTGTCAACAAGTTGATACCCCCTTCCAATCGTTTTACTTTACCAGCTTATTTCTTCAAGGCTTCTCTGCGTTTTGCTGTTGATCTGCGATGCAGTTTTGTCTCTTCAGCCCTCAACAACGCCCCCTTCTTTTTTTTTTTTTTTTTTTTTTTTTTTTTTTTCATTTTTCATTCATTTTCTTTTTTATATCTCATCTTTCCAATGACTTGAATAGGCTTAAATACTTGGGGGCATTGTGGTTAACGATTCTTATATTCGATGCATGTTCCCCCGGATCACCGTGTTCTGTCAAAAACACACCACGTGTATATGTATGTCGCCGCGGACATTTCAGGCCTTTTTGGTCATCTGGAAGACTCCAAAGTATTCATTCGTTTGGCTTCTTTTTTCTTTTCTTTTTGTATTTTATCTACGGAGTAATTAATTCTAATATTGATCATCGATCGATGTTGTATGTAACAAGGCTCACAATGCATGTAGTATCGAGGTCAACAGACGTAATGGCGGGGAAGTGGTCAATGCCACGCTGTACTCCTTATGCCATGTCTAAAAGAGCTCATCCATGCACTCCGTACGGAGTACAGAGTGTGTAAATGGTTGAAGAAAAGAAAAACGTGTGAATTTTGAAGCGAAAAAGATATTTATTGTCGAATCTCGTTATATATATCGGTCAGGTCGGTAAAATCAACTATCTCGTACATGGATATGTTATTGCTTAAAAATTCATAGAAAACACAAAAATGTTACTCTATTTGGTTGATTCTGATGGAGTACAAAAGGCGGTAATATAGTATTTACAGAGCATCAGTGAGAGCTTTGTTGAGCTTGGCCATCTTGGAAGACACGCTGAGGTCGATGGTCCGGTCACCGATCTCAACGATGAGTCCACCAACGACATCGGAGTTGATCTAAACAATGAGAGGTTAGCCATTCGAATAAATACCTTCCGTGAAGAATGGTCAACGAGATACGCACCTTGGTGACAACCTTGAGTTTCTTGCCTTGGCTGTATTCAGACTTGGCGACAGCGTTCTCAAGACGCTGGAGGGTCTTCTGGTCGAGTTTCTATAAGAAAATGAACGCGAGTCGTTTAGTACATAACCTCGCAGAAGGGGTGGCAAATGCATGGAAGTTATCCTCCTTACCTGAGCGCTGGTAATGATCAACTCAATCTCCCCCCGATACGCGCCCATCAGCGTAGCAAACTTCTCGCAAACGCCCTGCAACAATCCCAAGCGGTTGTTCTCTGCCAATGTGTTCAAGAAATTCTTCAAGATATCTCCCTTGCCCGCACCACCGGCGACCTTCTGCAATTCGGCAATGATCTGTGCCTTATCGGCCTGCGACAGAGTGGGAGCATTCAGAATGCTGGTAAGCTTGGCGTCCTTCTTGAAGACTTCACCAAGGCTAGCGAGGGCTTTGGAGGTCTGCTCAAGGCTGGAGGTTTTGGCGGAGGCAGTATACTATAGATGTTAAATGATCCGAGGCAGGTTAGCTGGAGTTGTACGTTTGGTTGTTTTTGTTTTTTTTTTTCCCTCTGGTTTCGTGTGCTCTATGCTCCTTGTGTGCTTCCGGAATAACATAGATTGGAAAGGGGCGGAAACGACAACAGCAGAATATTGGAGGAATTACACACCAAAGCATTGGCGTATGTTCCATCGACGCCGAACAGTGCGACTGGGGGCTTGGAATCCTGAGCGGGCGCGGCATAGGTTCGGACGCCGTTGATAGCGGCTCTGCGGGAGAACTGTTGGGCGGAGGCGCGGAGGCTCGCCTGGACAACGCGGGAGGACAACATGGCGAAGGTATTATACCGACCGGTCTTGATCTGGTAGCGAGAGGGGTGCCAATGGCGTTGCGATGTGCAATTGAATCGCTGATTCCGGTTCGCACGGTTGAGATGGAGACTTTCCGGCAAACGATGTCGTTAACCACAGATCACGTGATACTAGCTGCAATTTCGCGGGCAAACAGCAACACCACCAAAAATCCCACCGGCATAATGTGGGCATCGCGACATGCACTTTTTGGCTGGGGGACATTCGCACATAATATTTCGTACAGGTTAAGGAATATCATTATTCATGCAATTGATCATACACTGGAGTCAGCAATCTAGAGAACGCCCAAAGTCCATCCACCAGAGACACCGCTCATGGAATATTACCCAACGCCGATGCTTTCCACGCTCATGCCTCCAGTCATTAATCCGTGCCCATATTATTATCAAAGAAGGTGTCACATCATCCGCCTAATCGCTGCGCAGCATACTGTCCACCAGGTCTCCCAATGGGCCCCAGAAATCCTTCCCACTTGCTAGATTATGTTCATCAATGAAAAGAACGTAATGTTTGAAACTCGTGTTCAGATGCGGCTCCAGCCCGAGATGAACAATCACTGGGTAATGATGGCAGTATATGTGTGCATACACCCGATACAAGCGCTTGAAGAGCTGTCGCAAAAGACTCGGGAAGGTCTTTGGAAATGGAACACCTGCAGAAAAGCGATTTCAGAAGCGGGTTAGATCCAAGCCCCGCGATCCTTCGCCAGAGGTATAGAAGACTAACCAATTCGGCTTGGAAACATCTGTTCGTTGTCGATGTTGCTCTGAACCCAAGACATCAAGTGTTCAACATATTCCGGGGCGGACATTTTGGTTGGCCGCTTGTAGTTCTCAGAATCTTGCCACAAATATTCGAATCTACTGTATGTCAGGTGCGTGCTATGGCTGAAGAGATGTATTTCGAAATGCTCACTCGTCTGTGGCTTTCATCTCCGGACATGTCTGCGGAGAACAAAACTCTGTGATCGCTCCATATAGTAAATTGATCTGGTTGTAGAAATCGACCACTATCGTGCAGTAGTATGTCAGCGTGGGTTTCTTTCTTTTTTCTTTCTTTTTTTTTTTAAAGCGTTCGACATGCCAAAGATGCATCCGTACAGTTCACAGCCAACCATTCATTTACATCTTCGCCTTCGGGTAATTTCACGGCCTTTCGCAAACTTCCACTTCCCAATGTAGCCTCTGCAAACTGCCTCAACTGATAGTTTGTTGTTCCCTTGTTCGCAGTCCGGGGCTTAAACGGTCCTCTTGAACGTGCATTACTACAGGAAACCGCGTCAGCAAATATCTTGGGGTGAAGGAACAGTAGCCAATTCGATAATTCTAAACGCGTCTGATATCACAGGGGGGATGAGGCGACCAGTGGCTGAAGAGGAGAACACACGGCGGTACACTCACACTGTGGGAATAAAGGATGTCATCTTTGATTCGGTGGGCTTGCAGACACAGACCGGCGGAGATTCGGGTCCGTCCAATATCTGATTGTTGATCTCCCGTTTAAAAGACCGAGCAAACACTAATCCGCGGAGGAGGCTTGAAAAGCCATAAAATGGAATCTGGGGATTCTCTGTGGTGTTTCGCTCCCCTAAAAAGAGGACTCGATAAAGAAGCAATAATAGTCAGCCCTAATTAGCGTCCTGGAGCAGGGCTTTCGGGCTGGAACGTGCAGCCCAAAGAAGTTGCGCCTCCTGGACCGACGATCATGTGGTTGCTGTGGTAATAACGACATCACGCACTCCCAACTTAGTAATCCAGGTCCCTGCCGCCCGAACCTCGCTATCTACAGAGCACAGTATGCCGAGTTTGGGCTCGTCCGGGCCATCGGAGTACGAATGGTAACGAAAGGGGAAAAGTACTGCATGGTTATTTATCACATTTTCTTCAACCTTTTATCGTCATAAATATGGGTATTATCCTATGAGCTAAAGCATACTCCGTATCCTGTATGAAATTAATCACCGCTCCCCCACCCCACCCAAAAAAATAAAAATAAAAATAAAAATAAAAAAGGGACCATATAAATGGCTCTCTATATCGGATACCCTTGTAATTCCTCACTCTCAGGCTCGTGGATAGTGTCTCCATACACAGTCAAGGGAATGGAGACCTCGAAAGACTGACACAGCACATTCTCTAACGCAGCAAACACAGCTCCTCTATCATCTCGTTCTACTATTTCAAGCAGATTTATCCCGGAAACCCCAGCATCTTCCTCGTGGTGCAATCCACACGTCACAAATTCAAAGCGAAGCTGCCACTCTAGGTTGACTCCGGACGTTATGAGCGTTGGTGTCGCTGAGACTGGAATCGACGGCATAAATGCAACCTTTGTGGAGAATAAAGTGTTATCAAAGCAGGTAGCGTGGACCTTTCGAGTCGCTCTCGTAATGCTCGTACTGGAGCGGAGAGCAATCGTTGGGTTCACTTTCTCGTAAGTCTCTAGTGAGCCGCGAAGACAGTAGCAAGGGAGTGCAGCGTTGGAAAAATCAATTGTCGCCACGACTGTTTCTCCAAGGCGGTGAGCTGGCCGATTCAATACAACCACAGCAATACGTCGACCGTTGCGCGATATTTCGAAACGGTTTGTGCTTTGCCCTGATGCGCAGGATTGGTTACTCCGTAGAATTGCCATATCAATAGTATCTTTACAAGAGAACGCCCTGTCAGCGGATTCCTGACTGGGGAGGGCTTCTGGAGGGCTTGTTATAGAATTAAACGACCCGCGGCGGGGCTGCGTCCCCAGGATTTCGTCAACGTAAGATAAAAATTCTGATGCTGATGTCCATTGTTTGGTGCTGATACTCTTTGGCTTTGCCGGAAGCGGGGAGCTAACCTCAACCTTTCGCACGCGCGCTTCGTCTCTTAGTAAGACATATGGACGCATAAGGTCATGGCCTAATACAGATCCTTGGCCTACATGTCGTGTTAGTGAGCGAGACCTATGAAACCGGAAGTACACTCACCATCTACGCCGCTAAGAACACGGAATGGAATGTTTATACGATGGACCCGCTGAACATCTTTCGCATTGGCAGTTCGTTGTGTGCCGATAATAAGATTGTATGAGAAATTCATAGCTTTACCCTTGTAGGTCGCAGGTAAACCTTTTGGTAAAGTAAATGAAAAAGAAAAGGACTTCTCCTCTCCAGGGCCTAAACCCAAATCCACGAAAAGGAGTGATTGCGGGGTAGACAGCAACGGAATAGACTGAGAAGAGGATACACCTCTCATTTCGCGTAGACCATTCAACTCTCCGCCTGATAATAAGCCGCTGATGGAGTCACTAACACCTGCCAGTCCTAGGTTTCCCCAGAATCCTTGTCGTGGCTTCTCCATTTTCGAGGATGCATCCCTATGTCCTTGGGTACCCATGACCGCGTTACGTTTAACTTCCTCAAAGATAGATTGGTTCACCAAGGATCCATCAACGGTAAAGGAAGCGCTGACTTGGGCATAGCCCATGAGCAATCTCTGAGATTGCGAGATTTGGCTCCCTGGCAAAGAATCTAGATTGGAGTAATGCCTTCTATGGCGGAGGGGAAGCCGCGGCTGGCTCATCGGTGGTATTACATACTCGGACTCTAGGGTTTCAGTCGAGTTATTACTCAACGAATAGAATTCGCCACTACTTCTGGTACTCCCATCGACAATAGAATTGGATAGAATTTTTATTGCTGGGGTCAGGTGTCCCGGTGGCTCAGGGGACCTCTTTGGTCGGACATTTGGAACCGGTGAGGAAGGGAATAAGTCAGAGCTTGGGCCATCTTCGTTAATTCGGGAACTGCTTGACATCGCTGAACCACTATTTTCGGTCTCATCTCGCGATGGCGGAGCCTGGGGGAACTTAAAATCCATCGGGAATGAATCTCCACGCTTTTGTCGGGATCGATGAGGGCGACGACTCGGGTTCGAAGTGGGAGAACGACTGGGAACTCGAGAAGGGCCTCCTTCGCCTCCGACAGACGGTAGAGACAAACTGGAAGGTGAATTAACTGACGAGACTTGCGGGAGCGGAGAACGCGGTGCTGCAAGTTTACTCTTAGAGCTCAGTCCAGCGGAAGGAGAAGAGTGAGAGTAATTACCGGACTGTGTTCCGTTGCCAAAAACATCATTCCTTCTCGTGGGAACTTGAAAACTCGCCGACCGAGCATGTCCCTTTGCCAGTCTAGGGCTAAAGGGGCTTGGAATCGACTTCCGCTCAGGGTTTAAATCCGGCTGCTCCAAGGAGATAATGGAGACTGATCTCCTGTGGCCGTGTCCGGAGGGTCTTCCATTGCTAGCACCAGTAGCAGCACTCGGTGGAAAGCTGTTGCTAAATGGGAGTGGGGAGCTCAGTGATGCCGATGGGCGATGCCCTTTTTCGGCGCCATTCCACGCTCTCTGTCCAAGAGATGCAGGCCGACGACTGTTACTATTAAACGAGAAAGGGTTCAGAGATCTTGCAGGAGAGTAATGGGCTCCATTTTCAATCACGTTTATTGGCCGAGATCCACCCCTATAATGCTTCTGTGAACCTTTACCATCAGCTCCCGAATCACCAGGAGTGACGTGCTTAAAGGTTATTGTGCATTCGACATTCTCGCCAGCGAAAATAGCTTGATCTTTCCACCGCACAAATACTTGAATATCTGACAACATGACGAACTAATAGACGTATCGTGCACGGCTCATGTCACGGGGAGGCACAGAGACAGCGGTCGGAGATAGAGAAGCTGGCGCGGATCACAGGAAATCGCGGATCGACTAAGGGCTGGCTCCAATGCGTCGGATACACGCATTCTGTCAGGATGGATACGCTGTAGATAGGAAAGCCAGCCGCAACATCACGGAATATTGGGAAAAAGGCTCCCAGTTGATGCCTCAACCGCCTGGCTTCCGGTTGTGACGGAGGGTTGCCCTCTGGCTGATCGGGCGATTAGCAATGAGCCACTTGCCCCAGGTAGGTGCACTAGTGCAAAAGGAGTCTAGTGCATATATGCCGGCGGTTAGATGTGGCGGTTAGATTTTAGGTTACGAGCTAAGCGCGCGCTAAAAAGCACTTTGATCTGCCATGCTATTGCCGCGACGGACAAATGAAGGAGCAAGTCCAAGAAATTGCGAGGCCAGCTCATCTGCTTCCTACTAGCTATCCAATCAACTCATAGAAGAGCAAAGTAAAATATTATATGTTCCTCCAGACTGTATACAGGGGAACAACACTGCATACAGGGAAGCGCTCGCGGTTCCTCTTCCCAAGTCTCCTGGATATACATGTCATATTCAAGGACTTGTCTCGATAATAAAACCGGAATCCCTTTGGTAATCATCTGTGGGCAATTCCTCTGAAAAAGCTGCGACGTTTTTATCGGCTCGCGTCTCCTCTAGCGCAATAGTAACACCCACATCGGGCTAATATCCCTTTGGATAAGAAGGGTGCTTGCAATCGAATGAAGCCTATGGGCATGGTAATATGCTATGCACATGTGTGCGTGGAGCATAGTGTGCGTCAATAACCATATAATATCCGTTATGCTGGTGCAGGATGTTGAGAACATGTCAAATATCGGAGAGCGTCAGTTTGAATAGGTTCGTCACGGCTGTCGATTTCGTGTCTCTGCGTCCGAAGACTTATCTGAAGCAGGGCTGGATGGTCTTTTCCTCAGAGGCCGCAAACCAAGCTCAGACATATGGTCCCATATACGTGTTTCCCGTCTCTCCCATCTCTCTCGCCTCTTCTCCATCTCCTTCTCGGACGGACGCCATTTGCTCTTCAAGATCCGGCGGATTGCTTCTGGTGACATTTTAAAATGCTCTGCCAAGACAGCAGTGCTAAACTTCTGGGGATTTTGCTGGTGAAGCTCTCTTACTCCCTCAATAGCATCAGGTGAAAGGCGTTTCGGTGGAGCCCAACCTTCCTGGAACTTCTTTTTCAGAGCTTCCTTCTGCAAACGCCACTGCTCCATCTTTTTAGCGGGCCGTTTTGAGACCGTCTTCGCCTGGGGATCGGGTTGAGAGTCCTTTGGTGTTGTAGAGGCATACCGCCGGGTCACGACACGGTTTGTGTGCGCAGGCTTGAGGGAATAGCCGGACCTCAAGCGAGATTCCGCCAGCGGGGAGGGTGTCCATATTGAGTTTGACGAAGTGGGCGTATGCGAAGCGGGTTTAGTATGGTGGCAGCAGCTGGTAATATTTCTTTTGGAGAAAAATAACGAGGAGTGGTCGAGCTCGAGGGCTAGGGTCGTACCACTTTGCAGTATTCTAAGGGCTTGTGCAAATGATGACCAGCGATGGTAAGGACGGCTTGTAATACCAAACATTGTGCAATTCGCATATATCAGGAGAAACAATGCACGAAACGCTTCAAACGCCAACTGGAATGCAAGTGAAGCTCATCTCATCGCTCTGCAAGAAACCTGAAAGGCCGCCTTGGCGCTTACTAAGGACATACCGCAAACAAAGCAAACACCCCTTTTTGTCTCCCATGCAAGCTCGACTTGAGCCGATGACAGAGCAAAATCCACGGCAGTTGAATGCAGTGCGTATTTACGGGGCGGGGGCAAGTTTTGGACGGCAAATCGAGGGACCATTCGAATTTGAGGCAGAACACTGAGACACCTCCCTCGTTGATATCTTTTTAGCAGCAAGCTCGTCTGATAGCTTCAGGACACTGTAAGGACTTAAAAACCGTCCGATCCATGAAACATGCTGGGTTCGTACGGAGCACTCCGTACATTATTCACAATATCCACCTAGCTTTGTTCCTAGCACCACAGAAATATGACCCATGAACTTGTAGGTATGAGGCCACGGGAAGCTCTTTTCAGCGAAATTCTCTGCTAGACCGGCGATTTCATTGCTCGAATTTCCTCTCGGCTTGGTAATGCTGGTCTACCTTTTGGTGCAATTTAATGCTATTTTAAGGCATTTATTGACCAGGATTCGGAATGCATGTCTCCGCAGATATAAAGTACGTTACTTCGTATATAGAAACCATTGCGGCGTTCCCGAACCACGGCTCTCGAGAGTTTCGATATACTTTATGTGGGGAAGGCTGGGTGAGAAAGCAGGACCGAAGGAGGTGGAGCAAGGGACCGTTTCGGATACAGATGCTGAGTGCCGAGTACGAAGAACGGAGTCGAGATCTCTATCAACTAACTTAGTATCCGTGCAACAGCAAGGGAACAGAGGAAGCCAAGGGCATCACCTTGCCAGCGTTTGTAGTTGTAAATTTGGATGATTAGCACTCAATAATCCAAACCTTGAGCATCTGTGTACCTATTTCGTATCCGATGAGAAAACCTTCAGCAAGCCACCCTTGTCTGGTCCGTGGTGATGGTGTATGCCAAGTCACCGATGCTGGGATGCTGGGGTTTGAAGAGCTTCGCGGAACTAAAATCTAATCGCCCTACAGAAGCTCGTGCAGGAATTTCGCGTCCGGCGACAACTCAGCCTTGACAAAGCTACATCTTTGGTATCCCCTCGTTTATTGACAGCATTTGCTCACCCCAACATTCCTTTTGCCGTCCAGCGTGTCGGTGTGTTCCACAGACGTTCCTTTGAAGTGTGGTCTTTATTGACCTCGTTTATTTGCGGTTACTGCTATCTAAGCCCTCCCCCTCCACAACGCCTCACACTCCCTTTTACCTCATCCGAAGATAATGCCGATAGTCCTGGCCTATTTCGATCTTTAGAGTGACGAGTCGACGAGCTGTAGTTACGCCCCCTTGGTCTTCGTCTCGACCAATGCCGCCCCAAACTGAAATGAAAACCAGATCCAGATTGATTGGGGCGTCACAACAACCAACTCCACCTCCCAACAATTGCGGAGGTAATGGCAAATAACAATTCTCTCGGCGTCAGAAGCAAGCTATCCGCTCCCGCAGCATCTGTCAAAATCATTCCCGCAAACTCCCCCGTTTTGAAACCTGGTACAAAACAGCCCTCCAAGCTCTCACCTTACCAATGTACGCTCTCGCTGCGGACGGTGATTGGTACGACGACATCCAATCCAAATGGCTTCTCCTGCCACGAGTCGAGCCGGACGTTTGCTCTCTGTGCCGGATCGGCTGCTGTTCTAGCAGAGCTGGACGAGGACTTGAATATCTCCCAGCGATTCTTCCGGGCTCGTCCTACAGCCACAGGGATCAATTCCACACCTTCCTACTACAACAATACCTCCACACCGCCCACTACGCCCGACACACGCTCTAGAACTCTCCAAGCTGCTTTGAGACCGGCAGGGAATGGCATTCCATCCGCAAGCTCCCCAAGCGAGTGGGGAGAAGCGGCCACTCCGCGCTCATGGACCTCCCGAGAGAGGATTAAAGCTGTCACAAGCGTAGCTTTGAGTCCAAACGGCAGATTTCTAGCTGTAGGAGAGGTACAGTGCTCGATTCCATGATATTAGAAGGTGCCGAACTGACCTTAACTTCTTGTATTAGACCGGCTATAACCCACGAGTCCTGATTTTTTCAACAGCGAATGATTCCCCATCTGATATTCCTTTGTCGATTCTAGCGGAGCATACGTTTGGTGTCCGGAGTCTTGCGTTCAGTCCAGATTCACAATACCTGGCTACACTGGGAGATATAAACGATGGTTTTCTTTTTATTTGGGCAATCAACCTGAAAAGTGGCGCCGCTCGGCTTCATTCTGCAAACAAATGCACTTCATTTATTCGAGACATGTGCTGGTTAGGCACTAACCTCATTACGTACGCCTACGCACTTATATCCGCCGCTTTTTTCTATCTAATTGTTTTGATTTAGGGTTGGTGTAAGACATATCAAGGTCTGGCGGTTAGGCGACGGAACGCCAAATTCTCCAACAAGATCAAAAGCTAATTCCGATCCTGCCAATGCTTCTCCTGTTAATCCTGGGCCTATCGCTTTACCTGGAAGAAACTGCATATTAGGCTCCCTCAGGGACAGTATTTTTACGTGCATCTCAAATATATCCGACACCGAAGCTATCGTTTGTACGGAATCTGGCGCCGTATGTTTCCTAGACGACGTCGGGGGGCAACAGAAGCTGCATCTCATTAAGAACTTTGACGTTGCCATCCTATCTGCTGCCATTGATCATGAGTCTGCAACGGTCTGGTTCGGCTGTCGCGACGGAACCTTTCAGCAAGCTTTGATCGGAGATTTGAGGCATTCGGTTTCAACGGGTGTGGCTCTAAACACCGAGTGTCCACGGTCACCTAAGTCAAAGCACTTGTCAACTGTTGCTATGGGAATCGTTTCAAGTTACATGGTCATGGTGGATTCCACCCATGCCATTCGCGTTTGCTCGTTGGTGTCACCAAGCCAATGTCAGGAAGACACAACACAGGAAGTGGATATTCCTGCACACAAGGATCCTGTCTTAGGCATAAGCGCTGTAACTGCACCAGATATACATTCTAGTTCCCAGTTTTTCACTTGGTCTTCCAATGGAGCTGTTAATTTCTGGGATCTAGAAGGAAAGTGTCTCAGCACCCAAAGAGTGGAAATAGAACAAGTTTTGGGTAGCAGTGATGAACCGAATGAGCTGAAAGTGTTACGAGCAAGTGAAGACATGAAAATATTTGTCTCCGGAGACAAATATGGTGTGATGAGGTTTGTAAACCCTTTACCAATTTCTGCTATTAATACTAATTTAATACCAGGAGAATTTCCCGTGAATCTTGGGCCTGTGAGCAACAAGTCAGAGCGCATGCTGGAGAAGTTACAGATATCGCAATACATTCAAGTTCGGGGTTATTCTTAACTGCGACATGTGGCCGAGACAGAATGGTTCAGGTCTTCCAAAACGATGGTGACTCCTTCAGCTTAATCCAAACGATGGATGAGCATGTGGCTGCTGTTAGCCGCCTATTATTTACAAACGACGGCGAAAAACTACTATCTTGCTCTGCTGATCGCACAGTCGTAATACGAGATCGTATGTGTCGAGAGATTGATGGCACGATAACCGTTGCTTTCTTCTTATCTAAAGTTATAACTTTGAAAGCCTCTCCAATTTCGATGACACTGCTGCCCGACGACTCGGATACTCTTGTTGTATCCACCATAGACCGACAAATTCATAGATACGATATTCCTTCATCCCGTCATCTTCACTCCTTTAAATCCAATGATTCGGAGACAAGTGATACGGTGGTGATGAGCTCTCTTATAGTTGGATCTGAAATCGCTGGCATAAGTCCCAAATTAATCATTGGTGTGTCAACAACGGATAAGTCGGTACGAGTCTACGATTTTGGCAAAGACGGGCTCTTAACACGGGAGTTTGGCCATACGGAGGGTGTGAGTGATGTGCTACTCATCGAGACCAATTGTGGAGGCATACAGAAACGGACGCTGGTCAGCACTGGATTGGATGGTATTATCATGATTTGGGATTTAGCTATCCAGCAGCAACAGACACCTTTATCAGAGAATGCGCAGATCCCGGCGCGAGCCGAAGAAGAAACTCCAAACAAGGAATCAACGGCTGTCAAACCACCACTACGACGAATTCTTTCACGAAGTGAGCTTGCAGTTTTCCAGAAATTGGATAGTCCTTCACCAAGCCCAACCCCAATTCGGGATCCCTCTCCGCCACCTTCTCGAAGAAAGACCTCTAGATATACCCTATATCATTTCGCCAGAAACGGGACTTCGTCTTCTAGCCCCCAAACACCTCCAGTGTCTCTGTCGCGTCGATCTCCAACGTTCTATTTGGACGGTAATGGTAGAAATCGACGGGATGGATCCGTTTCACCTCCCAGCCCAAAGTCTGGCTCATCCAGGACGTTGGGCACGAGAAGCAGCCACGCAAAACTTCGCAGGCCATCCATAGATATCCGGCGACCAAAAAGTAACGGGAACACGAGCGAATTCGGCAGTTTGAACATGTCAACTGAACAGGTTTGTCGGACTCTCCGAGCGTATAGAAAGAAACTTCACGGATCTACCGATCACCTTCATTCCGCTACCGAGCTTGAACGCGAACTAGAGCTTACTGTGCGAGCGTTGACTGAGCGAAATAAGCGAAATCAAACGAGTGAAGATTCGACAGACTCCGACAATAGCAAATTAATGCCTCCGTTACCTTCGAAACCGGTACGGCTTGCTCGTCGAGTTCCATCGACGCCCAATCTAGGGAGATCAAGGAAAAGCGATAAAAATTCCAAACAGATTCATCGAACGAACTCCCTTGATGCCGATGGTGAGGGTTGACTCACCTATGATTAGCACTCTGACTAGGCTCATTTTCCGTTGGTGCCTTCTCTCTTCTCTTTCTGATACTCATCATGCATTCATATATCATCTTGTCGCCTGATCTATTGATCTAGGTGGGATCAACCGTGGTTTTTCTTGCAGATAGACATCGGCTGGATGGAGTTACACCGATAATTAGATGTTCTGTTTTTCGAGATACCACTGAGTTTATTCCCTACTCCGTACATTTTACCATTTCATTGACACTTCTTCCAGCTAGTTTTCTTTGCATTTCTGCATCTTTTTTTGGGCATCTTTGGCAATGGTCCCTTATGTCTACTTTGATTCATAAATTCGCAACACCTCCAGCATACCCTATACCCGGAATTATCGCGAGCCGGATGTAATCCCCACTGGCTCTTCCAAGATTAATGTTTATTCTTCATTTCCTATTTCTTTCTCGTTCAACAATATTACTTTTGTGAGAATTGGCTCGTATATCCCTTCTTTGGGCCGTCTCTTTTCCCCTTCTGACGAATTCGCTTGATATCATACTTCATTTTCCCCCCGGAAACCATGGTAACCCATGCTTGCTCTTTCTCCTAATTTACTCTACTTGATGTTTCTTACTGAATATACCATGTCTTACATGGAGCTGATAGCTTACTTCCTTATACCTTCAAGGTCAGAAGAGTTTCAATGACATTGACAGGTCACTTGAACGATTATGTACATTCATAAATTGCTATTCAATATGCTATATATTATATAGGTATTAGTATATACAAGGAGGGCTAACTTTTCTGCACTGCCCTAAGCCTTGACCGAGATATTGAACACAATATTGGTCTCGAGCGAGTTCTCCGCAGCTGATGCCCATTCATCAACCCAATGTCTAGCATTGGTGATCATAATAAATCTAGCAACAAGGTGGAGTGAAAGCTGAACGTAAGAAGTTCGGACAACTTGCTGTCTGAAAGAGAAGACACCTCTTTCTAGTGTGAAAACGGTATTCAAACTGGATTTAATTAATCATCCCAAGTTAACCTCCCAAATTTCTCCTGCAGGGTCTTCCACAGGACACCATTATCATGCAGTAAGCGGGCTAGGTCAAGCGCTTTTCCATACCATCGCTGACTTGCCATATCATCAGATGCCAAATAGAAGTCAATAGCAAGATTGAACGCCGTCGTTGATAACCATTCGAGTTCCTCATCTGGGTAAGTATGTCGAGAAACTGATTCTGTGTTTGGATGCGCCTCACTATTTTCTTCATGTTTTTGGTATTCAGGCCCATCTCGAGCTAATATGTATGCTTGATCGAGTATTGATTCCGCAACTGCAGCATTTGATTTGATTGAAAGCTGGAAAACACACCTAACCCATCGGGAGATCTTTTCCAGGTTTTGGTGCTTCCTCTCTTGTGACACTTGTGTGAGTATTTGCTACGAATAGTCAGTATAACAACGTGTGCAATGCACTCGCTTAGGGTTAAGGAAAGTTACCTCTGATGTTTTAAGCATCACCTCGACGGGCGCCTCGGAACTTAGGACTGCGTCTGCAAAGAGACTATAGAGCATTTCATCCGCAATCTTCCGAGATTCATTCAACATTTCACTCAGATTACTCCATTGTTTCAACCTAACGGCTGCCTCGAAATCGAATGCAAGTAAGGTTCGACGCTTTTCCGTTAATGCAGCTAGGGACTCATCATTTGATAATTGTTCGAAGAGAGGCAACGCTACCTTTCGAAATCCCTGTATATGCGCTCTAGCATTAAGATAGAATTGGTTCTGAAGGAAAAATTAGCTTTATCATATGCACAAATGCTGGAGAGTGCCAACCTGGACTTCGGAATCGTTATGCGTCCTTGCTTGTGCTACCTCTATTACGGCTGCTAGGAAATGACATAAAATGTTTCGCTGCTCAATATCTCTTCGGGCTTCTATGCCTAAATTCTCTGGGTACAGAGCTATGATCTAAATGACAGTTAACCTCGTCATAATGCGAAACCGGGGACAAACCATACCTTTATACAGGCATCCAAGAGGCGCAAAACATGATGAGGGCCCCACGTCGTACAGTATTGCAGCGCAAGATTATAGCTGTTGCGAGAGAACCATTCAAGCTCAAGAACAGTGAGTTGGCCAAGGTCGAGAGCATTGCGCGACACAGCTATGTGTACTGAGAATTTTGAGACTTTGTATATTTACCGGAACAATTCTTCTTTTGTTTAGACACTCACAACTGTCAAATGTTTTGCATATTTGGCCCACAAGGTCTGGCCTATGGGATTCACTGTGACTTAACTGAGTTATCAGAAGCCGAGCAGTACACCTGTGGCATGATCAGCCAGCCTGCAATATGGATTACAAATACGGATGCAAACATACCGAAGAAGGGCAGGGAAGTGTAATTGCCGGGTTGAAATGCTATCTAAATGGTCGAGAATCTGCTGCAAGACAATTGCAGCTTGTCGGTCAGCACCGCTATGAAGAGCTTCAGCAACACAAGCCAGTAAGTACGTCTGCCGCTCTGTATCAAATTTGCATATGATTTCCAAACAGTTTCGAGCTATTCCTGAGTTAGCCTTGGTCATCAGATGAAAGCTTCTCTCTTCACACCTAGATCCGTATCTTCATCCTGCAGAGCCACCCTGTACATGAGGTATCTCGTCAAGGCCTCCGATTTGCAAGCTTCAGATAATCTGGAGAATACTTCTCGCGCTATTCCCGGAGCTTTGCATTCCAAAGCGCACACAATTAACCTCCTGCTTCCAGTCAGTCACAAATTTGGTGAAAAATGATTGGTATGGGAAGTTCACCTTTCTATTTTGCACTTGTTGCTTTCCCCTGAATTTGCAAAGAGCGGATGAAGCGCTAGTTGGCACCAGTTCCGGGCAGTATCATAATCTTTATGGTCAAAAGCTGCGGCGACTTTCTTCCATATTAACTATTTTGCCTCGTTAAGAGTGTCCAACATTGAAGATTGAAACCAATGGGAACTGACAATTAAAGATGCATGAGCAGCCTCCCCAGACAGTGGCAATTTCCAAGCCTCCATCAACTTTGTCACGATTCCCTGGAGTGACTCAACGCCGTCACTTACGCCCGGACTCGCAGTCTTCATCCAGACATACGTAACGAAGCCTCTTTCAAGAAATGTTTCATTTCCATAAGGAGCCAATCGCTCAAGAATTAGTTGTTCTAAGGTATCCGTGGCCAGATCACTACTAAATCATGGTCAACTAAGGAAAGGCTCAAAATTGGATAAACGCTTACTTGCAATTTCGTAATTGGTGGATATGATGGACGATCCTGAGATCTAGTTAGACGATCTCATTCAAGCTTGATAATTAAGATTTACCAACAGTTTAAAATTCAACTCGCTTGCCGAAGCCGTTTTAAGAAAAGCACAGAGGCCTACCATCCTATGAGGTCAATAGCCTTTCTTGAGGCAGTGCATGCTCGCTCACTTACGATCATAATATTGTTTACAATCCGGATCCTTTTGTGTCTGTATCACATCTAGATGCAAAAGCATCACTTCTGGCCTATGACCGTATTCCTGTAGGATGAGCATATATGTCTTCGAAAGCAATGGTTTAAATAGGCATACTCACATTTTCAAGGATACTGAGCAATCGAGTTACTTTTATCCTCGAGTCTGCTGTATGTAAAGCATTGTTCGCCCGCACTGCAACGGAATTATGTCAGTAGTCGCCCAGATATCAAAGAGAACGTCCCATAAAGATAGTACTACCAAGCCCATGGATAATACACAGTCTCATATCACTTGCATCGGGACTTAACATATCTAGCTGCCTTTGCGAAAGTGTCTCCAGTGCTCTCTGCAACCATTTATCCGCTTCATGATACTCTTTCTTTTCCACCAGAAATTTGCCAACTTCGAAAAGAAGACTCGAAAGCTGCTCTACCAAGACCGCATCCTGCTGAAGGGCCTGATGCGGAAGCTTGGAAAGCATATGCTCCGCAAAGTCGAGCCGGCTCTGCTTCCATGCCTGGGTAATCGGTCAATGACAGGGACAAAGGGCATTTAGAGTGACGGATGCAAACCAGATGAATGCGCAGAATATAATACTCAGCCGATAACTTGAGCGAAATATCATCCCTTTCTCCGGCATTGCTACATTCTGTGGAGAGCTTTTCTTCTCTCAACGCTGCCTTTTCGAGTATTTTCAGACCGATGTCGAATTGACTGAGCACTTGACTTCGAAATTAGCATACACAGTATATCCAGTTGAGAATTAACGGACCTATGCAAGATTTCGCAGTTTTCAATGCCGTTCTGAGAAGACGGATTTCATCTATTATCCCGCTTAGTTTTTCGCGACGCAGAGGAAGTAAAGGTCTATACCTGAACAGTCATCCCTCTGTCGTGTGGCAGCGCATTCTAGTATCAAGAATGCAAACGCTCTAACTAAAAAGAAGGGTAAGCACTTGTAAACGAGCCTATCTCCTCACGCTCGTCGCAAACCTTGACTTAGGAACTTAACGATGTCGTCCGCCAGTCCATCCTTTCTCATACTCCTAGTACATGCATTCCAAAGCTTTGTCCCCATAGCATCCAGTGCTTCTCTAGCTGATGATTCAGGCACCCGTGTTATCCGCGAGGCAGTTTCGATATGTTGACGGAGGGCTGTGAATTTGCTTTGTGCAGTTATATTGCAGGGGCTGCCGTTTCCACCGACGTCTACGTACAGAGATTCTGCAAGATCTACGTCTGGTCAGCATTACCATCGACTAAACTGTGCACTCCAGACGTCTCGAGGCGAAGCGACATGGACGTACTAACCTGTGATAGACTTCAATTGCTCCCTGCGGGATTTCCGGTGTAGTTCCATCTTCGAAAGTAGAATCAAACGTCAATCAACCCTAAATAATTTCAGTTCGTTGTGATGAATTTCCAGACTGAAAAAGATATCATGGGAATAACGATGTATTTAAGTCGAATCAATGATATCTGTTCATTTGGGTGGAACTTTTTGAACCCCGCCTGAACGAGCATGTCCTAATAGGGAAATCAGCCTCATCAGTCCTTGAAGCTCTCCTTTCCTAGGCCTTTTTTTTCTTTTCTTGGCGAGTAACAAATGTGTGTGAATGACTTGGAGATGCTCTGAAAATACTCGCGGGATTCTACTATTCATAGGTGTATCTAGGTGAACAGGAAATTTCATCCACTTCCGAAATATCTCTTGTGAACCCTCAATGTCATATGAGTAAATTAGCCCAAGTGATGCACAAATAGGGGATATGTATGTACAAATGTAAAGAAAGGGGGATGTATATATAAACGAAGTCCAATTCCAGTACTCATGAGCCCGAGTTTCATTTCCCCGATGAGCCGATGAGATACAACCCGCGTATATATGTAATATGATTCAGCGGTATGCCTACCTGTCTGTTCGCTTCGTGGGTAAAAAGTTCCCAACAATGATAGAGGGTCTAGAATGGGGCATTAGCGACATTTCTGATTCCAAATTTTAGGCGAGGTAACCTTACATGTTATGGGGATCGCGACGTATGGTAAATGAAAAGCAACACTGAATACCCTGCTTAGGGCTCTTCGGGTCTGGGCTCTTCAGAGTGCAACTGGTGAGCATAGCCTTTTGCGAGCTATCAAATGCAATTGCACCAAACTTTTCCCAGTAGCTAACGAGCTGGTCCTCGACTATTATTTCGTGAATGGCAAGTTTACCCTGAAGATAACCAATTAGCGCAATCTACTACTCAACGAATCGCATCAAGTGGGAACCCACGTCTCTCAATGACTCAATTGGCACGTCAATAAGTTGGGCCATCTCCTTGTTTCCTCTGAAAATCTGTCCTGTTCGGCGCCAACAACACGCAGGAATGGCCATGCTCGCGAATACACGGTCATACTCCATCAGGCTTCGCTCGAACCACATCTCCACCAAAACTAGCTCGATGTCTGTGAGGCTCTGCATGCGCTCCCGGAACTTTGGCCTAAACTTATCGAGCTGACGTAAAATCTTTTGTCGAGAAGCCGGCTGGAGGTGCTCTTCCATATACTTATTGAGGCGAGCATAACCGTTCACGTAGTTGAACGGTTTAAGCAACCCAGCATCGTATTTAGCTTTAAGGAGCTTGTTCATCCTTTCTTCGGGGGGATCGGTTCCGGAGGGATCTGCAGCCGTCATGTAATATGTCTCCTTCGCTTTATCGTTCCCTACCGTGCTATTCGGCCGTTGAATGGCGTTGCCCTGAGCGGCCTGTGATTGAGATGTTGTCAGGTACTGAGGAGGGGCCATTGACGATTGTTGTGCTTGTTGCGGTTGGACAAACGGCCCGGAACCCGGCAAATTCGTCCCCATAGTATTCATGAACGCCATATCGGAATACAATCCGGGCGTGTCGTCTCCTTGATACATCGCGGATTCGTCCAATAAACTCGTGCTGAGGAAATCGTTAAGCAAGTTGTATTCGTTTGTAACTTCGGGAGCATTAAACATGTATGACGGATGGAATGTGTGCATATCCTGGAACTGATTCTGGAGCCCAAACGGCCAGTCGTTATAGCCTAGTACTGTGCGATGTCAGAGAGCGTGGATTGAAAAAAGGTGCGACCAATACTCACGCTGTTGTTGGTTCACCTGGCCAGCCGCGGTGGAAATATCTTGTCCACCCTGGGACTGTAACGCGATGCTGCCGTCTCCTAATAGTTGGTCGTTTATAGAAGACCCGGACAACTTCCTATTCATCTTCTGATTGTTCCCAAAATCATTATTCGCTTTGCCGCCGTCTTCTTCGACAGACTGTATGTCTTGTTCGCCCTTGGCCCGCCTTGAGGTTTCCCGGGGTTCATCATGACACAAGTGGCCGATGTTGCGCTTTATACATCGAGTGCATGGACGTTCCTAGCCAAGATATCAACCAGATGAACACACCAAGAACAGTGTTTCGTCAGGATGTAAGATATGAAATAAGTATGCAGGGTCGTCGTACCGAGTCGCAAGTCATATGCTGTCCGACATCAAGACAAAGTTAGCCAGTCCTCTTTGATCAGCTTAGGGGAAGAAAAAAAAAATATGTATATATTCCAGTGTGGCCGTAGACGTGTGCGCACTTATGCGCAACTGCCAGGGCACGAGCCATTCAGGGTCCTCCAAGTAAGAAGAAGAAAAAGTTATTGTAGCTCACCGAGCGCCGGCAATAGACACATGCTGCAGGAAATTAGTCACTGATTAGCAAATGGTGTATTATCGAGGCCTGCAAATGGGGGTTGAGAAAATCCAGGGACATGGAGCAAGTGGGAAAAAGAAAGAGAAACCAGGATGCGTATGTCACATCCCATTGTGTCGATCACTGCGTTGAGGATAAAAGGAAACCATTCATAGCTCACCATGATTCACCTTGCGCCGCTTCTTTGGGCTGGCACTTGCAGGTACCGTTGCCCCCTCTGCAGGTGCTGAGGATGCCTGGCTACCTTTTGCAGCCGCCGACTCCTTGGCCTTTACGGCATCGTCTTCCGTCAAGGTGGAACGAGTCACGCCGCCGGAGACCCCGTTATTCGGCTGTCTTGCTTCGCCAGCCTTAGTCATAGCCGTCTCCGCCATTATGCCCATGAGAGTGGCTAGGCCAGTGTTCCACCCTTCCGTCCGTTGATGGAGAATTCGGGTTCTCGTTTGTTCTTTGTATCACACAAGGTTCCGGGGCTGGATCGGTGACGAACTCATATCCGGTACGACGACGATAAGAAAGCAATCAATCGCCCCGGATGTCATGGGCTGGATTCATAACGGGGCGATGCGAGTTTTGATCGCTCCGGAGAAATTGCGACTTGGCGGTCATTTAAAAAGAGCAAGCCGAGTAACTAACCTACCTTTGCGCTCGGTGGACCCCCCACCCAAGCTGTGGTTTCTGGAACCTCGCCTCCCGCCCTACGAAAGCTTGGGCGTGGGTTTTGTTCGTTCAGAAGTGATTGTCTACTTCTCCTGCCTCCGGGCTCACAATATTCTGTCGCTGCTACAGGGGGTGCGAGTCGCAATTTGAACGGGAAAAAAAAAAAAAAAGGTTATAATAATAATTCAACACCCCATTCTAGCGAGGACGAGTTCCGAGGATAAAATTTCAACACTAACTAGTTAATGCAAGTGTGGAGCAGATGATGCTCTGCTGCGATACCCTAACTAACACCATTCCTGTCAAAGTCATGCCAAGTTGAGTACTCGTCCAAGATCTACGATTCTCTGGGCTCACAAGGCCTGGATTTGCAGCGGAATACGGCACAGATCTCCAGGGTCTTTTTGCCCGTTTTTCCTAGCCACGAATCGGCAATTGGCCTGGCCATTCATGCTGCCAAGCCCTATGTCCTGCGAGTGCCGCCGGCCAAGAGGACCCTGTGCGACCGCCAACACTCAACAATACATACGTACATACATATCGCACCGCCCTTCAAGCAAGTATCGATGGAATGTCCACCGCTTCGATACATCGGGAGGACCTGAATGTTTGCGTTACACAGTTTCTCCATGATCAGCCTCTACGTTGAACTGGTTGAGGAAATCAGGTGGCTATTTATCAATGGAGAAATAGTAAATAGATGAGGGTGTGGCCGGTTTGGAGTATTTCCGACTGCATCGAATTTCACCCCAACGGAAGCATATTCAACGCGGATTGAGCCCGTGTAATAGCCTCCCGAATGCCAGCAACTTGGTTAGCATTGGTCTTCATAGATTCGAGATGATTCCGCAGTTGTTTCACCAAAGATAGGACGTCCGGATCTGCATCCATCTGTAAATCTTGATTAGCCATCGATCATGCAAGATCAAAACTGGTGGTGCACACACATCGCATAACAACCCAGGTTTATCTTGGCCACCGGTCACGATGAAATCCACAGGATCCTCTATTTGTGGGGGAAGCCGTTCGAGACGTCGGAGGACCGGATGCACCTTATCAAGACATCAGCCAAAACTGTCGTACGAAAAGGGAAGGGGGAGGAAAGTGACGCCTAAATCACGTCCAACATACATTTTTCGATTGCTTTTTGCTCTGTGCCTTCGCAGCCTTGGCATTCCTCTCGAGCTCCTCCAATTTTGCGGTCTCTCTTGCAAGTTCTGTTTCCTCTCGTTTAATCTCTCTGCGAAGGAGGGTAGCGGAGCTGGTCATAGTTGCTAATTGGCTTTCAAGTAAGCGCTGCATTCCAATTAGCCCGGGCGGTCCGTTGCACATCGGTGATGGTAACAATGGAAACGGAAAATGAGCTCTCACATTCTCGTTCAAGGCAGATTCGTAATTGAAACTATTCTCTTTCGTTCCGGGGGGAAACGGCATCCTTGGCAGCCGTTTTCCTAAACTGCATGAACCAAAAAAAATCAATTAGCCAATTACTCATCCACACGGCGGAGCAAGTATGTGTGAAACAAAAGATGGCGGTAATGTTCGCGGAGAAGGCATACTTCTTCCTCACAGCGTTCAGCGCCGACTGCGCCTCAACTCTCTTCCTCCCTTCTCTCTGTCTCGTGAGCACAGGAAACTCCACTGCCTGAAAAAGGTCCTTGATTCGGTCTTGCACTGGTTCGGGTAGAGTGGTCCATTTTGATTTTACGGTCTTTTCGGAAACATGACGAGTACGAGGCACAAGCCTGGCAATCTTATTTGGCCCGCTTTCAGCATCGTCGGCATCTTTCGAGGAAACATCATGACGCAGCTTGCGCTTGGGAGGCATTGTCTTTGACCAATGTATTCCGTAAAATTCCTCGGTCTAATGGCCTGTTTGGCTGTTGCAATGCAAGGAAAATATAACAGGTTGTCTTTGTTCCTGGTCCGGTGTCTCAAGTTTTTTTGTCCTGACCCTGGACAGGATTGTTGTCGCCTACGTTATATCGGCATTGAGGTTCAATTGAAACGAGAGGCACGTGTCACAAACAAGCTTCCAAAACCTTCTTCCAGACGCGCGCAACCGTCATCGCCTGCTGACTAAGCTGTCGGGAAACCATAGTGCCAAGACTCCGTCGCGATAACTTAACCCCGCCCGCGCCCGCAATTTCACATGTCGATGATTTTTCCCAACCTCACAAAAAGCTCCTCTTCTTCCCTGATGCAGGTGGCACCCAGTAGAGGTCCCCATTTCTAACCTTGTTTTCGCCAGGCACCGACGAAGCGGACGGGTTTTGCGGGGACGGAGACCGGGGATGGTCCAGTAAGCTCTCTTGGAACGTGGACGCCGCCCCGATCCTCTCGCGAATCGATGGGGATGGAGGGTCAAAAAACATGGTTCCTCACCCGTGCAGTCACCGGTAAGGCCCTCGTGGGTTACCACCTGGGGGTGGGCACATGGGACACGGGGCACGAGTAGGCCTTAGTTTCTTCACGGGAGCTAGAGAGAGGGGAGAGCGCAGATCCCGAGGTTTCGATACCCCAATCCAAGATTGTCTCGCAGGGCTATTTTTTTTCTAACCTTGGTTTGGGTGACTGCTATATTTTCGGAATCTAGTGGTCTGAACGACGGGTGAAGGCCGGGACCGAACGGCCCAGATGAGAGGTGTTTCAACTTCCTTCAGCTACCTTATTTGAGCCATAAGCTATGGAGTTGCCTTGACCCTACCTTGTCGCCCAGACCAGCTAGGAAGTCTCTGCCTTCCGAGTTGCATACGTGCTGCACCGAATGGAGAACCTCTAGTGTGGCCATTCAGAGGCATGGTGTGCCCCAGTGTATACATCAAGGTTTAACACCTTCTAGTACGGAGTACGGAGTAGATCAGGAGGAAATTTCATTGGCATGATGGGATCTTGATCATGAATCACTGTTACTAATATTAGTATATGTACCGATAGGTGTCATCGGGGTGGTTGAATGTATTGTATGTACATCTGCCTGCTGAACTCAAACACGATGGATAATTTTCGTATCCTCCATGAACCTTACGTTCCAACAACTCTCCAACTGCCTTCTAGGCGAGAGGGACACAAAAATATAGGTGCCCTATATCCTAAACTCTGGTAGGCGAGCAGAAAGGATAAAATGCAAAGGGCCAAAAAGGGCAAAAGGACAAAAATGCTCGCTAGAATACTGTACACAGAAGGCAAGAGAGATATGCACCAGGCCATATGCTCTGGATATTAGTTGGCTAAAAAAGGATCGAAGAAAGAGAAATGCATGCCACGGCGCGTGATAGTTCAATACAACGTGGGTGTGCAAGTAACGAAGCGGATGTCCACCAAGGTATATGTGTAATTTTTATCATCCGCCAGTTCGCTCTCTGATGTCTCCTAATTGAAGTTTGAGCATTTCGTTTCCTTGAAGTAAATCTTGCAGCCAATCAGCTGCCTGCGCGAGCATCGTACTTTTGCTGAAACCGCCGCCTCTGAGTTCCGGAACGAGCGAGCATAGCTCATCGAATCCCTGTTTTATGAGATTCCGCCGTTTTTGCTCCGACAGGATATGATTTGCTCTTTTCTGTTCCTCCGTCAGATTCTCACGAGGCGGTTTGATCACGTGTACTTTTGATCTGCGGGCTTGGGCGCCACTATTCGACGACCATCGTCGATCTCTTCGAGAGCTGGAAGGTCTGCCGAGGGAAAATTGAGTGCAATCGTCTTCTTCATCCTTTACTTTCCCTTTATTCTTTCGTCTTTTCGTCGGTCGAGAGTCGCCGTCCATTTGGTTCGTATCCATGGGCGAAAACTGCGTAAGAGAGTTCGGGCTCCGGAGGCTACCGACTTCAGAGGTACGGTCTGAACGTCGTCGGGGAGTTGGGCTTGAAGGTCTAGTATTTGGGGCGCTGCTCTGGGACTCGAAGCACTCCAGGTTGTGCAGTATTTCGGTCGTTCTTTCCTCCATAGTTGGCTGATCTGGCGGAACCTGATATCCTTGTTCTGCAAAACCGGCATCCGAACCCCATCGTAGAGGACCAAAGATGTGTTCCTTAGAAACAGAATAAGAACCACCATCACCCTCCGCCCTGTTATGACGCACTTCTGTATCGTTATATGCTGGGTTTCTTCGGGTAGAGCCGAAATGAGATCGTCGCACGTCCCCTCCAAGGCCATACCGTGGGTGTTTTATATCCGCCTGGTGCGAGCTTAGGTCCTTCAGGCCGTTTTCGGTGAATATTTGACTCGTGAACGTCGACGAAAAGTCATTCCCGCCCATTCCGTTCTGGTAGAGCATGGACGCAGCAGCTAGAACATCCGAACTTGGAGGCCCTGGCTTATCGACAACCGTGTTGTCGCGATGTATTCTCTGCGTAACCGGCGGATGCGACGGCAGCGAGGTTGTCGAACCCTCAAAAGTCGGGGGAAGATCTGGCCAGTCGAAATGAAGTCCCGAGTTCCCACTCCCCTGGTCTTCTAGGCCGAACCAAAAGTCATTGCTGTCGAGATGATTGGCATGCATCGAGGTAAAGAAGTTGTCCAGCATGCTTGACTCGCTATCATCCAGCAAAGCAGGCCCCGGGGGAGGAGCAGGTGCGGGTTCGTATGGTGTGTAGACTTGAAACATTGCGATCGAAACCAAGTCAGCAAGAGGGTCGTCTCACAAAACCAAAACGCACAGGAGAAAACAAGCATCAGCAACATACATCCAAAGGGCCCAGGAACGGAGCGCCCAGCGTGTCCGTGGACATGTTCAGACATACTGACTTCTGTCATGGTAGGAACCAAGCTGCTGGTGGGAGGGGTAGGGTGATTGCCTCGAAGTTATGACTGAACGGCTTTTTGGGACTTTTGCAGGAAAGACTGCCCGTGCCCAATGTTATGTGGAGGACGTTAGGGAAAAAAAAAAAAAAAAAATTGTGTACGGAATACACCGTACGGAGTACTGGAAAAGCAAAAAGCCCCGTTGCGCCGCAAGTTCTCGGGAGATGATCAAGTCCGGGGCAAGTCTGGGGGTGGATAGTCAGTTGACAAGAGGCAAAACCGAACACCACGGGGCAGGAGGAATAAGCTGGAGAAGGGACATATATCACACTAGATTTAATAGATGATATCTCGTGAAAATCTGGGGAAATTATTGCTGGTTCAAAATATGGTTGGAGCAATGGGGCATAGTGCATGGAAAAGGGTGCTGGCATTGGCTGGATCCTGCAGGCAAGGGTATTGGGATGGATTTGGACGACGGAGAGGATCACATGCAAACAGAATCCTTCCAACTGCGGTCTGAACAAATGATCAGCCCAGAGAGTGTTCGCGTGACGTAGCGGCCGCCCTGCTGGACCACACACGGGCCTCGCTCGGCAGCCGGGCAATGTAGTTTTTCCAGAAAATTCGGTCTCGGACAACCTCCTAGCCTAACCTTATTGGCCGCCGCTCTCTCCTGCCGTAAATTGGATTTGCGCAATCCCACCAATCAAAATCCATATTACACGCTCAGTCCCCACTGTGCCCAGAGCAGCAACACGAATACGACGCTGCGAGAGATGATGCAAGTGAAGGACCGCACTTCGGAAAAAGAAAAGAAAAATTCCAAAAAGAAAAAAAAATAAAAGGATAGTTAAAAAATAAAAGATAAAACTAAAAAGCCGAAAAAAAAAATTATTATATATCAAAAGAAAGAAGGACTCAAAAGAAGAAAAGGGATGTATGAAAACAATATCAAAGATTTTGACTCGTCTACTCCTTGAAACACAACGCTATATGTCTCCACCAGGACTCGAACCCAACCGCTTCCCTGGGCAAACATACATCGTTGCAGTCTCTCCGAGTAACCCGCTGACGCGAAGGATCTCATCCTAGTGGTTCCTCTTTTTTCTTTTTTTTCTTTTTCTTCTTTTTTTTTTTATCGTGAGATCCATACATCCTGGTGAAGATCCGGCTTGCTAGCCAAAGGGCCTGAGCACACGTCTGGTCGACACGCATACATCGTCACGCTGACAGTCGGCCTTTGCATATTGGAGGGTGCTTTCTGACCCCCATGATGTGCCAAAACTGCGAACCCTCGAGATCAACGATTACGGGGAAACGCCTAGATCGAATTACCCGATACCCGAACCCATCGTCCTCTTCCAGGAAGACCCTGGAAGCTCCCGAAGGGCGGGCGATTCAAACCTATCAGCTGGAACTGCATCATCTTGAGAGTTGCCATGTCTACCTTTTTGCTGCATATAGCTCCCAATGGCACGGCCACTTGCTGTCTGCAACATGCGATATGGCATCAAAGTCTTTGTGCCTTCGGATGCAGTAGGCCGTCCGCCAATGCGAATATGCCGAAAGCTCTTTTGGAGTGAGAACTCAGGGAATCGAAGCTTGACCCTGAACAACCTACAAACGATGCTGGGTTCAAGGGTATGTTCTCGAAAGGGTATGGGTCTCCGGGGATTCACACCTCCCCATGAGGCTGATAGGGCAGATATTCCCAGGGGTCCCTGGCCTCTTCAACTGGTTTGCAGAACATCTATGGGTTCACTTTAGTTGTCGATCTGTTCGGCTCTCCTAGCCAACGCTGAAGCGTGGAGCCGCCCTTTCTTGCTTCCCTTCAAACATGATCCCGAGGCGCAGCAGAGACGGGATGGACTCATTGGATGCTCAACGCCATACGTAGTATGGCATAAGCAAGGGAAAAAAAAAAAGAGGAATGTCTCAAATGATGCCTCACGGCTCGCCGAGACAAGCGAAAGATTAGACAGGGCAAACGCTCCAAAATACCCGACTACTTCCCAGCTACCCCTTTCCGCAATGGCTACCGGATCATAAAGATGTTCATTGGCATTGAGAACTCTGGGGATCGTGGACAATTTGCAACTTCGGGCTTTGCAATGAAATTCCCAAAGCCCGCACAATGGGCCAAAGTATATCATCACTTTTGATACATATCCAATGAGAGATATGGGCCACGAACAGTGTTCATACCGACGAGCCAAGTAGGCCTTCTGTATGGATCCGAGAGGTACCGAACAAAGGGCCTGCCAATTTCTGTCTTGGCAGCCAGGATCTGTGTGATCTTGCATTGAGAAAAAGTGCATCGGGGTAGGTGTCCAATCACACATCATCTCGAAGCTTGCCAGAAAAGATCAAAACTACCGTGGGAGTATCGACGGCTCTGTTTATCGCCTAATGTAACATGTAGTTTGTCTTTGGCTTGACTGGAGCAGAGTGAACCCCTGAAACACACCGTAACCGTAGTATGCGAGGCCCTCTATTCACCCCCACAAAATGGGGATGCATGGAGGTGCCATAAGGTTAACCTTTCCGGATTTGCAGAGCGTATGTACTGTACATATGGACATTGGAATCACCCGCGTCGCGTGTTGGCAAAACTTTTCGATATCGCAGTGTACATATTTTGTAGCTGGACGGACAGCGGAGTGGATTGCGTTGTGATGGGGGGGAGAGGTCGAACAACCTGGTTTAAACGTGGAATGAACGTGACGTCGCGACCAACCGAGGTTTCCAGAATCACGCTTGCCAGGCCAGACCTCATCCCAGCAACCGCGTCCAGTTCGTCCTCGCATCTCCAACTTCTACTTCCCAGCATTGCGAGGGGTCAAGGCAGGGGTTCCAAGGAAAATGAAAATCTCCGAAGTGGTCATAGTGGAATCTTTTCTGCGCGGGAGTCGACAACACCAACTCTGAAACGCATTGAAACCTGATCATCCTTTTCGCCCCTGAGCGAAGGGAGCTTACCGTTCGACGGCCCACCATGGATCGCCTCCTAAGACGTCGGATAAAAAATTTGGATTCACGAGTCTTGAAACCGTATGTGCAGTTCCCTCACATCGACTGATCGAAGGATTCTTGGAGCTATTACGAAAAAAGAGCATAAATCCATGCACGTTCGCTAACGCGTCGACCGCCGCAGGACGCTCCGCGCGTACGCCCTTGGGTATCTCACAACGACAGGGCCAAGGGTCGTATCGTTCATCAGAGTTCTTCGAAGAAAGGATTTGAGCAATGAAGTTAAAGTTAGACATGTAAGTAACCGGCCTTTCACCGCTAGCTTCTTGTGTGGCAGCCACCAAAACCCTACCCTTGATACACCCGAAGCGTAAACCAGACCCATCATTCAAAGCTAATCCAGCACGTGTAGCTTGCTCATATACTTGTTGCGGCTCTACGATGGAATAGATTTCCATCGGTTTGTGCTCTCCTCGCCGCCGGTTCTACACTGTTGCCACTACTTTTGAACAGGGTCATAGCAGCTCTGTTCAATCGGCAAAAGTCAAAAAGAGTGGTTCTGGCTGTAAAGCTGAGCCGGCTTCTACGTTTTGTAGCGACTTTCGTATCAGCGTGGCTTTGTTTCCCTCTTCTTAACAGCAGGAGGCGACCTGAGTCGGAGCCCAATACGTTTAGAAATGATGCTTTCCCGGATAGAGGGGGAAATACAATCAACGTATCGAGCCAAGGTCGAAGATATTCTGTTTCGACAGCCACGCACCGCCCTGCTTTTGCTGGAAGGACTCTCGATCTCACTCTCTTTGTGGTGGTTAGGGCGGTGGATGTGCTTGCGTGTACGTCGTGGTCCCGATGGAAGCTGCATCGAAGAGCTCGCAAGAGCTTTACGCGCATAGAGTCAATTATGCCTCAGTTATTGGACACTGGGGTATTCGCTGTAACCGCAGCTACTGTTATGTGGGCTTGGTTCTATGTACCCGAAAAGCTCCCATTCTCCTATGGTAGGTGGATTAGTGAAGTTGCACAGATCGATCCCCGCCTCATAGAAGCTTTGCGGAGTGCACGAAGGGGAGATTGGACCTATGGAAAACCAAAAGGGTCTCAGGATGTGCTGGAACCAATGTGCGAGGATTATGGGTGGCCGAGAGTCTGGGGTGACCCCTCACAGACCGTTCCAATACCATGTGAAGTCGTTCATATGGGCTGTGGCCCGAACTGCGAAGTTCACGCCATATGGCGATTTGCAAAGTCCTTTAGGTTTGCACTGATGACTGACCTACCGATACAGCTTTTATTACGCTCAAGATCACCTTCTCTTCAAGGGTATTTCGGAGCTGTAAAAGCTTCGCTTCGTTCTTCCACCTTTCTGGGGCTTTTTGTTAGCATATTTTACTATTCTGTGTGCCTTGCTCGCACTCGACTGGGCCCCAAAATCTTCTCCTACGAAAAGGTCACGCCGATGATGTGGGATTCGGGACTCTGTGTGGCCTCTGGCTGCATGATGTGTGGATGGAGTGTTTTTGTTGAAAGTGCAAAAAAGCGCCAGGAAATTTCTCTATTTGTCGCGCCGAGAGCCATTGCTACTTTGCTTCCTCGGCGATATGATCGAAAGGTGAGTGGGTCCGAAGATATGGCGTTTCGCTATGTTACTAACAGCCATGGACAGCATATGTGGAGAGAACAGCTGGCATTCTCTCTTGGTACTGCAATTGTTTTAACGTGCATTCAATCGGATCCCAAAAAGGTTCGCGGTGTTCTAGGCGGGGTACTACGTCAAGTCTTCGGGAAAGCATGAGCATAGAGAGGGTTTGATTCAATAACGGCGTATCATAACTGTTGTATTACTAGATCTCGGGTCGATGGGTTCATGTGGCAACTTTCGGATACAAATACATGCGTTCCCATATGAGGGAATCTATCAGGGTCCCCAACCGCTGAGGAGTGTCGGTTGGTCAAATCGTCCGACATTTTAAAGCAGCGTCAGGGAGGAGTAAAAGGGGGATCGTATAAAGCGAAGCCCGACCGGCATTTTTCCGCAACAACGAAGATCGGTTTGATCGCCCAGAGAAAGCCGGATGTCTTTTTGAAGTCCGAAACGAGATTGCGATCGCTCCGGTTCTAGTAAAACGGAGTCGACAGAAATGCGCCGAGGCATGCTACCCAGGCCGGGAAATCGGCCACTGCTAATCTCAGGCGATGGAAGCCGAGCCATCTGCCCATGTCGCTGGCAGCGCCATTCCCGGTCCGTTCTCCAAGCATATCCTGAATTGGACCAGCCACCCACGGAACGAAAAACAGATGCCCAACTGCAGCAGCCAATCCCGCGCAGTAAAGCTTAGTGCTGAAGGTTGGAATGGAGAATTTGTAGTCAAACACCAAGTTCGCGATGGTTGCGGTGCTCGTGGTCATGTTGAGAGCCAAAACAACCCACACCGAACGGTGGAAGAGAACTTTCCACCACTTTGGCAGGATTTCGTCTGACTGCTTGCGGACTGAAGGGTGGAGGAAGGTGGAATTGTAAACTAATTCTGCCGTTGCGTAAACGAGGGTGCCGGTGCTGCCGATGAGGGGCGCTACGCGGAGAAGCCGCATGGGGTCAAAAAAGACTCCGGACGCCATTCTGGGAGTATTCGATTAGAAGTGGAAGTAATGTTGAACAAACAGATGAACAATAGCTTTTACTGTGGCCTTTTGGATTGAGTAATGAGGTTAGAAGTTGTTTCCATCCCAAAGCAGTTGAGAGCGCCGGTGCGCTCCCGTGTCCGGCGCATGGAGTAAATCGCGGGATTTCGTGGGGCCGAAAGATCGTACGTCCAGCCCTGGTCTCGAGCTTTGGGTTGCTCCGCACTCCGCACTCCGCAACCAACCAACCAGCTCTTTAGTTACCTGTTACAACCTAAGCCATGGTGTACTCGTCCTTCGTGGTCACAGTTTGATTCTCAAATCCCGCTCCCCACGGCCCGAGCAACGCCTACCATCCATCCTCTAATTAAAGTATCGAGATAGAAACTAATCTCCAGCAAACCAGGCAATTTTGCAACTTGAACCTGTTCTATGAGTTATTGGTGAGATGTCTGTGAATAGCAATACTCTCCGATATCTCCATCTGCCAAATTGGAAGTTTTTGGAACCCCCACATGGCTATGTTCAAGCAAGCTGTAGAATAGCCGCAAATCCTATATCAGAAGTGAGGGATAAGTAGTGAAATATATTCTAAGTATTGGTACATAGGAAATACGCTAGCCAGAAATAAATGCTTCTATATGGGCAAATGGGTGCGAGTTGAAATACGTACGGGAACCTGCCTGACATGATCAATTGCCCCTGTTATTAAGCTGATGATGCAGAGATTGTGACATGCACCAACAATCAACCAAGGAAGCATCAAAATAAACTGGAAGTGAGGGAGAACAATCTTTACTTCGCAACTTACATATTTTGAAGTTGAAGGTGGGGGGAAAAAGTGGTGCAGCTGTCTTTCAATTCATCCAGAGTCAAAACCACAAGGCATCACTCCAAGCAGAGGCGGGGGGCTGGGACAGGTAAGGGCAGTGCATCAACCCATCAAAGCTATCATGAAATCACTTGTGAGCGCGCTTATTCCTTTTGCCTTAAGCTTATGTGTGTGGAAGTAGCTGGTCCGTACTGCCATGTGGCAATCTAACAACAGATGCAGCTTTATGACCATCTGATTGACCAGTTATAAGTGTCTCACTAGCATTGAGAGTTATTTCCTCTAATTCACCCCAGTCAGGCCAGTGAAATTACTGGAACTTCACCCGCAGAGAGCGATACATGTGGGTAAGATTGGGGAGCATCGCCGGAAAGGCTTTGAACAAGCGGGAAAAGTCTTCCATGTCAGAGTCAGGAAGAAAAATGTATTTTTACAGGGAATGTAGAGTGTTTCACCATGGTTGAATGTCCACCAGTATAACTGATCACAACAAATAGCTGCAAGCCGTTGTGGGAGAAGAAGGTCTGGCAGGTGATGCAGCAGATGTTTCATGGATGAATAGCTGGTTTGTGCTCTATAATAATTCAATGGCCTCAATGTATGCTTGTCGGCATGCAAAGATCCAACCCATGGCACCAACCATGCAGTTTGTAGGCATCTCTCCCAGCCAATTTTCACAGATTGTGTTGTTAGCAAACCAGCATTCATCTAGGCTAAAGCGTTCAGTGCCTGGTAAACTAGGCCAGAGATGTAGACATCTCCTATAACACACACTGCCGCGTTACTGCCACTGGAGAGGTTCCAACCAGTCATGCTCAGGCCAGCATGTGAGGTTGGCATGGAGTGGATGGGATTGCTTGTAGTGCTTCGGCATGTATTTCAATGGGGGGAGCAAACCCAAGTCAGAGTGTACTGGGCGTTTTCCAAAGGCCTCAATCAAAATTAGTCGCCTGATCTCAGCGGAATGCGCTGGAAAAAGGCGCTTTTGGGGATGTGGGGATGAGCAAGGTGTTGCAGGAAGTGTGGGCATTTGGTGGGTTCGGTAATTTCTTAAAATGCTTAAGCTTGAGCTTGAGCTTGCGCTTAAGCCGCCGTTCCTTGAATGGGTTGGATACAATTATCACCATAATGAAATTTAAACTGGCAACAGTGGCAGGCACTGAGCGCAGAGGACAGACAAGCTGTTCACGATGAAGTTATGTACTCCATACCTCTGGAGTGGTTGGCAGAAAATTGGAACAAAGGTTTTCCGGCCTGCACACGCCCGGCGCTCAACCTGCAGCCATCCAATTTAGGCATCAATAACCTTGACGCGATCAGCGCTTCTTACAAAAGCCGCGACCCCCACCTCAAGCTTGTTTGCATCTGCAATGTCAAAGAATGAATTCCTTCATATTTCGAATAAACTTCTTGTGCATGGACCACAAGTCCCTAGGTACACAAAGGGACTTTCCCACACTAAGAACCAGTGTATCCATGCAATCTAATCTACTTTAGTATTCTCTGATGCTCAAAAATCATGGCCTCATTGTTCACAGCTGGCTTCTTTCAAACGTTTACTTTCCCTGCCCCTGAACAAATCTTCATCCATGATGCACTCTACGGTGGACATCTAATCACAGAACCCATTCTAGTCGAACTTCTCCAATCTCCGTCCCTTCTTCGACTTCATGGCGTCAGCCAGCATGGTGTTACGGGCCTTTTCGGCCTCACACCGCGCGTGACCCGCCTTGAGCACTCTGTGGGCGCATTCCTGCTCGTGCGCAAAGTCGGTGCAAGTGTTGAAGAGCAAGTCTCTGCTTTGCTGCATGACGTGAGCCACACAGTTCTCAGCCACGTGGTGGACTGGGCGTTCTCGACTCCAGGACAGGAGAGCTTTCACGAAGTTCATAAGAAGCGGTATATCAAGACAACGGAACTGCCTGAGATTCTTACTAAACATGGATTCGGCAACTTGAAGCCGTTGGACGAGGAACTGTACCCGCTGGTGGAAAAGCCCGCACCGCGTTTATGCGCTGATCGTCTCGATTACGCCCTCCGGGACGCAGCCGCATTCGGCAAAATGGACATTGCAGATGTACTACGTGTATTCGCGTCTTTGAAGGCTGTCCCTAATGCGACTGATCCAGCTCGACAGCTTGTGCTGGAGGACTCACAGCTGGCGTTATCATTTGCAAGGGCCTATGTTGCATGTGATAGAGATGTTTGGGCAAACGCAGCCCACATCGACATGGACCAAAGGACGGGTCTGCTGATCGGAGATGTGATTCAGCGAGGAGCAGTCAAGGAGGAATCATTGTGGAATCTATCAGATAAGGACTTCTGGGAGTTGTTACGCGGCATCGCTAATCCGGATGAATTGGAAATGATGAAGCGGTTAGAGTCTGAAGGTATCCCTAAGAAGGCTGATTCAGGACTTCCCCGGGGCGCGAAGATCCGTACGCTTGACCCAGACATCTACCTTCCGGATACGAAGCAAATTTTCCCCTTGTCTACTGTGCGACCCGAGTGGGCCACCGAGGTGCAAGAATATATTCAAAGCCGCCGATCCCAGCAAGACTAAGACTGGCTGTCCTGGGAGCTAGCAGTCCGATGCAACTTGATTGTAGGTACTGGAATATACACGGTATTCGGTACATACTATCTACATCCTGCACGGAGTATCGTTCCGTATGCGTGGCGTAATGCTGAAGCTTAATAATCAAACTTAGTAGATTATAGCCAGGTCAACTTCACAATGCCACCAAATTCATTCAATGTCAACCACTCATCCTACAAAGTACAGACCGAATCTTCCACAAATTGGGTTTGTAGCAAAATCAAGTGTGTCCAAATCAAATCAAATTCATAGTTAATTGAATGCTTGATACTCTGTAGATAATCGCTTCTGGGCTGGACTTCAATAGCCGCTGGGCTAACTAGAAGTCACATGACATCGGAATAACTTTGTGGACCTCATTAACTTGTACTGTACGGAGTACTCCGTAAAAGGAGAGGCTTTCTTATCGTGGAACAGAGTTTGAAGGTCGTTATTTACACTGCTCATCTGTGATTATGCGAAGTACCTAAAGGCAGACTCACATTAAACAACATTATGGTTCTAACTCAACCCATCACTGACAACCTACATTCCTTTCCCATTATCTCCCGTGGTGTTTCCGGTCTTGTGCGCAAAGTTTCTTCATCAAAAGTAATCAAGGTTCCCTATGATACCTACGAAAGAAGGTTGAGGAAATTATTTATAAGCGCTTGGGTGAACATCCTTTTATCACAAAATTCCTATCAGCATACAATGGCATGATCATTCTTGAGCACCTTCAATACCCTCTCCGTAAAAGGCTCAGGGACCTGCAGGAGGCTAACCTGGTTACACCAACTGAAGATGTACTCCGCTGGGCGTGTCAAATAGCTCAAGGCTTACAGCATGCCCACGCGCGCGGAGTTTTACAAGTTGATATCGGCCCTCACAATATACTGCTAGATGGGCATGGGAATGTGAAGTTAGCCGACTTCGCCGGATCATCCATTGATGGCTCATCACCCAGCATAGCTAGCAGCACACGAGCTGAACATCCAAGATTTCCATCATCGATGCCCTCTCTACAAACAGAGGTTTTTGCTCTCGGCTCTGCGTTCTATGAACTAGAAACGACTCGCAAGCCTTTCCATGATAAAATGGACCACGAGGTTGAGAAACTATCTGGTGCAGGGAACTTTCCAGACACCAGCAGCCTTGAACTAGGCCGGGTAATCTCTGCTTGCTGGATGATGGAATACCAAGACGTTGGCGACGTGTTGAGAGACATTGAACTTATTCAGAAGGAAAAAGTTCGGACAGAAATCCGTCGTGGATGATTTGCAAGCTGTCAGAGGAGGAATTTCGCGGAGGTATGTAACCTGGGCCAGCTATTATTTACTTCTCGTAACTAAAAGTCCCATGCAGCTATATTGTCCTCTCACTCGCCATAGGCGTTCTTGTCATATATTTCTCCCGTAGACATTTTTGAAAATAAACTGGCCCTGCCGCCTCGTTTCCCGTCCTCGATTGATCGCTTCGTTTGTAATATTCAGACATACGACTAAAGCAAAGTTGTTAGCTTTCTGTCCCCCGGCACCTAATGGTCTCAACTTACAATGACGACGGTCCTGGTGGGATCAGCGCAAGTTATACAATCTCCCTTGGCTCTCGAACTCCCAGCGAGAATATCATCGGATTTTGTAGCCCATTCGTCCGAGCAATGACGATAAGTTCCGACATTCTGCGGACGTTCACAAGTCGATGGATCACTATGTGCCTTGGGATTTCCTCGCACTTTTCATAAATATACGGCAAGTCATTGTATTGACACATCGCAGCAGCTATCAGGAGGTTGAGTCAATCAGGGAGAAGAAAGAATACCCGCAGACTATGGGATTTAGAATATCGGTGATTCTAAAAATGCACTAATATTAAGAGAATGCTAGACACTAAAAAAAATATGAAGGAGCCGTCCCAAACATCCCTCTGACCTAAGTTCACATTAGGCAGCAATAAGGTATGAACTTGTCTATCATTTACGAATCTCATCGCCCCGTTGAGGATTTTGAATGCCTAACATCATTGATACTGACTGGCATGGACCCCCGAGTCTTGTAACTTGGCTTGTCGGTAACCTGATCAGAGGCAGCGGTAAAGGAGCTTCGTAAGGTGGGCAAAGGTGGTGTTTGGATCAAAAATGTACTACCCTACGTTCGCGATTCAATATTTACTGTGTGCTATAAAAACAAAAATACATGATAGCAAACAGCGCAACCCGCGTGAGCGGACATTTCTCCAGATTTACATATGTATGGAATAGTTACTGTACTGTACGTACATAGTTACGTAACCCTGGGTAATAACTAAGTTATAAAGTACTCGAGTCATCACGTTAGGGACATCAATCAGCATGATAATATGAAAATTGAAGATATGGCCTTTCCGGTCTTTTCTCTTCTGTAAGTTACACACTTGCCTCTCCTTATTCTAGTTTCAAGTCTACTCTCCTAGAACTATCGGTTATTTTCCTTTCTCTCCAAATCGAGTAACGCTCGCCTGGTTTCGCGACCTTAATGTGCCCGAAAGCTTTCTATATCACGATGGTTGACGGTGGTTAAGTTACACTCATGGCATATATTGCCCCTGGTGTTATACGCGGCGCTTGTCCACTCTGCCAGAGAAGCTTCACCTGCCACTGTCGATACAACCCCCTAGCCTCTCATTTAGATTAGTAAAAGAAGCCTCGGATTGCGACATATCCCCACGGGACGTCAGGGCCATTAGCTTCCGGACGGAGGCCCGATCACTATCGTGTTTTGTCTGGAAATCCGAATAAGCTTCCCACATTCGGCTACCGTGGTTATGGTTTGAGCGACGGAAGCCCCTCAGAGGAGGGCTTGCTCTGTAATGCGATTGCAATTGCAGAGTGGATTATGCACGTTGCCGGTACCCCACCTTTTTTGGGAACTGCTGTGGGTGTATCTTTCGAAAGGCCTTACGCCTTTGAAACACAGCCAGTCCATTTGGCCGGCATGTTACTGGTAGCTACATTCTCAGACGCAGCTATGCTGACTGCCACCTATTGCACTGACGGTCTTATTCCCGTCTCCCATTGCACGACTTTATCCCATCTTGAGGTTATTCCACAGCCACCTGTCAACGTCTGGAAGAGCAGGGCTCGCATAGCGGAATTTGTCCGAGCATGTGGAGGAGGACTTAGCAGATACCATATCACATAACGTTACGTGAAGGATGACAGCGACATCCCCCCGCATTCATTCAGATATGGTTTGCCAACGTATCCATATCACCCGGCATCGCTTTTGGGGACCTGAAAAAAAAAAAAAAAAAAAAGAGCAAAGGGGAAAGGTCGATTTGGGTCACGACAGATCAAATGCCGAATGGGGAACAAATGTGGTGTTATTCTTGAAATCGTAAAATATGTACCACCCTGTTATTGGGATGGCGACGCTTAGAACATTCAGGGCACAGTCTCTATGTATTAGTGATTGAACTTCACTTAACTCTGGAAATGTCGAATAATCTCAATTAATGACAATTATAAAAGGATTCTCTTACACTTCCCTTATGAATTGAGCATTTGAATGCAGATATGCTAAAGTTAATTGCTTTTGGCAGAACTATTTGTTTCGATGGTTTCTGATCCGTTTCTACAATAAAAAACCCGAGAAATTGGAAACTGGTAAAAGAAAAAGGAGAAGAACATCATCTTGAAATCTAGAGTCGTAGCTGAACTTGAGAGTAGGAGTGATTGGAAGCCGATTGCTTCTCGATCTGCTTGATGGCTTGAGAACATTTCCTCGGTCTTTCTTTCAATGTAACAGCAATCTTCAACTATGCGAGCATTACGCAGCATTTCTCTAACGCGTCTTGATCCCAGCATGTATTCCGATGCTACCTGAAAATGTCTGTTAAGCTGCTAGTCAACGTCAGGCAATGACAAGGCGATCCAAAAGCATTAGCACGAGGCCTTTACTTTGAGGTCTTTGCATATTTAAATCTGTCGAGATTCCCCGGACGCTACGTTCAACGTCGTACGAGTTCCAAATTTCGACTCTAGTAATTACCTTTTCAATCTACCAAATGCCTTTGGCTTGAATTCTTCCTGACTCGAAAGATTCTTCTGTATCACTTTATATGAACGTAGTAGTTAGTCCTCTGTAGGCAATTTCCCAAGTCTGAACGAGGTTCTCACATTCCTGTGTTTGTCACCTCGAGGAGTGATGAATTGGTTGGTTCGGATAGCGAGGGACCGAGAGGATGGCTAAATAGCAGCAAGCTATTGGTGGGACGCGGGAGCTTGTTCGAGAAACCGGGGTTTTTATTGGTCGATTTCAATACAGGAAGGAAAGAACTGCACTAAACCAAGTTAGGACTAGCCAATCCAAGTGGCCCGCGGCCATTCCATCGCGATATCGTCGCCGATTCATCAATGGGCTGAAATTCAGCAATTGTCAAGAACGGCTCCCCAGGACGCAAACCATGGCGTTTCGAATAACCCCATTATGGGGTCGGATTCTTTCCTCACGGGGGCCATCATCATTTCCTCGTCGACTTCCCACTGAGCGCCCTCAGATATTCACCCGCAAGTTTTCGTGTCGGCCTCCACTGCAGCAACTAATCACGCCAGCTTCAGAGAGGGCCTCCTGGACCACACAGAATACAACTACGATGTAAAGTTCTCACTATGAGCTTGTGTTCCTGAATAAGAGCTAACGTACCTAGGTTATACACAATCAGTGTAATTATCGGAACTCTCGCCCTAGCTTACGGTTCCGTGCCGATGTACAAAATGGTAAACCAAACCTGTTAAAAAGCTCACCCATGCGCCGAATATTAAGAAATTTTGATAGATTTGTCAACAAACTGGCTGGAACGGCCAACCGGTCTCGTCTCATCTCGTTAACGGAGAAGATACTTCGTCCCGTCTCACTCCGATAACCGATTCCCGCCGACTACGCATTACCTTCAATGCCTCTGTCTCAGACGTCCTCCCTTGGAAATTTACTCCCCAGCAGCGTGAGGTTCGGGTTCTTCCAGGAGAGACTGCATTGGCGTTTTACACCGCAACGAACAAGAGTGATAATGATATAATTGGCGTTGCAACCTACAGCGTCACACCAGCTCAGGTTTCTCCATATTTCAGCAAAATCCAGTGTTTTTGCTTTGAGGAGCAGAGGTTGAATGCCGGGGAAACTGTGGATATGCCGGTGTTTTTCTTTATCGACCCAGATTTTGTTAAAGATCCGGCCATGAGGAAAATTGACACGATAACCTTGTCGTACACCTTTTTCAGTACGTTTCCATCTGATTTTGTTCCACTATATGGAAGCTAACTCGTAAATACAGAGGCTCGTTATGACGATGATGGGGTTCTGAAACCGATTCCTACCTAGGAACTCGGATATTTCCCATGACATCCGTTAAAACTGGTGTACTGGCATTCCTTGCACATTGTACTCGACTCACGGCGACGAATCCACCCAATTATCACAACGCAACATTTCAACGAATAAAATACCACTCCACGCACTCCTATCCCATTCTTCTTGGCTCTGGCGTTCAGTGGACCGGACTCCCCTCAGTTTTGGCACAGTATCAGGCGAATAAAATTCATGGAACTTTGGCATTTTCGACGGAACATTAGAGGACGTATATCTACGATATGTACTATAGAATTTTGTTAACTTTTGTATATAAACATGATTATTTTGAATTATTGGAAATTCAAAGTTGAATATTTCCTTTTCGGCTCCCCAGCAAAGAGTTCTTAGGATCCGTGGTGCACGGACCACCTATTTAAGTCGGGAGTCGCGTTGATACGCGTTGACCCGGTTGTGGCATTCCAAAAGTCTTCCCATCGTCCCTCATTCTTCCTCACCCTTCCCCTACCGTTCACTTCGGTTTATTATAACAATGGCACTACTCGTCGATAGACAGCGCCCTCGCACACTTGACGCCCTCACATATCACCATGAATTGTCCGCACGACTCAAAGCTCTGGTAAGCAATCACTGACCAAATGAATAGCTAGAAATCCACTGATCAGTAGCCTGTAGGCACAAAGCGGTGACTTCCCCCACCTTCTCGTTTACGGTCCCTCTGGAGCGGGCAAGAAGACCAGAATAGTTGCCACATTGAAGGAGCTATATGGCCCAGGAGTGGAAAAGATAAAAATCGATGCCCGTGTTTTCCAAACCTCCAGTAATCGAAAGCTCGAATTTAACATTGTTGCTTCAATATATCACCTTGAGATCACACCGTCCGATGTGGGGACGTACGATCGCGTCGTGATTCAGGAACTGCTAAAGGAGATAGCACAAACCCAGCAGGTTGACTTATCCGCGAAGCAGCGATTCAAGGTGGTGGTTATAAATGAGGCCGATCACCTTACTCGAGACGCGCAGGCGGCGCTGAGAAGGACAATGGAGAAGTATAGTCCGAACCTGAGACTCATTCTACTCGCCAACAGCACCGCGAACATCATTGCTCCTATCCGCTCCAGAACGCTACTAGTAAGGGTTGCAGCTCCAACGGCGGAGGAAATATGCCAAGTGTTAAAACTTTCAGGGAAAAGGGAGGGTTGGAGTGAAGCCCCAGGCTTGAATAAGAGGATAGCGAAAGAGAGTGGCAGGAACCTACGCAGAGCGCTTCTTATGTTCGAAGCGGTATATGCGCAAAAGCAAGTATCATGGCACTCACGATATCCTGGTACATCATACTTACACCAATTGTGAATAGTGAAAAAGTGACAGATGATACCGTGGTGCCACCGCCAGATTGGGAAGCCTTAATCTCCCTTATTGCCGACGAGATCATGGCCGAGAGATCTCCAGCACGAATACTTCAGGTTCGGGCACGGCTTTACGACTTGTTAACACATTGTATACCTCCAACCACTATCCTTAAGGTATCCAAATCCAACTGCTGATTGGGCCTCAAGAATGCAGAATTCCTAACTGTACATCTAGACATTGACCTTCAAGCTTGTGTCTAAAGTTGATGATATTTTAAAACCTGAGGTTATCAAATGGTCGGCTTTCTATGAACATAGGATAAAGATGGGAAGTGTAAGACTTAGTCCCCCTCTTATATACCGTTTTCATCTTGAGCTCATTATCTCGGCCTCTTTAGAAAGTTATCTTTCACCTAGAAGCGTTCGTTGCAAAGTTTATGAGAGTCCTTGAAGGGTAAGGCCGTCCGACTTCCTGAGTGCAAATCTGTGAATATGCTAAATTCATATCGTAGCTATTTGATGGGAATCGATTTCTAAATCAATTTTGTATGGCGTTCCGAGTCAGTGCAAGTTGCTCTGCTTTGGGCGTTTGGGTATGGGTTAAGACTTATTAAATGATGTCTTCGACAAAAATAACGCAACTATCATTTACTTTATCTTTTCATTTTCTGTAACTAATCCTGGTAAGCTATGCGGCTACTCCGCGTATCAGTAAACTTCCATGCTAAATGCAGGTCAAAGGGCTGACGACTTCGGCCCCAGGGACTTGGTTTGCACAGCATCAAAAGGTATAATTGTACACTGGGCATTCTATAGGAACATATTTATAATACACTTAACCAACGCCGTATCGTGTCCATCGAGAAAGGAAAGCTAAGGAGCAGCATTTTGTGTGGGTGGGGACGGTTGTTCTGAGACAACCCGAGACGTGATCTCTCTTCGAGCTCTCTTTAAAGATTCTAATGTGACTCCGTTACTCAATTTTGTAATGCCGACAACCGGCGGTTCGCCCTTCTTAACAAATTCATAAAGTCCTGTACCAGTCAGTTCCGGAGGAATACAAAAGGCGCGGGGACCCTTCACTGACCAGGTAGTTTATGCGCAGCCAATCTGAATGCCTCTCTTGCTACTTTTTCGTGTAGGTTTCCCTTCAATTCAAAGATAATGCGGCTGACCGGTACCCTTGCGGCCCAATAGTCAAATTTACCCTTTCCCTTACCCATACGTTGTTCATTCCCGCTGGTATAGACACCAATATTTGCGCTGACTCTGGTGTACAGCTTGAAGTCCATACCTCTTAGCCGGCGGTTTATCGTTTCCATTCCAATTTTCAATTGAGCGGCAGATATCCTGCGATCATGATCACGCATGCGAAGACCGTAATCTCCCCAGACTACTGTGGTGCCGCGAGTCGACCCTCCAGTCGCCATGCGTGGACGGCCCTTGCGTGATTTACTCTTTTCGGACATCTTGGGGACCAGCCAGTCCGAAGCCGGTTTGGATGTGGAAAAGCATCGTGCGGAGGAGGGCAGGGAATGCGGTTGAGAGACTGAAAATCGAAACGTTAGTATATGTGATTGGGGGGTTTATCGGGAAGGGGAGCCACTGACGGAACGGCCGTAGGAAAGACAGCTGAAGCCCCGAAAATATTCCCGACGAAGGGCCCATCTTGTTTGACTCGAAAGCTTGAACCCGCCGATTCACTTCTCACTACTCCGGACAGTGTCAAAACGGCCGGAGAAAGTTGATGCTTGCTGCACGGACCATCTGTAGAATGCGGATTAACGTTATATAATCAAAGTGCCATTCAGTCACGTGCTCCGACGCGTCTCCAACCTTTCCGGGCGCGGTGGCCTTGACGTGCTGTCTGGCGGGTGGTCACGATTCATATTTCGGGCGTGAACAATGAGAATTTGGAATTGAATCTTTGAAGAAAAAGAACCTCCCTCACGGACACGCTTGAACCACTTTTGCGAGTATGGCCCCCGATATCAGGAGTTTCTTTGGCACGCAAAGTAGCCAAGGTTCGAAATCGGGGAAGGGAGCTGGCTCAAAGAAACCAGAGGTATACATCCAACAATAATTTTTTGCCAGTTAATTGCTTGCGTTTTTGCGACGAATCGATTTGCCCGTGCTGAGAGCCATGAAGTGTTGACAATGGTTTCATAGGATAATTCCAAATCAAAAAAGCGGCGTGAGTACATCTGATCGCCCAATCACCAGTTCATTATATGTAACAGTGTCCCGAAATATATAGGAGGCAGGAAAGTTATTGAAGATTCTGAGGATGAAGACGTTCAACCTGTCAAAACGACCCCGAAGCCAGAGCCAAAGAAAAAAAGGCAGTAAGTTTGATCCTTGCACTTGTTACTTTCTTCAGGCGAGCACTACCCTCTGACCGATGCGTGGTTTATTCTGCAGGAAACCTGAAGAGACTGAAGAGCCTACGACAACATCTGACTACTTCGCCTCCTCTCGGAAAAGCCGCCGCGGCCCAAAGTCTAGTGCTCCGGTAGAAGAATCGAAACCCAAAAAAAGCGAGATTTCGGAAGCAAAATCCGTGGACGTCACCTCTAAATCGCGCAAAAGTGATGCCAAGAGAGACCGGGAGCGGAGTCCTGCTGTTGTTGTCAGAAATGGACGAACGCGCCAAAAGCCTAAAGCTACCAAGATACTTGACGCTGACGATAGCCTTGGTGGCGATGACATATTTGCTACGGAGTATCAGAAACGGGGAGGGGGCGGTGGAGATGATGATTATCAGGAGGAAGAAGATGAAGACTCAGACTTTGAAGAACTGCAGGTAGAATCACGACTTCTACAACCCGCGCCAAAAGTCTCGCGCTCCACAAATACTTCGACTAGAAATGGGCAAAAGAGAAAATCAGATGCCTTACATGATGAAGATGAGGAGAGTGAGCTATCCGATAAACAAAAGAAGAAGGCCGCGCGTGGGCAAGCCGTTAAATCTCCTACGAAACCAACCCCAAAAAAACAAAAAGCCGCTGCAAAGCCCCCGCAGGCCGAGAGCAAGGAGATCCAGGCTATATTCGATAGTATTCCAACCGTACGCCCGCCTTCCCCGCCAGCAGAAGCCAAGAAGTTCAATTTTATGGCTGCCAATCAGCGTGCACATGCTTCAGCAGCTGGCGAACCGGCGGAGCTACCTATCGGGGCAGAGAACTGCCTTGCTGGGCTTTCGTTCGTGTTTACTGGCGTTCTCGATTCATTGGGTCGAGATGAAGGTCAGGCGTTGGTCAAGAGGTACGGTGGCAAAGTTACTGGTGCCCCTAGTTCGAAGACCAGCTACGTTGTTTTGGGTAGTGACGCTGGTCCAAAGAAATTGGAAACGATCCGCAAACACAACCTCAAGACTATTAATGAGTATGGCCTTTTTGAGCTTATTAGAAAGATGCCGGCAAATGGAGGGGATGGGAAGGCTGCTGTTCAATACGAAGCGAAGAAGAAAGCTGAAGAACAGAAAATAAAAGTCATGGCAGCTGAAATAGATCGCGAGGAAAAGAAGAGTTCTGCCTCTGCTGCCGCAACATCAGTCGCCAGATCCACGAAAGCTCCACAGAAATCCATACCCGCAGCCGCAAAAGAAGCGGCTGTGGATGACCGTCTATGGACGGTGAAGTATGCACCGACTTCTTTGAATATGATATGTGGGAATAAAACGGCTGTCGAAAAGCTTCAGTCTTGGCTGCGCAATTGGCGTAACAACGCGAAAGTTGACTTCAAAAAGCCGGGTAAGGATGGCTCCGGCACTTATCGCGCCGTCATGATTCACGGTCCGCCTGGGATTGGAAAGACTACTGCTGCGCATCTTGTGGCTAAGCTTGAAAATTACGATGTCGTTGAGACGAATGCAAGTGATACTAGAAGCAAAAGGCTCCTTGAGGATGGTTTACGAGGCGTACTGGACACAACATCTCTCCAGGGTTACTTTTCAGGCGAAGGCAAAAAGGTTCAAAGTGAAAAGAAAAATCTCGTTCTTATAATGGATGAAGTCGACGGAATGTCAGCTGGTGATCGTGGCGGTGTCGGAGCTCTTGCTGCAGTCGCCAAAAAGACGCGAATTCCGATGATACTGATATGCAATGAACGAAGGCTGCCAAAAATGAGACCATTCGACCACGTAACTTACGAGCTTCCCTTTAGGCGCCCTACTGCCGATCAAATTCGTTCAAGACTTGCTACCATCTGTTTCCGTGAAGGCCTAAAGATTCCACCGCAGGTCTTGGATGGCTTGATTGAAGGCACACATTCTGATATAAGACAGATCGTTAATATGTTATCAACTGTGAAACTTGACAGTCAGAACCTCGACTTTGACGAAGGCAAGCAAATGTCCAAAGCCTGGGAGAAACACGTCATTTTGAAGCCATGGGATATTGTTGGCAAGATATTGAGCGCTCAAATGTTCTCCCAAAGCTCGACAGCTACTCTCAACGATAAGATTGAACTTTATTTCAATGACCACGAGTTTAGCTATTTAATGTTGCAGGAGAATTATCTCAAAACAAACCCTATCGCAGCCGGGTCATACAATGGCAGAGAACGGAAGTTCAAACTTCTCGAACTAGCCGATAATGCTGCTCAGAGTATCAGCGATGGGGACCTGGTAGATAGAATGATTCATGGCTCCCAGCAGCAGTGGAGTTTGATGCCTACCCATGCTGTGTTCAGTTTCGTTCGACCAGCCAGCTTCGTGTCCGGTAATATGGTCGACAGAGTGGGATTCACGAGCTGGCTGGGTAACAACTCTAAGCAAGGTGAGACACCTCCCAGACTTGTGTTCACATGGCACGCCAGCTGACAAATTCCGATTCTAGGCAAAATGGCTCGGCAGATCAAAGAAATCCAGGGACATATGCGACTTAGAGCTTCGGGAGACAGACATGAAATCCGGCAGCAGTATCTTCCGGCTCTCTGGGAGAAATTGGTTCACAGGCTCGATGTTGACGGCAAGGACGCCGTTCAGGAAGTGATTGATTTAATGGATAGCTATTTCCTGACCCGGGAAGACTGGGACTCTATCCTTGAGCTCGGTTTGGGTCCGATGTCGGAAAAGACAGTGAATATCGAGAGCCAGACGAAAGCCACTTTTACGCGCTTATATAACCAACAATCTCACCCTCTTCCGTTTATGAAAGCAAGCACCGTTGTTGCGCCGAAGAGGCTCCCGAAGATCAAGCCAGACCTTGAGGATGCCATCGACGAGTCCGATGAAGGGGAAGAGATCCTCGGCGAAGAGGAAGTGAAAGAAGATGACGATGAGCTTGATCTTAAAAAAGATAAATATGTTAGAGCACCGAAAAAGACGGGAGCGAAAAAGGCTACTGCTGGGAAAGGCACAGCTAAACCGAAACAAAACAGAAACAAAAGGAAAAAGAGTGACAGCGACCTAGACATCTCCGATAGCGAGGAAGACTCCAAGCCTTCCAAGGCTCGGAAGGGTAAAAAGACCAAGGGAAAGGCGTGAAAAATGCTGTGCACTCCGTACCTGGCGTTGTGTTCTGAAGTTTTGGTCATGGGACTTCTTGATCCCTATTTTGTATTTTCATTTGGACATGAATTTATCTTGTATTTTTGCGACCTTACATATCAACTTTCTTGGACTGAGTCAACTTGTATCTCAGCTCTGCCATAGCATTTAGGATATTGCATGGCTAATGCCAACATTGAATAATTGTAATCATAACCGTCTAGTTTATCTTTGGGCAAGCCATGTTAACCATATCGGGATTGGAAGACGGTATCGAGAATTCGCAGGATTAAGAACGTATTTTTCGTCGTATTTCATCGTATATATAGACACATATACATTATGCATATCTCTCCATGGCGTACTTGGACGTCAACGAGAGGCAAAACAGAACAGGCGCAGATTGGATATCATAAACAGCAGACAAGGCATAGAAGCATCAAATCAGCGATCAATAATCTCGCCAGGGAACCTCAATCCCCAAATCCCGCGCTACCCGCATAGCAGATACCACGCACCCCTCCAGCAAAACCATCCCGTCCCAACACCAACTTCCAACGAGCCAGACGTTGCCGTCTCCATTCTGGAATGGGCCGGCTTTATGCGTCGTCAACTTCTTCCCGTCGGTGATAGGCGTGCCGTTCAATCGCCGAGAATTAGGACTGAATATCCGCTTCACTATATCTCTGCTCTGAGGTGTCCTCAGGGTGCGAGTGAAATGCGTCCGGGCGATGATTTTCGAGGGATCAATCGGGGTTGCGGGGAAGTTTGTCACGACGACGGAGGATATGGGATCCTCGTGTATCGTCTCTGTTATATATGGGGAAGAGCGGAAATGGATCCAGTTAGGCGGGCTGGGAGCGAGGTGCATCTCGTAGAGAGCGTTGCTGGGTTGCTGCTTTGTGGCTGAGAGATCGGTGTGGACGATTGATTCGACGGCCGCGGTGGGGATGTGTGACATTTCGGACCGAAGAGGCGCGAAGATGCTTCCAACAGCGTTTGGGGGCACAGCAAGAATGACGTGATCGAAAATCTTTTGATGTGGGACGGTATCGGGCTGCTGAGTGTTACCCGGGGAGTCCCATGTAACGCGGACTCCCGAGCCGTGCTGCTGTCTCGTTACGGATGTAACACGGCAGTTGAACTGCACCGTGAGTCCCTGGCAAAGGCTCTTTTGGACCTCGCTTACACCACCCGAGACGCGTAGATGCGGAGAGTTGAGAGAGCGTTGCTTGTAATCGATCACATCTTTTGCCGGGAAGTCCAGCATCTCTGCATGTGTGCAGGTCGATATGCTTGCGAGTCCAGGGAGCAGGTAACTTTCGATAAAGTAGGCAGGTATCCAAAGACGCCGCAGATATTGACCGAAAGACTCACAAGGTTTGGTCTTGCCGCCAATCGAAGGCCTTGATTCCTTGGGTGGGACGAATGAACAGCATATTGTGAACCATACCAGGCAGAATGCAAGGTAAACGGTCTCCGAAACCCACGTCCAGAACCCGCACGCTTGAGGCCGTACAGGAGGGATCCGGTGGTTGTTGGATGAATGAATGAAATAGGGATTCGGTTGCTCCATTGGGCTCCCAAGCGCTTTGAAACCATGCTTGGGCAGCCTTGCAAAAGTGAAAAAGAAAAGCTCTTGGTGATATCTAATGCCCAAATAATCATACATGGCTGTCAAGTTGGGATAGAATCCACGGTCAAAGGCGCGCATGGGTTGGTCCACGCGGCTCGTTCGGATTCCATCTTTTGATGACACGGTAATTGAGGCAGAGTCGAGAGAGCACTGGTCTTGCTGTGTGTGTACAAGACCCAGAGATAGGTGTCAGCGACGATATTGAGGCAGTGGAGGCCAATGGCCACGGCGAGGGAGCCGCTAGGAAAAGATCGACAACATACTGCTTCAAATACTTCAACATCAAAGCGGTTATATTTATCCTGTCTCAATAGATATGCAGTAACCAAACCGGCCATCCCGGTACCAACCACAGCTACGGACTTCCTCTCCGTATCTTCCGTCTTGACGGCGCCCATTTCGGTTCTCACGTTGTCGCAACTCAAGTGAAAATTCAGTCAAGATAGATAGTCCATACACAAACCAAGGAACGAACGCGCGCTCGTGTACAGCACTTCTCAGGATGTGTACGGAGTAGTTAGCTGTGAAGATCGCTATTCGTGTCCAAGAAAAAGAATGCGGAAAAGAGAGAAACTCAAAACGCCGACAGGCACATATGAGACAGCGTTGAAACCAATAGAAATAGCTTTAACGGGGGCCAGATAGGACGAGGGAACAAGAAAACTTATTTAAAAAAGGCATGGCCAAGGGCACCTCGAGATGCATCGTGAGATCCGTGGCTGGATGCCAAATATCGGCGCTCGTCCCATTTTTTTTTTAAGGTTTATCCAGACTACCAAACTCTCCGCAGCGCAACGCCCGCATCCCCTGGCGGCTGGCGCCAGGGTTCGTTGCGAGCCGATGTCTCACCACGGGAGCCAGCAGACAGAGTTTGGATTGTTCCGTTCAGATGATTCTTGGCCACGCTGCCACACGATGCTCACAGGCAGTCAATTTGACTCCGAAGTCGCAAGGTGGTGGATGTGTTTGATAGTATCTGTGCAGACAAACACCACAATAGGTTGTTATTTGCTAAGCATCCATTGGTCGTTTAATATGTTTTGATTCTCTGTTTTAACAACTCTTTGCATCCTTGAAAGCAGCGTTGCTAGCATTACCTGCACATCTCATGGCCGAAAGTCGATGCCATGCGAACAGGAAGTTAAAGGTAAGCTACAGCAGGGTACGGGGTAGTAATGCATTGAAGGATCTTTTCTTCAGATTTTAAAAGCCAATTCTTAGCCAAGTGACGAGCAGGACGGCTAATTATCCGCGTTAGCCGCCGTTTGAACCTCCAAGGCCACTGGTTGCATGTATATTTCTTGATTTGAACACGCTCAAGCTTTTTCATGACATATTTTGGACTGGACCCCTGGGCCAGTTAACCCAGATTAAAGTCAAACCCCAAAGGAAAACTCCCTCCCCCCGGGACCGTCTCCATGCTTTATACTCCGTATACAGGTGTGAGTATCCGTGTCTGAGTTTCCACATGACAGTCTCCAGTTTAAAGCAGACGCTGACTCTTTGTGAATTTACGTACATACACAGAGTACATCTAAACCGCTTGAAAACGGGTGTTCTTAGTGCAGAAGCACGTTTTATGTGGTCTTCCAAATCCTGGGTGGTTGCCAGGGATTGACAGGATGGAGCTCCAGAACCCACAGGTCAAGCAATGGATCCAAGCTGCTGCTTGAGTATCCGAGGATTGGGAGACTGGACACCGCAATCGCCCAATACTCCGTACTCCGTAGCACCAAAGCAAATAAGTAGACGTCGGGATGAGATTGCTTTGAGAAAGATTCGAATCGCAACCGAACTAGCAAGCCGGGGATTTTGACGGAGCAAGCGACGATGACGAAGATCGCGATCCAAAGAAATAAGACAACATTATGGAGAAAGCAGTGTATTTCTGGAAACACGCCTGGTTACGGTACTGAATCGTAAGGAGAGAGACGTTTCGCTGGACGGCCTGGGGCAAAGGACAACGTCCTGGAAATTACAGGCTGGGCAGAGTCTGATTGGGCGTTGTGATCTGAGTCAGCAATAAGGTCCAATCACAACGTTAAGGTTATTCCCCTGATTCGATCCATGGGCGGTACGGGTGGGTAATGTAGCGTAAATTACAGCACCAGAGCTGCCCTGCCGAAAAGGGGCTCTGTAGGGATGCGGAACATGCTGAGCTGCAGGAGAGGGCATCTGTTGAAGAGCATCCCAATCCCTTGCGTAGAACTAGTTGCTGCAGCTCCTTCTGGACACTTCTCCGAGACCGAAAGGTGGTAACAAGGAATAAGGGGAAAATAAATTAATAGATAAAGCAAATAAATAAAAAAGAAAGGGAAACGCGGGCAGGCCGTTTGGTATTGAGGGCGCGCGTTTCACAGACAGGCCCAAAAAATAAAAATAAAAAACAAAATTACCAATCTCCAGGCCAGGACCAGAAGGGGAATAGAGAAACCCGCAGCCGAGCCAACCAGCGCGCGCCGTCCAAAAGGCAAAAAGTCACTTGTTCCACCCCCTTTCTCTCTCCCTCGCTCGCTCGCTCGTGCTGAGTTCACCTCGTCAGGCGTCAGGAGGCTTCTGCCAGTGCAAAGCAAAAAAAAAAAAACACTGCTATCCCTCTCGCTCCTCGTCCTCATCACCATCCTTGTCGCGGAGCCAACTTTCGAATTCTCTCGTTCAATCTCCCTCCGCCCTTCTTCGTCTTCTTTCCCCCCCCAAGCTGTGCTTGATCTTCATCGCTTTTGAACTCCTCCCTTTTTGCTCTCCTTTGGGGCTGCCTCTCGTTCCTCCCTGAGATCCAAGTGAAGTAGGAATCACTGAGGACCTCCCTCGGCATTCCCTCACACACGCACGCACGCTCTCCAATTGACGCTTCCACCCCTCCCTCGAAAATCCCATACACGCACCCTCACATCCACAAGTACGTTGGTTGTTTTGCTGTTGATGTCCACGTTGCTCTTTCTGCTTCACACCTCCCCCTTCCGGAACGTACCTTTCCTCACCGGTTTTCCTTGCTCGTGATAGCTGACCAGCTACCTGCTACCCAACTCTCAGTCTTCGTCCCCAGAACCTTGCTACGAACCTGATCTCGACGCGAATCCTTCGCTTCTGCCGTCTGCACAATGGGTAAGCTCTCGACATCTACGTTCCTTAGCCTACATCTCTCTTTTGGATGCCCCTCCGCGTCCTTGCTTTCCACGCTTCGTTGTTTCTCCCTGGTGCACGATTGAATCAACTTGATGGAGGGTCTGGAGTTTGGGACCAAGGACCCTTCATCGCCAGGATGTGAGCATCGTGGCCGTTTCTCCCCGTGCGAATAGAGCCCTACCGGGGCTGGATTCGTGCATTGCAAACAATTCGCTTCGTGGTCGTTTTCGAAATTTTGTGCAACCTCAACGACACCGCTGACTGTACAGAATCTACAGCCACCGCAACTAACGGGATTCCCGCTCCCACCCGACCCTCCCCGACCGTCAGTACTCCTCCAAGCAAGCCCGCATCGCCTCTCGTTGAACGCAGCAACCCAATGGGTGGAGGCTTGGCGCAGACGGTCACCTCAAAGGACCCAAAGGCCGTTGCCCAGGCCGCTACCGATATGAGAAATGTCGTTCGCCGGAAATTGACTGGCTATGTCGGCTTTGCCAACCTGCCGAACCAGTGGCACCGCAAGAGTGTGCGAAAGGGTTTCAATTTCAATGTCATGGTCGTCGGTAAGTGGGTGTCTTTCGGATGTGCCGTTCATCGGCGTCCTACCTTACTTACATTATTTAGGTGAGTCTGGTTTGGGAAAGTCTACTCTAGTGAACACTCTCTTCAACACCTCCCTATACCCACCCAAGGAGCGCAAGGGCCCCAGCCTTGATATCATCCCTAAAACTGTTTCGATTCAATCTATCAGCGCTGATATCGAGGAGAACGGCGTTCGTCTACGATTGACCGTTGTCGATACCCCTGGGTTCGGTGATTTTGTTAACAACGACGACTCTTGGCGTCCTATTGTCGAGAACATCGAGCAGCGATTTGACGCCTACCTTGATGCGGAGAACAAGGTCAACCGTATGAACATCGTCGATAACCGTGTGCACGCATGTGTCTACTTCATTCAGCCCACTGGCCACTCACTGAAGCCCCTTGACATCGAGGTTATGCGTCGCCTGCACACCAAGGTCAACTTGATCCCCGTCATCGCCAAGGCTGATACCTTGACCGACGAGGAAGTCGCTCTCTTCAAGCAGAGAGTAAGTTCAGACCAGTTAGACATCTTATGGGGTTCGTATGGGTTACTTACACTTTTGGCCAGATTCTTGCCGATATCCACCATCACTCCATCCAGATCTTCGAAGGTCCCCGTTATGAACTCGACGACGAAGAAACCCTTGCTGAGAACCAGGAGATCATGTCCAAGGTCCCTTTTGCCGTTGTCGGTGCAAACACTGAGGTTACCACCGCCAGCGGTCACAAAGTAAGAGGTCGCCGTTATCCATGGGGTATCATCGAAGTAGACAACGAGGAGCACTGCGACTTTGTCAAACTGCGCCAGATGCTTATCCGTACCCACATGGAAGAGCTCAAGGAACACACCAATAACGTCTTGTATGAGAACTACCGGTCCGACAAACTGACAGCAATGGGTGTGACGCAAGACCCAAGCGTCTTCAAGGAGGTCAACCCTGCTGTGAAACAGGAAGAAGAGCGCGCTCTGCACGAACAGAAACTTGCCAAGATGGAAGCAGAAATGAAGATGGTGTTCCAACAGAAGGTGCAAGAGAAAGAGAGCAAGCTGAAACAGAGTGAGGACGAACTATATGCTCGACATCGTGAGATGAAAGAGCAACTAGAACGGCAGCGGCTCGAGCTAGAGGACAAGAAGGCCCGCCTCGAAAGTGGACGACCTCTCGAAGACAAGATAAAGCGGAAAGGGTTCTCACTTCGTTAGGTTTGAATGGATCGAAACCCCCAAAGTCACGTCTGATACATGGTTTAAGCTCGAGAAATCAAATTCTTTTGGAGATCTGGCACTTGTGCTTTTGTGGCTTTTTGCATTTTTTATTTTGTTGATGGATCTAGCGCTCTATCACCCTCTCCTTGCCCATTTCCTTTTCATTAAACTCCCACACTCTCTTGTACTCTTTTTTTTTTTCCTCCTTTTCTTGTTCTTATACCTCAGCTTTTTCCTTTCAAATTATTTCTGTAATGACGTTGAATCTTGCTTTGGCTCAAGCCATCCTTCATGACTCCGAAGGTAAAGACAATATCACTTAATGTTTACGGGGCCGTTGGAGACTGCGACTTGAGGTTGAAACGGGGATGGGTGGGGGATTGTCGCTTCTGGGCAGAATGATAAAAAAAAAAAAAGCCACTAAAACAGGTTGCAGCGAGCGCCGACTTCGGTGAACTCGTTCTCCCTGGGACTCGTAGGGCTCGTTGGTTCCTTCGGTCTTCTAATTTGACCCTTTTTACCCGTTGGCTTTTCATATTTAGTTAGCTCCCTTCTTGCCATGTATTTGTCTATGTTAGCTTTTTTCTTTTTTTTATATACTGATTTGGTTTTGAATTCATATTGCACACCATACTTCGTATATAAGTGATTGTGATTTTTGGGTATTTAAGCCAACGGTAGGTCTTAGTTTCTTGAGATTATTCCCTTTACTCGCTTTGTTCGATGAGGGAAATGATCTTGCAGCATCGATGTTAAATCAAATTGTCGCTGTCACAACGTCATAAAGGAGAAGTTGTCACATGGGTTAGGAATGTTGGAAGTGAATTGCCAGCAAAGAACACACAAAGTGCGTGATACTTCCTGATGAATACCATCTTCAACCAGATCAAACAATGGCTTGCAGAGTGAATTAAGAGTCGGGGTGTTCTCGTTGCCTTGTGGCCCACTGCGCTGCTCAAAGATGACATGCTGGATTTCCAGTATAAGACTGCCCCTGTCCAGTTCCCAGTTTCTTCTCTACATGCATGCCCCTTTTGTATGCATGTTATTTCTAGGACAGAAACTCCAAGGGAAGTTCCCTGGACCAGAACATTCCCTGTTATGCTGAAAGGGGACTTCTCGGCCTCTGTTTTTTGTTTTGAGATCCTGAGAGATATCTGAAATCTCTTGTTAACCTTTTCTCCCCCGCCTGTCTTCACCTTTTCCCAGACGGCAGATAAAAATTCCGGCAATTTTTAGTTTTACTTTCGGATTAATTATCAAGAAATGTTTCTGGGCATATTGCATCTGGCCTTTGTCAACTTGCATATTATTAATTGCCATGTGCCAAATCATAACTGAAGAGATCTATAGCACCTGCGGCCATGCTGTTGAATGTCACTTGAAACACGGTCTCATCTACTGCGATGCGCCGAATGACATCCCCTTCCGGAACAATACACGAGAGGAGCGCCAGAAAATGTACCCTAACAGATTTTGCTCAGAAGAAGACTGGATGGAGCTGTCCGCAGACCAAAACGGGCTCTGCCCAGACTGCAAGCGCAAGAAAGAAAAGAAACCTGTGGCGGGGGTGATGCGGTCATTCGGCTGCGGTCACAGCAGGGTGAGTATGATCGGACATATGCTCCAATGCTGCTTCTCGCCTGTCCGGCCAGAGCATCATCCTGAGAAAAACAATGGGAGAGGGGTGAGGGACAAGGCCGGCAAAAGCTCCGCTTCGGCGTTCTCTGCGACCTTCAGTAAGTCACTTTTGGTTGATATCTCGCGTCATCTCCGCCTTCGTCCTCCTCGTTCCTCCGGCGTGTGGGCGGAAGTTTCAGGAAAAGTAGGCTCAGCGGCTGCAGGAACTGGTCAGAACGAGTCGTCCCCTCCGCAAGACGGTCACAACGGCGCGGGTCCCGAAGAGGCTGAGATACGAGGATTCCACGCCGAGTGCAAGAACAGGGAGTTTTCATGGAAGAAGTTCCAGAAGCTCCGAATGATGGGAAACGAAACCGGCGTTTGGTGCCCGAATTGTGAACGAGCAAAGACGAAGATGATTATGAAATTGCATGAGTTCCAGAATGCCGCCTCGGGAGAGACAGAGGGGGGGAAGAAGGAGGAATCTGGATATCGCGCGAAGAAACCAAAAGGATTGACGTTGTTTATACGTGATGACAAGTATTTCTGGCCGGAAGCAGTGGCTGTCCGGGGCCAGATAGAACAAGAAGGGAAAGGAGATGAAGAATGAGAGAAAAGGGCGACGCTTTGGGTAAGAAAACGGTGGAGAACCCAGAGCTTGATCCGGGAAAGCTGATAGCGATGAAAGCAGGATAGCAAGTCGGTGACCCAACCAGAGCAGGACCCTGACCACAATATATCTGCAGTGGGAGTCCTATTCAAGTTATCCAATGAAGCAATGCCGATCCTTGGCTTCTTGGATACTGTTATTTGATATAAAGGATCTCAATATCCGAGCTAAAGGGAGTCAAGAAATATCCTGGTCTCCGGGGGATTTCTTTTCATTGACCATACGTCATACACAGCCGCATAGCAGCTGATCCAGAACTATGTTCATCTCTCAAATTTAGGATGTTTCCAATGGAAAATTGCTGTTCTGCTAAACACATTGCTTTCGTTTGCATTGGACAGGGCTCGGGCACGTAGGTTTTGATGATGAAACGGTGTAGATAAAGATTAGAAACTTGGAACAAAGACTTCTCCTTTGCCAGAGAATATGACGACAGTAAAACATGTACGAAAATATCAAGGTGCTTCCCTGATCGGTGGACAGCAAATCTCGCTGACGAGTGATGGAGGTGTGTAGGCATTTGCCCCGATGACGATGATCCTTGTACTTCGCACGGTTTATGTACTCCGTATAACTAAACAGTTCATTGCGGTACATCGTCACTACTCCGTACTACGTAGACGAATTCCGTACAGCCACAGCTTGGACCCCCACAAGAACAAAGTGACCACTCTGTTTGTATTTCGCCGTCGTTCGTGCTGTCCTCTCGACCTGCAACCCTCCAAGAACTGCTGGAAGCTGCTTTTCCTCCTTCTCAGCTGCGTCTCGTATTATTATCACATAGCTTCTAGAGCTTCCGGTGGTTCGATCAAATGGCTCCACCACCGTCACCGTCGTTGCCCTTGGGCGAGCGACTCAAGCAGCTCGCCCAACGACTGCAGTGAGTTGGCCTTTTCCCTTCCCGCCTTTCTGTAATTTGAGAATCGCCCTCTGATGTATCGCTCAGATTTGGATGGTTCGTGGGCCATCTTGCCCTTGTTCTTGCCGTCTTCCGATATCTCCTCTCTGTCCTGACTTTCAATTCGACCTCGAGAATGGCCCAAGCTTCATACCGATTTGCCTTCATTGCCGCAGCAGCTACGTACGGGATCGTGGTCTACAAGTCACATATTGCTCGTGGTGATATGAAGGGAAATGTGCCTGCTCTCGTTATGAAATTGGCCGGAGATGAGAACGTTCAATACTTGCGTACGGCCTTTCCCCGTTTGTAACCCAGGGTTTATTTACCAACTGACGATGTTTTGCTTGATAGTTATTGCCCTCGTTTGGCTGTATGCCCGTCAGATCACCATTGCCGTTCTTCCATTTGCGATCTACTCATTCTTCCATGTGGCCACCTTCACTCGTAGCCACCTGATTCCAACAATTCAACCACCAAAAGAACCAGAACCGGGGGCCGGCTCACCATCCAGGCAGGGGGCTAAGCAGTCGCCCCTGTCAGAGAGCATTGGCCGTTTCATCAAGCAGTATTATGATACCAGCATGGCGTTGGTTGCTTCGCTCGAACTATCGGTTCTCATTCGGCTGATTGGAACTGCTCTTACCTTTTCTAGTGGCAGCTGGGTTCTTCTCGCGGTGTATTTTATGTTCTTCCGGTCCAGATACACTAGCAGCAAATATGTCCAGGGCGTTGTTGCTCATTCAAGTCAGAGAATCGAAGCTTCCATCTCGCACCAAAGTACCCCGCCGGTCGTGAGACAGGGCTGGCAGGTATTCAAGGACTTTGCCAGACGGGTGTATGAGTTCACGGATGTGAACCGCTACATTGGAGCCTATTCCCCGGCCGGAGCTAAGAAGCCACAGTAAATATTCTTTCTAGACCGGCAAAAGAGGGAATCGTTTTTACGACAACGACGACGACGGCCGGAGATCCAAGCGAACCACTGAAGAAGAAGATGATGATGATGAGGAGCAGGGCTATCCTGCGCATTGAATGTTGTGAAGCGCCAGAAGTGATTGCAGATGCGGACACAAGCAACCGAGTGGGCATACAAACAAGCTATCGATGAATCTACAAGAACTCTTTGTACTTTTACACTTTCCTGAAAATATGTTTCCCTGTCATTTCATCATCCACGGCTGATTTGGCTTTTTTGCCTCTGATTTTTAATGATGATATCTCTTTGCTTTCTGTGTTTGTCCATTGCTGCTTCCGGGGTTAGCTAACCGGAGTTTTCTGTGATTCTTTGGGCTACATTTAGGCCGGGGCCGGAGCTAAGAGACGATGTTAATGATTTGCCTTTTTTATTACCTCCAACGTTTCTTTGAGTTCCATACGGCTTCCATATTTATGTACACGCGGGGGAGGTAGCGGTTGAATACCAACCTAATCATATAATTTTGTATTTGATACCTAGATGGTGCTCTTTGAGCCTTCGTCAGGTGTCGAGAAGCTTACTCTGCAGCGATGGCGGGTGGAATATAAGGTAAGCTACATAGAAAATGTTAACTACCACCAAAAAAAGGTTTGGCCATGGACGGCAGCAGATCTCCCTTGCCTTCTTCCTCCAGCTTGGAGGATTCTCAGCCAACTGACTGCGAGCCTTGCTGCAACTGCACTATCAGAACATTGAAGTTACACTTCTATAAGACCCTGAAGGCAGACCAAACAAGATACTGATTGAGTTCACTCCTAAGTTCACCAAGATGTTCCTTGGCAAGAAGGAAGAGTATGTTGAGCATTGGCACATTGGATCAGATAAGCTCTCTCTGCTCTGTTTGGACTAACTCAAGCCCTTTGGATAGAGTCAAGTTTGCCATTCCAGAGATCATATACAACCCATCACTTGCTCTCAGTCCCCATGTTATTCTCCTTGGCCTTCTGTTTGCTGATTGGGTATTCACTCATCTTGACAGCAAGAGGGTTCTCACATCAGCAGAGCAACTTCTCTATCTTAATATCTTAGATGATGTTTATAAGCTTCTGTTGCACTTAGATCCAGCTCTGAAAGATGTCTCCATATTTCAGAAGTCAGTGTGGACAATGGACAAAATCAAGATCTCTGATATTGAAGCTCTCATCTACAGTACCATACAGCCATGGATCAAGTGCATCAGAGCGTTAAGCACCTTCCATGAGATTCTTCAAGCTTACAATCTTGACTATGGTGCAGGCAAGGCTCTGAACAATAGCAGTAAGTTCATTCCGTGAAACTGAGTGTTGATAGCTCACCAACCTTATTGTAGAACAAATAAGTAAAACAGTCTGGAGCCTGATATATCAGTACTCCAACTCTAGTACATTCCTCAAATACTATCTTACAGATGTGTGGACAAGGATGTCCATGCAATTGTCCAGGGTTTAAAGCCACAGAAACACATGATGTACACTGTCTGTCAGATGCTTCAATCTATCAATTCACACCACTCACTAGAGTTAATCTCCACACAATTATCTTCAGTCAACCAACTCCCTGAGATCCAAGAATTTATTCAGAAACAAAATAAACTCACCAAGCTTCTTGGAAGATCTATTGAGAGGCACACAGAGACAGTCAAGTACAAACTATACAAGCAGATAATTACAAATTGGCAGGTGAGCAGCAGTGAGCAAGGAACAAGCTCCTGCATGAGATTCAAAAAAGGTTTGATTTTGAGGAGCCACTGTGTGAAATCAAAAAACAACTCTCAGGAATCAAGATAGCAAGAGCAGTTGATGAATTGCTCTGTGTTAGCAGTTTACATCCTCCACAGCAGCAACAGCTGATCTTGGTACTTTTGTCTCTCCTATAAGAAAGCTTACAAGATGAAATGCTTCAAGAGACCAAAGATATTCATGCAGTAGCAGCATATTGTCTTTTCAAGAAGGGGGATACCTGCCAACTACTATATTTCAAGAGGCCTACTCCTGCAGCAGTACTTGCTGAAGGTGCAAGTTGAGGTGCATGTTCCCCCTGCCCCGCAGCAAGCAGGACCTTGCGCTAGCAGCTGTTATAAATAATTCTCAGCCTGTGTACTGTTTTATCTGTTTCAAGAAATTCTTGAACCACGGTGGGGTTACAAAGCACATCCAGTGCAAATATCTGCAGCATATCCACCTCAGTGACAAGATTTGGTGCCCATGCTGTGACATGGCTCTTGAAAACAAGATGCACTTGAAAAGCCATGCCAAATTGGTTCATTGAACTGTTACTGGACCGCGGGTCAATGATTCTCTCATGGAGGAATAATGCTCAAACATGTGCCTCAAGGCTATGCTTTTTTTGGTACAATGTCAAGCTTTAAGAGTCACATTGTCTGAAGTTCATGTGCAGCCCATCATGTATTTGTCATTGTGAATGTAATACCACTGTCTTGATCCTATACATTGCTTTTTCCATTCAGCTACTCCTTAATAACTTTAATAAAACTAGAATCAGAATTTGAACATTCTAGTCCCTCTGATATACACAAATTCAACAATTAGGTTAATGAGTTGCTGGAGTTCAAATCAAAGCCTGTTCAATTTGCAAGAGACACAGGTGTTGGTGAGTATCTGCTGGAAACTGGTATACATAGCTGGTATTGACATACATTTAAACCAGGATATGTTGTTATTGGCAGAAAATCTTGACCAGCAACATTTTGAGCCCATGAAGTTCTCACTTGCCAGGGCTGAAATGATGGGTTCTAATCAGAGTAGGAATTGTTTGTGCCCTAAAAGGCCTATCACAAAACTGAGGGCCTGAGTGCCCCTGACTGCACTATAGGGCGCCAGCAACCTTCAAATTTTGTTCATCTATGATATCCACCCACTTTGGGGGTTTCCAACTCAGGCGATAAATGTCGGTTCAGGCTTCGCAGCCACTCCGGTTCAAAAGCGCAGATGATATGGTTGGCTCCTGGGTAGATATGATTATGCGAACGCCAAGATGCCGCTGGAGGCGAACTGTGCTCAGCATAGTGTTGGTAAATGCACGGGCTTCCGCAGATGAATTCATGTACTTGGACCAAGTCAGGATGTCATTTATAGCGAGAACTGATGATCCTGATAACATGAAAGAATGAAAAAAGGAAAAAAGGGAAAAAAAATGCTTTTGCTAACCTTGTGTGCTTCGTCCAAGGCAACTACTCTGCCAATGTCTGGATTCTGCTCAAGAAAAATTTCTAAACAGATGTTAAAAAGTGAGCCACGCCGTTTCCGGTGAAATGCAGGGACATGAGAGATCAAGGACAGTTAATCGACCTGGCTTAGAAACTTTTAGCAAAGCCACAGACCTATCCGCATGGTTTCTTACTACAGGTTTCCAGTCTGAGCCTCCTGCATCATTTTTCCCAATGTTTTTGTAAGCCGCGATTTGTGTTTGCGGCATGAAGCTCTCTAGGGTATCTAAACGTTGCTTGAGGAGTTCAAGCTGGGCAGGAGTCAAACCAGACTCCATCACCATTTTCTTGAATTCTCGATAATTGAACTTGGTACCCAACTGTTGCTGTGAAATTCGCATTTCCTGCAAAATCCGTTTCAATGTATGCATATAAAGTGGCATTGGCCCGTCATCCTGGCCAACTGCCATTAGATCCACCATTCATTTTGTATTGAGATCCTTTTGATCGATTTTTAGCGTTTCGACAACAGTATTAAATCCAGAATAGGTGGTCTGCAACCCAGGTTAGCTACAATATAAGACAGAGGAGTTCGAAACACCTGCCTGAATTTTTTCCACGTTGGTTGGAGAGTACAGCACTCGAACCTCAACTCCAGGACAAGAATGCTGCTTCACGGGATGACCCTCCTGTATCGCAGATGAATGTATCGTAGTGAAATACGAGGCCTGTAAGGGGGTTGGAAAGCCTCCCTGCCCGTGACGGGATTAAGCAATTCTCCAACAGGCATGCTAGGATATGGCTTTTCCTGGAACCCTGTGAGCCGCATATAAATGTACTTGACGGCGAAGTAACATTGAAAAAGAGCCGAGGATCCTTATCAAGTGTTTGGATTTTGACTTCCGGCTCCGATCCACACGAGTTTAGCATATCGTTTTGCCCAGCGAGTAGGCCAAACTGCAAGTCGGAACCAGATGCGTTTTCCGTCGTGTATGTCAAGTGTGCAAGCGCGGGGCTTGTGAGTATTGGGGCGAGGGAGACAACCCCAATCGTGGCTATCAAACAACGTTGATTGCTCATCTAATTTTGTACGAGCTTTTTAGTAAGGGGGAGGCGAAGGGATACCGGAAGAGCATGGAGGAATTCAACAACCATCGTCGAATAGATAGTTTATACAACTAATGAACTGTTGGCGTGAAACCGATGGTTTCCACCACTCCTTTGCTCGAGCATCTGGCATGTTTGATGAGCTTATATTCTCAACAGCTCTCTTTCAGCTCCCTCATTTCTTTTGTGTTCTGAGGAAGCTTGGCAAGTGTTATATATCAATGCCGCCTCAAATAAAAAATTAATAACATTTTATACCTATAGCAATTTGCTTGTCCATGTATATCTGGCCACACCTATGTTCCCGCAGACGGGCCTGTGTCTTGTAAACAATATCTGCAAGACAGCAATGTCATGCAAGTTGCAATATCAAAAATAGTTGATACCAGAAAGACAGCAATGTCATGCCAGCTGCAACATTGAAAGCAGATGATATCTGAAAGGTGGTAATGTTAGGCCGGTTGCAAGATTAAAAGACAACAACATTATGCTGTTTGCAATAATACCGGGTCATGATTGGAAAATTTCCTCCGCAAACGACAGAAAATGATATTGAGAAGATCCTCAGAGGTGTTGCTCTGCCGGATAAGGAATCGGGAGAAAGGTGTTGCCATTGGGTCTGGAGTGTCATATCAACTCTGCAGAATGCATTGGTGATACCGAAGTTTGACAGTGAAAGATTCAAAGCCTGGACATTGGATTATGCCAATCAGTGCCTGGCCAACCTTAGTCCGGGCCATGTTTGTGATTATAAAGAGACAAACTAGTTGTGTGAAGTGTTTCCTGGTTCATCATACAATCTCCAAAGAACGCATTCTGCCATGAGCTTGTCCATGTATGAAGGAAGTTTCAGTTTGATGCTCTCAGGCCAGTCTGGCACCTTGAACAAACTGTAATATGTCTTTGTTAGATCTCAGTACTCTGGGTACCAGCCTGCAAATGCCCAGTCTACAACTCCCACAATTCTGCCATGGCATATGATAATATTCTGCAGGGCTAAATCCAAATGTGAGAAAAATGTCTGATAATTGTTGCTATGACAGGATGCAATTTTGTCCCCATAAATCTTGGCTGTGTTTTCCAGTGGAACACCACCCCATAAAAAAAAGTGGAAGCTGAGATGTGACTTAAATGGGCCAACTGGTTGACTACTAATACAATAATCAAGAATGGCACTGCCCTGTGCAGATGCAACTATTTCTTCTTTGGGGAGGATGAAGTGCTCAGAGCTGAGTTAAGATAACTGCAATATCATTGATAATGGTTTCCTTTTCCTTGGGCTTCAGACTTCAAGATCTGTGTCTTGAATGTGATCTATCATGATATAAATGTCTCCTGGCCCATCATATGTACACTGAACTTGAGGAACTGGAATAGTGGTGTGTTCTGAAATGTAGAGAAGTGCTTCAAGTTCCGGGAGTTGGCACGGCCTTAATAACATGTTTCTGACTGACCCTGACAACAGTTGGACCCAGAGATCCAAGGATTGACCGGACTATTCTAAACCGAGTGTGAAGGATGATGGTTTTCAAATCTCACATGAAAAGCTGAAATTGGCGTTAGTATCATCTTGATAGATGGTAGGGCTTTTATGAGCAAACCTTGTAATACCATCGTCCCCAGCTTTGATGGTCGATAAACAGCATTAATAAAACCAGGCTTCTCTAACATTTCTGATGGAAGAGGCTAAGGGAAGTTGACAGATAGGAGGTTTGCACGGAACAGATTAATGATTATGTTATCCCCTCATCCGGCCGCCAGGCAAAATTAGTGCCTTGGCACCAGATTACAAACTACAGTATTAATGGTGTTTTTCTGACCAATAGGTTCACACACTAAAATATATGGGAATCTATTGGTTAAGCAAAACACGTTCATAGCTGGTGTTTGTTGATTTTCAAAAACGTGTTTTTCTCCTTCCAAATCTGCTGACCCCCTACCACCACAACGATCAAATACAATCTTATTCATTCACAAACTAACTCCGTACATTGTCAGCTATGGCAGTTTGTGCCTGGTGTCAGTATAAAAACAGGGTCAAATGAAGAAAGGCCAGGTCCCTAGATCACTGCATGCTTGCTCAGCGTTGCTGGGAAGAGTTCCATTCTATGGAATTGTACGGAGTAATATAACCAAAATAGGCTTAGAGGGAATAAATTACAGATTACCGCCAAATACAGCCAAATACACCAGTTTCCAATAGACTTCCAGTATTAAATACGCTACTGTACACGCTAATTTCTACGCTAATTTTGCCTGGCGTCCGGACGGAGGGGATTGGTTAGCCTTCGCAAGAGCTCGGAGTTAAAAAAAAAAAAATAAACGGAATTTTGTAGGTCCGAGACATGGTGCCCGATTTGTCCCTTAGGTGGTACTGCACTGGTTTTCTTTCTCTTGCAGCCGGCTACCTTTGGTGGATAAGCAAGTCTCACTTGTTTTGATAAAAGAGGAGATTTTTTTCCCAAATCAATCAGAGCAACTTACTCAAGAATGAGTGAAAGTGTTTAACATGGATGCCTATTTTGGTTAGTTTTCGTAGCAGTCACTCTTGGGCTGTCGTTCCTCTGTACTTCCGCACTCCGTAGTTAGCTTGTTGGACCTCGCCGACTTCTAGAGATGAGATCCTAGATCGCAGGGGCCACGGTTCAAATCACTCAAGTTGCTTGCTCTTCTCCTCCGTACAGCCTCCGACTCGGTGCCTACGGGGGGGTGCGTTTGAGTACTCGCACAAGGTTGGACTCAACGTTCCCAGTGCCAAGAGTTGATCGGACCTATGAAATTCCGCTATGAAAGCTCCAAATATGGAAAAACTGAAATCTCCGGAGCTTCTCTCGAAATTTTGGGAAAACCGGAGATATGTCACTGCAATTATCGAAGGTCAAGCGGCCCCAGTTTGTTTTGCGCTTTGTTTGCTGTGGCCCCCATATTATCTGTCGCTGGAATCCTGACAGCATGCCTTTTCTTTAGCTTTCATTTATCCCTCTCTCTTTTTGAGCAAACTCAATCGTTTTACATCTCGCGACAGTCTTTCTGAAGGAGGGGAATAAGCAACCAAAACGACATAACCTTTCAACCACAGCGACATTTTTGCCTGGAACTTGAACTCGGGTTGTAAATTTTGATAGTACGGACCACGTTGGGCGAGATTTCGTCCAACAGCACGGCGGCCCGCGGCGATGAGTCTGGTGTCGCGGGTGACAAATCTGTTCGGGAAGACGACAGCAGACTCATCGACCCAGACGAGTTCATCCTCACCTTCTTCCGTTCCACCGTCCGGCAGTGGTGCGCTCGGTTATGACTTGCTAGCGCCCGCGGGCGATTCGCATGTCCGGTATGATGCGGTGCAGTTTGAAGATTCCAGAAGGGCGAAGAGGTTGAGGACGGAAGAACGGAGAGAGGAGTATGAGGAGAATGAGCAGGAATACAGACCACCTTACTTGCATGTTTGTCACCCTGCGCTTCTGAATATTTTGTGGGAATGGGCATTGTGTGGGGCTTTGTAAGCCGGATGCTAACCTGAAGTGTTAGTCGATGCTCGCTGGTGGGATAGGAGGAACCAGTGGTGACATGTTGATGCACTCGCTAGATACTGTCAAGACGAGACAGCAAGGCGACCCTCATGTTCCCCCCAAGTACACATCCATGTCTTCATCGTACACTACGATATTTCGGCAGGAGGGCGTTCGGCGAGGATTGTACAGCGGAGTTACCCCGGCATTGTTAGGATCCTTCCCAGGAACGGTCATATTCTTTGGGACGTACGAATATAGCAAACGGCATATGCTGGATGCGGGAATTAACCCTTCCTTAGCGTATCTTGCTGGAGGTAAGACTTGTCGATCACCCGCCCCTTGTTTACAGTGTGGAATGGAGCATTTTTGTGTTAATTTGCGTGGTAATCAGGCTTCATTGCGGATCTTGCTGCTTCGTTTGTATACGTCCCGTCAGAAGTTTTGAAGACTCGGTTACAACTTCAGGGTAGATATAACAACCCTTTCTTCAAGTCTGGTTACAATTATAGATCGACATTGGACGCATTTCGAACAATTATAAAAGAAGAGGGATTTTTTGCTTTGTACTCAGGATTCAAAGCCACCCTCTTCCGAGACCTCCCGTTTTCTGCCCTCCAATTCGCGTTCTACGAGCAGGAGCAAAAGTTTGCGAAAGAATGCGTAGGGAGCAGAGATATCGGATTACCGTTGGAGATATTAACGGCCACCAGCGCAGGCGGTATGGCCGGAGTTATAACATGTCCTCTTGACGTTGTCAAGACACGAATACAAACGCAACACTCTGATTCGCTCTCGCAACACTCAAAACCCAGCATTACCGACGTCAAGGCTGCGTTCCAGGAGTCATCCAAACACGTGCACTCATCCTCCACCCCGTCTTCTTCGGCGTCGCATGCTCACCAGTCAAGATTAATATCGACGTCATCACCTTCTACATCTACTGTCAAACCAGGGGCCCTAATTTTAGATACGTCTTCTGTGGTCACCGGATTGAGGTTGATTTACAAGACCGAAGGGTTCTTGGGCTGGTTCCGTGGCGTCGGTCCCCGATTTCTCTGGACAAGTGTGCAAAGCGGCACTATGCTTGTTCTCTACCAATTCCTATTGAAACATATGGAGAGTTACTGGGGTGTACGTGAGCTCAGCAGTGCGTCCTCGATATGAGGAGAAATGAATCTGGATCACGGTGGGGTCTTGGACTATTCTAGGTTGTTGGTGCGCAGACATACAGCAGGGCGTTCTTCGGTGGTTTTTTTGCGGAGTGGGTTTAAGACATGCATATCTGGGTTACGGATTTATAGAAATTCCCGTTGTACAGTATTATCTCTGATTTTTTGGATCTTACATAGATGCAGACTCACATAGACGAGAGTCGACCAGAGTCGGTAGTGGAGCGATGCTCGACATCGAACATCGATTCGCGTTTAGGCATGGTGTTGCAACTTAGATGCGAATAAAATCACCTCTTCAATGTCAATGATGATATCGTCATTGTTTTGTTTGATCAGCGGGCTCATTGATGGTTGACCGCGATGGTGTTGGGGAAACGCGCTAAGCCAACTTTAACGGCGATCAGCCGGAAAATGTAAACAAGTCACATCACCAATCCCTCCCACTCTCTCCAAACAAACCCTCTCCCTACACTCTCGATCGCTCACCGCGACGCGAATAGTCCCTATCATCGCATTTCTTCACTATACACACATACATAGACAACAGTCACCGCAAATCTGCTCATTTGAGTCGCATGGTTACCGCGACTCGGTATATAGTCGACTTCCATCACAATGACGGCAGCTTTACCGTATCTTCGCGCTCTGCGAAAGAGCGACCTTCTCGTCCTAGCCGAGGTGTCTGATCTGAAAGAGTAACATCTGCCTCTCTCCTCTCCTTTCTTTTGCATCGCGCTGGTATTCAAGGCGTGAGGGCAACAGGAATCATTCTTTGAAGTGCAAAGTTCTGACCTGGCGTTGGTAGCTACGATGATTATAAGAAACCCGAACTCGAGGCAGCGCTGGACGAGCATTTGAGCGCGAACAGGACCACGCTTTCGAAGGAACAGAGACTGAGCGACTATTACAGGCGCTTGCTCCAGCCGCCACGCTCGTCGCCGATCAAGAGAGAACCGAAGCCCGATGGCCCATCGGGTTTGGACGATAGCGTTTCCCCTTCGAAACGCATGACACGCTCTAGGAGGCCCCTTAAGCCGAAGCAGGAGGTTGAAGCCACGTTAGTTTCCCGTTTTCTCACAAAGCTGTTCTTTCATTTAATGCGACGCGACGTCTGACCGCGCGAATCGATGGACATTCTGGGCTGTAGCGATGGATTGCTAACTACCTATCTACAGAGATGAATCCGAGTCTGGCTCAGCCTCTCAGGCAAGCAGATCTCCGTCTGCCTCTGCTATGGAGGCTCACACTCCATCGCGACCAGCCTTAGGCTTTCTTTCCTCTCTCCCGCCGTCTCCCGCCGTCGTGACGGAAGCCATCGAGGAGCAGACCACCAAAGTCCGCAAATCCGTTTCGGATGCATGGGTCGCTTCGGGCCTCAAAGAGCGGGCCTATGCGCTCCGTTCATGCCTCAGCAGCGTGAGTACAATCGAGAGCCTAATTCTCATGCTTGAAATCTACGGCCTGGGTAGCGAGATACTTCCCTTTCGCTATTTGACGACTATCCCGCCCATGCCGAATCTCTATACTCCCGCCATCCAAGTGAAGATTCCCGATGTATTTGCCCTATTGACAGGAGAGTTTTGGGCGCCGTTTTCGCTGTGGTTGACAACAAGTGTGATTCTCCCATCTATATTCGCCTACTTTTTCAATATCAGCCTAAAAATGTCCCAACCTCAGCCACCGAGCCATTCATATGGGACTCGCCGCGCGTCGGCTGCCCAGGCGGCAGTAGCGTCCTCCAAGACAAACTTTGACCCCTTGGTGTTTAATGTTTCTAAGGCTTTGGTGTCGTATCTTGTGTACGCAAATAAATTTACCTTTTGGGACGTATATAACCCGATCTCTGTACGCAAGGTTTCTGACTCTGTGCCTGGTGGTTTGCCAGGCTTGCTGACTGGGTCTGCTCTGTGCGTTTTGGGTAGATTGTACGAGGCCATTCTGAGAAAATGACGAGAAACACAGGCAGCGTACTTAGCTGTGAGATGAATGTGCGTCTTTGGATCTTTCAATTGGGAGTGAATTCTTGGTGTTTTGCAGGATCTGTTTTCGAGTGTTTCTTTTGATTTCCTCGGAGTCTCGAGGTTTATGCTGGGTCGGGAAGCTTTTGTTTCTTTTATTTTTTATTTCACTATTGTGTTGAGCCGTATCCATGCAGAATGTGACTAGGGACGGCGAAAAAGAGCAGAGCGAAACTGATGTATATAATATCCATTGAGGTTCGGGATCCTAGGTGTATGGAGCTGTGCTCTTTTCTGGCCTGAGCCGGTCGTCTATTTTTATAATTTCTTTTGGACTCTCTATGAAGTTGGTCGGAGTGTTGACTAAAATGACAAGGCTCGCAAGTTCTATAATGCATTCTTGCTTCAAAGAGTCTAACACCATAGCGCTTTTGTTGCCAGCTCTATTTCAAGTGTATTGTACAGTGTGAAGTACACATTTTGTCCGAACAGGAAGTTTATTAAAAAAAAAAGAAAATATGGGGCAAATGGAATGAGGTAGCTTGGAGAGGTCAGATAAAAAAAGAAAAACAACCCGCTTGCATCGAGGGAACTTCATGAATGAGACAGGAGAGCTGGGGATACTATTGCTCGCTAGCCTTGTCTTTTGTGATCTTCTCTTCTGTGACTGGTATTTGCTGGATTTTCTCCAGTTCGGTTTCTCTGTTTTCTTGGCTCTCAGCTACGGCGGCATCGACTGGCGCGTCAGATAAAGACTGAGATTTCTGAGCTTCTTCTGCAGCGATATGCTCCTTGAGTTGTTCGTCAACTTCATCCTCCTCCAATTCGGAGCCATAAACATCCGGGTGGAGTCTAAAGCAATCCTGCATATTCCTATATTCCAGCGTTGATTAGCGACCATCCTTGATGACCTAAACTACCACCCGGGAAACATATGGGGAAATACGCACTTGAATTTATCGATGCAATCCATTCCTTTCGGCTCTTCCGTAGAGTACACAAAACAGCTGAACGCTTCTCTGAATTCTGGGCCGCATGGTCCATGCGCCATACCACCTAGACAAGGGCAGTCCCAGTTTATTTCACCAGTCTCAGGATTGAATGCGCCCTCCTGGTCAGCCTCCTGCTCAAGCTCGGAGGCAGAAAGTTGAAGCGGCTGCACGTCAGCTGGAGCGGACTCTTCAGTCTCCGTAATGGCGCCGCTAAGTTCTGGGGCGGGAGGTTCAGAGGATTCTTCGGGTTTGGAGTCGGATTTTGGCGATGGTGGGGATGAAGGGGCGGGAGTTCGGGAGGCGGATTTTCGCTTCTTAGCTGCAGCGACTGATTCAATGGTGGGCAGAGAGGATTCCTCATCTTCAGACTCGGAAGCTGGTTTGAGCGCGACTGCTCCTGACCGCGTTAGTCGTCAACTGTCAGCATACCGCGCTCGCTTGAATGGGTAGTTCCCGGTGCTGCGCTCACGAGAAGGCTGTTCCGCGAACACCGTGCTTGTATTGTAATAGTACACTGCAGCAGCAGCTAGACCCCACCTCGCAACGGTGCTTTTCCAACTTCGCGACTTCTGCGACGGAGGTACTGTGCTTACGAACCTCCGCCCTGCTTGGCGCTGGGCAAGTCGGAGCGGATGCGTCTGGCGGAGAACGGTTCGCGAAGCTGACCTGAACATTGTGATCCAACAGAAGAAGAAACAAGTATATTAAGCAATTAACAAAATTAACAGAAAAGAAGGCTCAGTGAGCGCCTGGGAGAAGAATGAAGCCGGCTGGACATGAGCGTCTCTGCCCTCAGATTTGGTGATTGTTAAGCACGAAGAAAACTGAAATGCCGAAAAGATTATGTAACGTATTCCACAACCGAGCGGGACAACCAAGCGAGCGGGACACCAAAATCGCCATAGTAATTGAATAGATTCCAACCTGAAATATATATGCTCAACAACACCTAATTAAATTAAATTAAATTACACTAGGATTAGGGCATCTTGTTCTTCTATGCCCATGAGAACCACAATTGCTGCACCTTGATGGAGCTCATAAGCATAGTGCAGGCTCAGAAGCTGCAGGATTGGAAGATTGAATAACAGACTGTTCAACAGGCTCAGCAGGAGATCCTGAGCTTCTTCTCTAGTTAGATCTCCTTCATGTGGAATTCTGTAAGTAGATCTCTTGCACTTTTGCTTCTCTTTCTTATTTACTGCAAAAATATCCTGGTATTGCTTCTTCATAATAATGACATTAACCATCCTGTATTCACAGATCTTGATAATTTGATTAAATCCTTCCATCAAGTCTTGTGGTGAGCTAGCTCTTAAATCCCTGCTCCATAAGAATCTTGACCTTATCACCCTGCCTTGCAACTGATAGGGGTTGTGAGGTGTTTGTAGGATTCAGAATAATGCTGAGTTGCTAGATTGACTACTTGAGGGGGTAGGGATTTGGAGCTGAATATCTACCTGCTGGATGACCTAGTCAGGTTCAAAGAAGACTATTCCAGTAGCTATAAAGACTTCTGTACAGACTGTAGAGTAGATATCAAGAAAGTCTCCCTTCTTAATGATATTGAAACCAAGCCACATTCACTGTTTAACCAGATTTTCAGCTAACTCAGCTATAGCTACAACTGGCTGACTAGTACAAATACTTTAGACGGAAGGCGTAGCGTAACATGACCAGGCATCAAAGATTTCCCCTCCTTTCGTGAATTCACAGCCTGAACTGCATCAAGCACTGTTTCTCCATTCATCATCACATTCAACATTGTCCACTTATTGGTGATGTTTGGAATTCAAGACCATGCCTGAGCATCTGACATCGACACAAAGCCTGGCAACAGTTGGGCTGGAGAATTTGTCTCCACAGCACTTCAAGGTTCTACAACAGGCTTTCTGGACAATCCTTTCCACTGATCTGGCCACAGAGACATTTGCCCAAGTTGTTGACGGCCGTCCCATGTGCGATATCTATTGAGATTATTTCAATGAGTTTCGCAAAAGCTTCCAGAATAATATTCATCCAAGCAATGCAGCTTTGGAAGCTGTTGAGTCTTGCTGTCGAAATCTAAATCTTGGTAATACTCAAATTAGTGCAAAGGTAGTATATTCATAGCCCCAAGCTCTCTATCTTGGAGGACAAATACTAAAAGTTAGCAGCTTGCGCAAGCATTCCAAAACACTAACCCTGGATCAAGAGAATTCCACTTGCGCCTGATTGAGATTCTTGCTGTCCTCTGCCATGGCATTGCTGTCCACTTGTACCAGGCTTATGATGGAGGCTTTCATAAGCCAGAGCCCCCCGACTCCATCATATGGCATGATGAACTCTTCCCCAACATGCCGCCACCACCACCCCGTAAAGCTTTGCCAGCGGAGCTTTACCATTCTTCTTACGGTTTCTGGCAACAATATCCTAACGGAATTGCTGATATTGTCGGTTACTGGGTGGAGTACCGTCTGTTTGGTGGGGTTGTTCTGTTTGATCGTGGGGAGACAGGGTTTGAAGTAAGAAGTCCCTCCTATATTTCCCTTGCAGGCTCCTTTTTTTTTTAACCAAATAAATAATCACTAACTTTTGATCATTTTCCAATCCTAGTGTAAGGATATCTTCATTCACCTTGTGGGCAGGTACATGATCTTCCAACTCTCAGAAGCTCAGATACACGCATACATCAGCTTCCTGCAGGGCGGGCAGCAGCCTCCAGGTGGCATTCGCTTCAAGGCTGAAGAATACGCACATCGTGTTGATGAAAACTATGCCATGGACATGAACATTTACCGCGACAGGTATGAACGGATTATACCTGAGAGACGGGCCCGCTGTGTTATCCGCGGTGAGGACCTCCCAGGATATGCGCAGGCTATGGAAGATTGGGCAAGGCGAACTGGAAATGGTTAGAGATGTACGCAGCTAATGAAGTACATACTTGTGGAGGACTTGTTATTGAGATTTGGAATGACGGAAGGGCTTGGAACCGACTCACGGGATGTGCGGGTCACCCTGGTATGGTGTCCATATCATGCAACATTAAAAGTGAATGACCTGTGGGGAAATGATTGGCCTAAATTGAGAGTGTCAGGTAGAGAATAGTAGTGAATTTGCGTAAATCATTATGTAGGTGACTGCTTCTTGTCTGTGTGCATGCGAGTTTCTATTATTCATCGTAGCCAAAACCCTGTCTGTCTCTTTCGTGGGCTGGGGGGGGAATAAGAGAGAAAGAGAGCATCATCTATCTATCTACATGTGAGAAGGGATAAGTTAATTTCGAGTTGGCTCAGGTTCTGGGTGACAAAGCCCAGAAACAATAGGAAAGGAGGTAAGCATACGTCGTGAGGCTGAGGGAAGATATATCCACAAAAGGACAAAAAGAAATGGAAGAAGACTAGAAATAAACAAAAGACAGTTGTATCCCCCGGGTCATAATGCTGTGTCTACCAATGGCTGCCAACAAAGAGATCATTGACAATAGACCATAAATCACTGTCAATCAAAGAACCAGCTTGTCTGTTTGGGCGCGGACGATTCCTGTGACTGAAGCCCGGAAAGCACCCTGGCACTACACCCACAAAGTCTCACTTGGCAGTTCCTAGAATTTGTTTTGACTTTCTTTGTGAACATCCGCCACCTAAACCTTCTGCACTGCGATCCTTTGAAGCAGGGACTTTATGATCTATTTTCTTTCTGTAAGTCGTGTTGTTGCCTTTTATGGGTGGCTGATGGCCCGATTCACACAAAAGGCGAAGAGCTAGGATCACCACGCACAAAATATGGCATGAAGAAAAGGAAAATGGACGCAGGAACTGAATAAAGCCTGAACTACAGCCTTTGTATTATTTGCGTCTTTTCTTCAACGTAAACGCTTGTGCGGATCCCTTTTTATCCTGACAGAGTGTTGGAGCTTGCGAAGCAATGTCCTGCAAGCTAGATAGAGCTGGTTGACTTTCACCATCAGGTAGAGATGTAAAGCTCATGTCTAGCAGTTCAAAGCCTCCAGTTCACTGTGAGACTTCAGTCATTCCTGAGAAGCTCAGCTCAGGTAAGAGCTTGGTCTGCTGTGCTTTCTGAGACTGTTGTGATTTCTCAAAGTTCAAATCCTCTGGTAGCTTGTCAATAGCTGAACAGAGTCTCTGAAGATGTGAAGGTGCCCAATCAGCATAAACTCCCATCACAAATTTATAGGATGCCCATCTCTCTCTGCCATCCAATTCTGTGAAATCAAACTTGCGGATGTAATAATGATGGTAGGTAGTCCTCACTCCATTAATCACAGAGTAGTGGCTGTATATCCTTACTGAATAGTGATGATGTGAAATTAAAAAGGCCAGAATCTCTCAATATAGCTTCTTTTTACACTCCACAATCCTGAAGAGCTTGACCACACCTTGTATTGAAAGATCATGCTATATGCATTTTGCTGATCTGCTATATCAAAAATCTTTTATTCATGTTAACTATGGTGTTTGTTTAGTTTGTATCTGGAGCACATGAGTGAGCTGGCAATCACGTGAGAACACGCTCGCACCATAGCAGAAATGGGGAGGATTTGTAAACTGTAGATCCACTAGTCCCGATATGTTTACATCAGAATATACATTTATCTGAATCCATGGTTGTTTGGAAGTTTAAAAATATATACATTCCAAATTCAGAAACATAGCTTCCAATCCTCAACATAGAAATCAGGAAATGTTCAAACCCCTGATCAATGAATATATCTAGGAACATTCAGGATACCTTTTCAGGTTTATAAATGTTTATAGTATAGAAACCATTATAGTATAGAAACCATTATAGTATAGAAACCATTATAGTATAGTTACTCCAGCAGACACTGGAGAGATTTCAACTAATGCACAATACTACATACATCAAACCACCCAATCCACCTATAAAAAGGAAACACTCCAAGTGCAGTTGAGAAAGGTAGTCAGCAGAGCAGAATCCAGTTTAAGCCTTTTGGAATCTTTGCTGACAGGTATTGTGTAAAGGCTTGGTTTGTGGATTGCAGGTAGACCAATTATATGAATCTCATTCTGATTCACCTGCAAAATCAGCAAATCCAGTACCCTCTCATGCTGAATTTCATGAGCAGAGAACATGGCAAAAAAAACCCTCCAGCAGCTGCCCTGGTTGTGAGTGAATATGCATCTTATTTGCCTGATCTTGGTGCTCAACACACAAGTATACTCAACCAGATCATTGAGTTTCAATGTAGTGTGATGTGCATCTCCATTGAATGTAAAGATCAGCTTTTGAAACAATCAGATTGGGGTCAAACCTCTGCCAAGCATATGTTGATATGCCCAATTACTGCTGTATGAAAGTCAGAGCTTTTGCAAAAAGGAATGTGTAATTGATAGTTCAGAAAGCCATGTGCTTTGTAAACCAAGCAATTCCATGACTTTATGGCTAGCTGGTAGTTGGCAGTAGGCATTAATTAAGGTATGAAAGGGGGTGGTAGCATATGAATCATCAGCTTCATCAGCATTCTCATCATCATCTTGTTGCTCATTGTATTCTGATCACACAAGGTCTTGCATGAGAATTGGATATTCACAATGAAGTTGCTTCATCTGGCTGCTGATATAGGGTTCTGATTCCATAAGAGCCCCATCAAGAATCAAGAATATAGTGTGTTTGAAGCTCTCATGAATCAGTAAAACCTTTTCAACATCACACTTGTTGGTTTGCTGCACAAATACTTTGTATTTACAGTATTTATTCTTCCCAATCAGTACATTGCAGTTATTTGGCACAGCATACTTCTTTGCCTGGTCAGCATAGTGCATCCTGATATGCATGTTTGATCAGTGTTTCAAAGCATGTAACATCTTACCTGCTTTTGGGGCAATACTGACAGTGTTGATTGAAATGTCCTCTGTCAGAAGTGTCACAATTCAATTGAACACTGGTGAATTCTGCCATGATCTCAGCATCTATACTGCCCAGCTAGTCAACCATGGTGTCTTGGCAGCCATGACAATAGCATCTATCACTTTCTGAAGTATAGTTCAGGCATTGGCAACCACACTTTTAAGTTCATTGTACCCAACAGATATCTGAGAAGTCAATAGTGAATTGCTTCTTGCAATAGCATCAAAAATTTTAGCAAGCAACAAACATGAAATATTGGGATCAATTGACTGTTCATCAAAGAAGTTATAGAGAGCCTGCTGAACAACAGTCTGAATCCAGTCAGGCTTTAGGACAAAGCAGAGTATAATTGGGATCATAATTGAAGCTCAGGTGTATTTCTGAATTTAGTAGAACTTCAGATGGGTAATTGGGAACTGCAGTTGGGTCCAGTGTCTCTGAAATGAAAATCTCTGTAGGGTTTGGCAGTATTTCTTCTGCCCCTCAGGTGTCAATATATGTGATATCAATAATGTATGCACAATTTTGGACAGGCCCAAAAATTCACTATGACAGGGGTCAGAGGGGAAAAATATCACCAGATTCAGTGCTGAACAGATCTTCAAAACTGGGGGACTTTTCTTGATCAATTTATAGGTCTTCTACAGTGCTTCTCACTTGCAAACAGTCTGCTTCACCTTAATTTCAGCCTGCAAATTGAGTAGCTGGTAATGGTATTGGCTGTATTTCATCAAGTCAAAATTCATATTGAACCTCTCTGCATTGGAGACAGTACAGCTCCAACAGGAGACTGTTGCAGTAGAGTATTTGATTCCAGTATTGTCATTTTGCTGTGGCATGTCACCAAGATAAGCAATACAAGAAGCAATGATTCTGACAGTTCCTTCACCAGTTACCACAATGTCAAATCCTCTTTCAACTGCTTGTAAACCAGGAGCCAATGCCTCCACAACATCAGAAAAATTTGTAGCATGAGACCTGAGAGCAATTGTATATGCATTGTTTCATCATCTTCTTTCAGAATCATTAAGTCCCACAGGGATTATATAGAAGCCAGTTATATTTCAGTACATGTTTCAATATAGACTGAATCTGTCAATGAACAGCAGGAAGGGAATGAATATAGTTCTCTTGATAAAGTTGCCTGGACAGAGCATCTTGATCAGCATATCCCTTCTATATGCCACAATTTCCAGTTCACTCCAGAGCAGAGTGCTAAGTCAGAGCTCTTGTACATATGATATGTGGCAAATTGTATTCATCACTTGCTGTACAAAGAACTCATTTGTTTCTGAGGATTTGTAGCTACCCAATCTGTCAAAGATGTAGTCAAGATGAACATCCAGTCAGGCTAGAATGTTGTCTTCATGTATGATGTGAGTTTCCTGGTCTTCCAGTAAGAGCAGCTTGTTCAGGCAAAGCAGAGGTTTCAGTGAATGGATTCTTTTATTAAAGCTGCTGGCAGTAATAGTGTACTGGACAATAAGAACAATTTCATCAGATTTTGTGCAGGCCAGTCTCTGGTCCCAACCCACAAATTGAATTCTTCTAATATGGATTTCTTGTTCATTCTAAGTGCACTTACATGCAGCATTGTTGCACCTGAAACAAATAAAATCAGAAGGAAAGACTGATGTCCTGTCAGAATATCATGCAAAGTCATCTGATGAACATCTAATAAAGCTCCCCCAGCTCCATGATTGCCACAATTCAGTCAGGTTGTTAACTAGATCAGCCATACCAATATATATCTTCTTGTGAAATACAGGAGATCTTGCCAGTAATGACAAAAGAGCCACAGGATCCTGAAAGAATAAATTAGATGTAAGAGATGTCTGTATTAGTTGCTTCTCAGCAGGCAAAAGAGTTGGCATTTTCAATGGAACAGCCAGTATGAATGCCCATTGAATGGGAAGTATAGAGAATTGAGCTCTGCATTTCTTCTTCAACATGCTCAGCCCCAATGGTAGAGATCTCAGTGCACTAATGTCTTCAGGAATCTGTAAGACTTCCTGCAGTGTCTTATAGTGTCAGCAAGATATTTCTGATTTTTCACACTATAATTCTAAAGCAAGCATGAAGTGGTCCAGCATTTCATCAGGCTCTGCATGTGCATAGACTAGAACCTCCAACAGGTCATTTATTATAGTTGGGATGTAGGTCTCAGCTGGCTGGTCACCCAATAAATCCTCTAGTTGTGAATGAAAATCAGAATCTCCATTGCTAATCAGGTGCACTGGATGTAATATAGTCTGTAACCAGGGTTCAGATTCAGGCTCTTCATACTGTTGTGATTCATTGTTATCAACTGATTTCATGGGTAGAGCTGCCACTGCTTCTTGTATAATCTCCTGCACTCTGATATCTTCTGGTTCAGAATGAGTGTTGGATAGAGCATTGAGTGAAGCATCAGAAGCATCTGAAAGACTTGCTGCATCCTGTATACAGTAATTAGAATGATGCAGGCTGACAGAGAATTCAAGATCTTACACTCAACCCTGACTTCTTAGTTTGATTGTTTGGCTGAATGTTGGGTTCTACTGAAGGTAAAATGCAATTGCAATCTTGCAATTCCCATAATAAATGGGCAGACTGTCTGCACCTTCAAAACTGCAAGGCTGGAAATGGCAAATGAAGTTGCCTTCTCCAAAACATATAATCCTCTATATGCCTCAAGTACCTCAGACCTCACATGTTTGCTTGAGGTTTATACACCAGTTTCCACAGTGGTTGAGTTTCAAGTTGCAGGAACAGTAAGGGTTGCTGCAGAATTGCTTTGAGATAAAGTATGTAGGAATTAGAAAGAAAATTGCTGTTTGATTGGGGAATCAGACATATTATAGCAAAGTTGAATGTTAGAGCAGCTGCAAAATGTGCCAACTGTGCCACAGACCAACTGTAATATCTCAATCATCTAGATCTGTAATTAGCTCTAAGGGATGCAAGATCAGCAATAATCTGTATCCTCCTAAATGATCAGCCTATTTCAAAGAAATCAATCACTTAGCAGTGTTGAATTTTAGAATGTAGGGGAATATGGATACAGATCTGAATAGCAACTTGAGCAGTTAAATGCACTTCAAGTCAACTATATAATAGATAGTGAACCTCTCCAAAATTCAAGCATTCACTCTCATTCATTCTCAATGGCAATTCAATAGCCAAAATGTCAGAGACACAGAGCACACCAGCACCAAAAAGAACAGCTTACACCTTCCCATGGGCCCAATCACACAACATGCCAAAGGCTTAAGGAGCATTATTCAGTTCAAATACAAGTATCTGAACTGAAGTGTTCTCTGATCATACAGAGATTGAAAAGTGGGTTTGAGTGGTGGAGCACAAGATACAAAATCAGGTGCAATGGGCCTATATATTGACATTAAATACTGATCTGATTCCTGATACCATTCAGGAGATGCTGAGCCTTGAGAACTGGGAAGCCAGGAATGACTCATATTTTTATGAACTTTCTAGATGCATGTCAGACCTCTGTAAAGGTTGGAAATGTAAGATCTTGAGTAGCTTGAAGGTCAGAACAATGTTTCTAAACTCCTAGTTATGATATAAACTGATCTCATTTGCAGGATCATGTCAGGGAATGTATTGAACTCAGCTTGACTGAGAATCCCAATTTCAGACTTCATGAAATAACCAATCAACAAAAGCTGATCAGCTATTTTGCCCAATTATTCAAGTGGGACCAATTCTGTAAAGTCTTTTACTGGGTCAAGCTGTGTGTCAATTTTGAGAAGTCAGCTCCACAAGGGAAATGGTATTTTGAATGTAAGTCAATGATAAATCTTAATTATCATGATTTCTGCTCTGACAGTTATGGCAATAGAGGTGTATGCAAATTTAGCAGCATACATGAAGCTGTATCTTGATGACAACAGTTCAAAACAGGATACATCCACCCTGTTAATCTACATCTGGAATTCTGTACTCAAGCTCTGGGACTGCTTGACACAGAAACCAGGACTGAGAGATGTCAATTCAGACAACTTTGCCTGATGGAAGATCCAACCAAGGAAGCCAAAGACTGTCCATGTTGAGACTTTGCCAGAAATTCTGAATGCAGTCCAGTTAACATCTAGTATGCCATCCAGAGAACTTAATTTACATCTGGCTCAGGCAGTGCAAGCTCTGCAAGAGCCAGAGAATGACAATTCAGACAAGAAGAATTGAAATTCTTTGTAGAACATTACAGAGAATTATTTTAAGACTGCAACAAATTGGCCTGCCTGTTTAAAGAAACCTGCACCAGCCACAACTGGTTGCATGCTCTGAAAGAGACACAGATTCTAGTTGAATACATGAAAAGATGCCTTCTCAGATCAAAATTGGCTGTTAGTTTGTGCTTTAAAATAGATTTCAGGGTTTGATATCTAGACTTCAATGCAATGCTCTGTTATATCAATGCTTGCAAGAGCTGAATTTCACTATATTCAATATATATCTCTTTATCATTCACCATAATCAGCTGTAGGAGCTCTAAGCAAAATGAGTTAGCACTTAGTAATGTATAAATAGACACATCCTGATTAGGAAATCCAAAATAATCAAGCAGACATGCTAGATATAATAATCTCTTCTCACACAAAATCTCTCTCTTCTTCTCTTCTTTTCTTTCTTTCCTTCTCTTGAGCTTATTATATTTCTTGTTACCCCTCTTCTTCTATTCCAATATCAAGATAAGTGGTGAATTTCAGAATGAAATAAGGAACTGCAGCAAACTGAAGGACAATATATGCAGAAATAGCAAAAAATGACTCCACAAACACATAAATTGGCAGCAGCTCAGAATGAGCACTCCCCAATGTTCATAAAAAAGAAGCCAGGGTGAAAGCCCTCAGCTGTTAAAGAAGAGTCTGCTATAATAGGTAATACACTCTGTGGCTACTGTTTGACATTTGTGTATACAGCATACATCAAAAAGTCTTATTTCTGCAAGCAAGAAACCACAAAGGCCTGCATCAATTGTGCAGAAGATAAAAAAGCCTGTGCTCCTGTCTTTTCAGAGCTACAGAAGGAAGTGGCAGCATTACTGTCTGATTATAATGATTTCCTTAGACTTAAGAACACAACACTCTGAGAGAAATTGAAAGCCAGTATGGCAGAACAGGCCACTGATCTTAGTGAATTGCTTACCAAAATGGCATCTCTGTCAGTTCAAACTGACAAATTCCCCTCTTTCTTCTTCTTCAATGCTGAAGTTGGTGCTGCCACTTTGACAGCATTGGAAAAGCTTGTGTCCATCCAAGCCAAACAAAAAGAGCTTGCAGAGCATATATTCCACTCTGTCAAGATAGATTGAACTGATTAAATATTATACATTCAACTCATGCTAATGTAGTTATATATATAGAATATTGAAAGAATCTTGACTAACATCTGTCAGAACTTAAAGTTCAATTGTTTATCTTCTGCAGTCAGTATACTTGATGCAATGTCAGGATGAATTGAACTGACTTTGATATTTAATGACAGAAAAAGTGAAAGACAGAAGAAACCATCTATAAATCAGCAGTCAAGATAGGCCAATTTGCTGCTGCTCTGCCCTTTGCTACATTCACTCCTCCCCTTCTCTTCCCCACTCCAATCACACCTTCTCCCTTCATTCAGTTACAGCTGAATATCTCTGCATCAGGCCTGTCTCCAACTGGAGGCAGTGGAGCCAATTTGCTCAAAAGTACAATCAAGCAGTCTGAATGAGCTCACTCTGATGATTCTTCTGTACTGGTTTTACACCCTGTCCCTGAACCAGAGACTCCAACTGGGGAGGCTCAAATTTAAAAAAAAAAAAAAAAAAAAATTCATTACAATTCAGGTTGTGTGGGTGGTTTGTAATACTTAGTTAGTTCCTAGTAATTGAAAAGCTTCCAAATTGGGTTCAAAACCCTCAAGTTTAAAAATATATACATTCCAAATTCTATACATTTCAGACCCTTTATATGTGCATTGTAAATATATGGTTGATCTACAGTTTCAAGCTTGTGACCTGTGGTTCAATGGGTTGCATCAGATAAACGTTTTCCGACGGTTGCCCGAAAAGCTCATTTTTCCGGTATGGCACCTGTAGCTGCTGACAAAGTGGCTGGGAAAGTGGATGACATAATCAATCAATCATCAATCAATCATGATAGAAAATCGATAGACGATTTTACTCTGTACTCTGTACTCCGTACAGAGTAGATATATAAAAGCAGTGCAGCCCGAACGACTGAAAGGGAGGTATGCCAGAGAAATTGATCTGTTTTATTGTCCAGTATCCGAATGTCTGTGAGAGATGGAGTGGAAACCAACAAAGTTCTTCGAATCAGTACCTCGATCGAAACCCTACGCGCTTTTGGTTCTGAACCAGCCTATCAACCCCAATGCGTATAAAATATTGAAGCAGCATGGTATTTCTGTAATTATATCCTTTCCTCGTAAAGCAAGATTTTAACTGGTCTATGTGTAACAGCGTCGTTTACAATCTGCGCTGATGGCGGCGCGAATCGCTTTTATGAGCTCATGAGGAAAAACGGGACGGAGTCCACGGAGGTGAGCAGAGAGTCTCTCTTTGTCCCTATGCCTAAAATATTTTGTCCACCACGGATGGGGCTGCTAACCCGATATACCAGTAGCTTCCAAATGCCATCGTGGGTGACTTAGACTCTATTCGTCCATTTGTACGAAAACATTACGAGAATCTAGGTGTCCCAGTGCTTGAAGACCCAGACCAATATTCCACAGACTTTACCAAGTGCCTACGACATCTAAAATCCAACATTAGGACCATTGTATCCTCAGATATATCTCCAGGGCCTCCCCAATCCACAGCGGAATCTGAGGTTCAGGACAACGGAACCGAGCCGCATCTAGACGTGCTCGTGCTGGGCGGCCTAGGTGGCCGTGTCGACCAAGCATTCTCTCAAATCCACCATCTCTATACCGCGTCTCAATCGTCCCTGTCTGCGGCTGATAAGCCCGCCGGAGATTTGTACCTGATTTCAGAAGAGAGCATTACATTTCTGCTTCCGGAAGGCAAAAGTACCATCTTCACGCCTGGTGGCAACTCGCTGGAAGCTGAATCTCGTTGGAAAGCCCCAACTTCAATACCCGGATCCCATAGCGCTTTAGATGGAGATAAGCCCATCTCAGAATGTCCAGAAAAATGCTACCTATCGGAAAATGTTGGCATAATACCTGTTGGTGGACCTTCTGTGATAAACACAGAAGGTTTAGAGTGGGACGTGCATGACTGGAAGACAGAATTTGGCGGGCAAGTCAGCACGAGTAATCATATTCGTGCCGATATGGTTGAGATTAGGACGACTGCGCCGGTGTTATTTACTGTCGAGTTAGCAGATTGGTTGAAGTTTCATGGACGGGTGTGACCTTCATTTAATGACTAGCAGTCCTTGTCATTTCGAAGCGGGCGAATAAATGCAACATCCTATGTACTAACCATATATCTCTTTTTTTTCCGCTGATTTGTCAGTGGAGAGAAGGTTGAGACACTGTCGGTAAACAACCCGCGAACCCGAGGAGCATCAGCAGGTTTCTTCTTTTTCATGCTAAGTGCCAACCTACTCTTTCTACAAAGTAGAGTGGCCATTGTAGCTTTCAAATAAGCATATCAACCTTCAATTATCAATCTATCTGCGGCTCCTTTTTGCCTGGTTCTCAATTTGTCCTCCTCCACATCCCACTGGCTAGCTTTCATTGTAGACCAGAGGCAGATAGCGCATAAGTGATCAACCAAACCTTTTCTCAAACGCTACGAAGCGCAACCTTGCCTACAGTTGCTCGCTGAGTGCCATCGAACGAAGGTTAAGGACAATAACACTACGAATACGAATAGAGTGTCGCCCATGTCTCGATCGGTCGGCAGCTGCGACAGTGAATTGAGGATTTAAGAGTATCAAATCTTAAACCGGGTTCTCATCAAGCTAGTGACACGATTGCGGGGGCGAAATGCCATGGCGCTATCAATAAAGGTGGCGTAGACCGTCAGGGCAAAGCGTTCCGCGAATAATAGCATGCTAAGTCGCTAGGCAAGCCACAGGTGCTTTCGGCAGTCGCCAAATTGGGTACAAGTCCGTTTGACGCGACCTGTCTGAAAGGGACGAATTTGCGGGCGCAATGGGCAAACCAATTTTCCTCCTGCGCATGCAGCTGAATTGGCAAGTGAATGGCATTGTTGGTCTTCCAACTGCCAAGTGAGGCTAAAAAAAGCCCGTTTGGGGCCGGCTGTGCCCCTTTTGGTTGTGGTAGCTACCAATCGACGTCGCTAAGCTGCAGTTTACGGGCACGAAAACCCCGACTAGTACTCGCCTTCTCAGGTTTAGAAGAAGTACGCTTCTCGTTGCCTTTGCATCCTTTAGCACTGCTAGCCTTATTGAGAACTTGGGGAGAGAGCTGGGGGCTTCACCATCATTGAGGTCATTGTCGTCTCCAAGGTCATAGTTTAGAACTAAGTTTTTAATGCGTTGCTGCTCCTCGCGCTCGGCCTGTTGCTGAGATCTCATAGCAATCGCAAAGCTGGAGTCCGATGGAAGATCAATTGTTCGGGTCTGGGGCATCGTCAGTGTACTTTGTTTATTTTACAAGAATAACGGGAATTTACCTGCTGACGATTTCCTCGTTTGGTCATGAGTGAGAATGCCATCGTGTTTGACGCTGCTGCATTGTTTTCGCGATCTTCAGCTGCCGTAGGTTCGCGAGTTGTACGTCTCATTGGCAGGGGTACGTCAAACATTGCTTTGCGTTCGAATTTACGCGATTCCAAGCTTTCCGCCATGATCTTCTCAAAGGCACGGTCAAATTCTGCTTCCGCTTCAGGATCGCGTTCCTCTTCCTGTCGAGTGACGATTATTCGCTCTTCTTCCTCCTCGGACTCAGGCTCGGCGTCTTGATCAGTGTTATCAACAGCAGCCTAGAAATTCGTCAGTCGAGCCGTGGATGCAAGAATAAATAATGGGAAACATACTTCAGCCTCCTCACTCGAAAACTGATCTTCTTCGCCTTCTCCAAGAGCGTCGTCCTCAAGCTCATCTTCTGACGAGGAGCTCTCACCGTCTTCTTCAGGTTCGGCTGCCTTGCTACCATCTTGAACTTTGTAATTTTGCGCTACGGCTTCACTGAATAAGCGAGCCGCCTCTTCCAAGTCGGTTGCAAGCTTCCATTGGGGGCGAGTAAGGGCATATGTGTCGTGTACGAGGAAATCTATATCCATCGGCATAGGATCCTTGGTGTGAATATAATACTACTATGATCAGCAACCTGACTAATTGTGTAATCATTTGACCTTACCTGGAAGAAGGTTAAGAAGAAGTCCAGTTTCTTTTTGGAGTTACCGCGGTCAAAACAAACGCCACAAGTATCAAGCATCGTGCAAACAAGGCGAATGCGGAAAAAATCGTCAGGAAGATCAAGGGGACAGATTTTGCCTGGAATGGGGGTGCCACCCTCTATAATTCCGTTAATTGTGAGCGTGGGTAGCAGGGAATTTTAAGGGAAAGGCATACCGTGCCCAAAAGTAACGATACGATATAGAGTATCAAATATCACAGGAGAATCAACCATTTTATAGTTGTAGAGCTCTCCGAGGTACTTGACGTCGGCAATGCGCTCCTGGTTAAATTTGAAATCGTTCTGTTCTAGGCCTATTGTGATCCGCTCGAGAGAATTATCAATAATGTTAACAACAAAATCTTGATGATAGCGGTAGAGTGCGCTGACAAGTAAAGCCAATAGGTGAATATTGCCGTACTTGACTTTGGCGGGCTTGCTGAATACACTTTCAAGTATGCGGACAACCTATGCTTATCAGCATTATGATCCATAAAAAGATGTATACTTAACTCACCTCCGGCTCCTCCCAGTGTAGCTTTCGAACCGACTTGAGAATCTTGGGATAATTGCGCTTGTTCATATCAAGATACACAAGTTTTCTCACGAATAACTCCATTGGAGTGCGCTCTTTCTGCTGTATGGCTGGTCTTGGGGGAGGGTCAACGTAGTACATAGCATTTTCAAGTACCATTCGTTCCTGTTGTCCTAAATGCTGAGCTGCTTTCTTCCGTCCAAGGGTTTCGAGGAAGGATGCCATTCTCGGTGCAGTCTCCGGGTTCCGTAGCAAATACCGACCACAGTTTTCAAGCAAATTGCCAATTATCTCGATGTTCATCCTTGAAAAGTCATCCAGACTGACCTTAAAGCAGTGAAATATGACATGTTCAGGCACGACACCAAATTTGGTGAGTTCAGCGAGATATCGAATATTACTCGTGCGCACTTGTCCGAGGAACTCTTTCTGCTTGCGACGTTGGAGGCTGCGGAATTCCTCGTCCAAATATGAAATTAAACCTTGGGGAATATCAGGAAGATATTGGCCTAAGGTTGCCACCAATCGAGCATACAAAGGAAGTAGATCTGTACGGCCCTTTGGGACGTCTTGCATAGCCTTTATCAGCCTATTTCGCGAGGCTTTGGAGTTTAGGAAACAAAATTCCAAAGCCAACTGGTCGACGGCATCTTTATGCTGGAGTTCCGGGAGCCTTGCCAATAGGGTATCAACCTGAGCACCAACGGTTTTGTTAACGATAGCTGTTGACTGGTCGTCCGTCTCTCGAGGAGTACTTTCGACAGGTTGTCCCGGCCGCTCCCTTTTATCTTCGGATGTGACCCCGTTTGGCAGATCAGCATCTTTATTTTTTGCTTGTTCATCGGCCTCGCCTTTCTTTTTCTTGCCATCTTCAAGCAGCACCGCCGGAACCTTACCCTTCAGATCAACAAGGTTCTCATAGAAGCGACGCTCTTCTTCATCTTCCCAGATTCCTGGCCCTTCGCCTTGTCCACGCAGATATTCGCCAGTCTTCACAAGCCCAATGGTTCCACTACTGAGGCTGTCTAAACCTTCCTTCTCAGCCAGTTCCGGCATCTCCGAGCCTAGAATGTCGCAGAGTATTTGAGTGTTTGAAACCAGTTTTTCTTGGGCCTTGGATTGTTTCTCAAAGTTGGACTGTCGGTCTTCCAGAATCTCTCCGCTTTTCACATACGCCTCGGCGTTGCGGCGGCTCAAGGCAGCCAGAGCTTTGTGATCACGAACAACATGCTTCTTCACATCATCCAGGTACTTGATCATGATATTCCTGAATCGGGTCTGCAATTTCTCATCGGATACCAGAGGCGGGTCATCCGCTGAACCAATATTGACCATGGATTCATCGCCAGAGGCCTCAGGGGCCTCTTTGCTAGTCACTGTTGTCTCACCGCTGGGATCGACGTTTTTCCTACCATCGTCTGCTCTTTTGATGCCCATGATATCCCAACCGTAGTTTTTAGCGAACAAGACAGCAAGGGGCAAGTTCTGATGTTCACGATCATAGCCGAGTAGGTCCTTGATAACCTCCAAAGGGAACGGGTCTGCATCTTTGTCTTGGCTGACCTTCGGCGCAGTATGTGATTGTTTACCTTTTAGCTGACCATCGGAAACTTTGCTACCAGCTGTGGGTGTTCCATCCTTCCCCTTCGACCCTAAATCTTCTGGCCGTTCCACATCGTCCAGGGTGCGCAGAAGCCCCACCAGCCACAGCTCCGATACGACACGAAGCAAAACACGTTGCCGTACAAGACGTTCCTTTTCTTCCTTCTCTCGTACTTCTTGCGTCCAAGCTTTCAGTTGTGCCTTGTCTGGCGTGCTCATACCGCGGCCCAGCAGCCAGCCGAGTTGCTTTGTGAACTCATGAGGACCGAAACGCTGGTGCAGTGCACTAGCAACTTCGACCCCCGCTGCTATTTCTCCAGGTGATTTGAGTTTGCAAGCACCCTCATAGAAAGCAGATATAATTTCTGAGAGATATTTATGTAAAGACAGGGTCCGGATCTCCGTGAGAAAGGTTGGTTGAGCGGAAGCGGTGATTCCGGTTCGAAGACGTTTGATAAAGGCAGTGTTTTTCTTCAAGGAGGAATCAAGTGATTTATTGACGAGAAAAACATCTATAGAAATGGCTTTTAGCTTAGCGCTGCGAATTCTCATGCTCTACCATACAAGCAACGGTGACTGCGGGGTTACGACGACGGTACCTGGTTCTCCGATCCAAGCCTTTATATTTGAGTCACGCAGCTCTCCTGGAAAAATCATTATTAGCGACCCTTCTTGGATACTCGTTTATAAAATGCAGATCACATACTCTTCCTTGCACGATCCATCTTCTCCTCCGTCCCCGATTAGTCGAAATGTCTGCGAGCAATTTAACCCCGAGCGACCCGGTATCTTCTAAGGAGCACGAAAGAAAAAGGTAGTACTGAGAAAGAGGCCGCATTGGGCATTTGTAGGAGCAGTGAACAAAGAAGAGAATCGGTCGCAGGTCGAAGTGTGAAGCTTGTAGAACTGATGAGCTGACGAATGACAGGGTGAGCTTGCAGGTACCTTGAAGATTCTCGATAACCTTTAGCAGTCCGAAGGAATGCAGAGGAAACCGCAGCTTGGCTACAACATCACATCTGCAAAGTACTGAGCTGAGGATAAGTATAGTGGAAATAGATAAATAAATTCAGGCTCCGCCTGAGGGTAACTAAGTTAGGTCAGACCCAGCAAGGTGATGTGCGGTTCGACCTCGCTGCCCGCCGGCCGCTCATCATATCATCGAACGCCGGCGTTGAGATGCCCGCTTATCTAAGCTCCAATTTAAGGTGCAACTAACTAACTAGTGTGGTGACTAGCGTTATCTACTCCTACAACCCTGTCACGACATCGGCGGCAACCAGCGCAATGCATCACGACTCTGTCCAAGACCAACTTCTGCCATGAAGCGCGATTAAGAAGGAAAATAGTCGCATAACAGCCGGCGGGATGTACAGCCTCCCGATTTCGCACTCAAAGACCGTCAATTCCCGAACAGCGCGAAACCAAGCCGCCTATCCATTGCCTTTATCACGAAGTCATTAGCAAGCTGAACAGGAGCTGAGAGGGACGGAATGACGCTGAAAACAACGGAGAACCTACCATGCTGTCCATGGATTAAAGCATTTTTGTAAAATTCAGCCCCAGCGCGAAATTTTGCGCATAAAAAGAAAAGAAACACATGTCATCGAACACAGGCCATTCCATGTGAGACTTTTTCATCCTTTGATAGCCTTCCCACCGATCTCTGTAAATCCGGCTTCCCTGCCCTTTTCTAACCCCGTCAATCTCTTTTGTAGATGATGCCTCAGATCCTGCTCATTCCAGCTCTGCGACTGTTTGAGGCTTGGAGGGTTCCAACCTTGACTTTTCACGTTCCCAGACGAAGCAGCCTCAGCCGCGGCAAACTGTGACTTGGTACGTTCTTTGGGTGGCGCTGCTGATTTTGAGGCCATTCCCTGCTTGAGAGACTCGAAAGTGCAAACGGTATGTCGTGGGATGTTTCTTCGTTAATTATACGATTGAGGGTTTTGATAAATATCTTTTTTATATATTTATTTCAAGATCAATTGTGCTCCATCGGTAACTTGAATGAGAGACACTTCGCTGGGCTGATGGCTAGGTTTAAATTTGATTTCGATCTCGTGAGCCCGCTGTCCTTTGAACGCCGATTTGCCAGTAGGTGGCGAGGCAGATCGCGTCTATCAAGGTCTTGACGTCGCGAAGTGACCCGGTTTAGCGGGCTGGTTCCAATTTATTTTCGTCCCGCCATGCCAGTCCGAGGACTTCTCAACCAACTCACACTACTAATATCTTTTTTTTTTTTTTTTTTTTTTTTTATATATATATTTAGTTATTAAATTCCAGAGAAAAAGCACGCATTCCCGGTGCTTGAAAGGAAAGCAGAATGGAGGGTTTTGCTCTGACCCTCACTCTCGTTTGTTTGGGCAAAAATGCGATTGATTTATACGAGGTTGGGATGACTTTCGCTCGCTTCGAGGCATTGACATCAGCGGCTTAAATTATCAGCTCCCAGTCAGAAAAGCCCAAGCGAGGGCTTCAAAGGCTTCCCCCCCCGGGAAAGTTTGATTTGTTGTTGTTGATCGGCCCCAAATGCGAGCTGCTGGCGATGGCAGCGCCATATGGCGTTATAGCGCAAGTATTAAGCAAGGCTTTTGGTCCGCTACTACAAATCGAGAGACTTCCTCCGTATGATAGGAGTGACAGCCTTTTCCTTCTCCCCGTTTCGAACTCCTCATCAACAATGCATGAAGGCGCCGCAAAACTGCTTCGGCTGGTATGGACAAATATTATGGCGAGCAGCACCGTCGGTATAAATCTTCGATGGCGAACGGGCGCTTCAGAAAAGACTAGTAACAGCGCGGGAATAGTTGAAATGTATGCAAAAGAGCTCTCGTACGATTTGCGTTATGCTATCCCAGCCAATCTTCCTCTGGTTGGATCGCACTTCGGCTGGTATCGATCGCCGTCGGATTCGTCAACAAAGCTTCTCCCACCCATTCAAAGCAGCTCCTAAGCAACATGAGTGTAGCTGATCCGATAATCCGGACGCTTCTGCGCTCGGCTACTGCCGATTGGCTGAAATAGCATCCGTATAAAACTGGGGACAATGAGGAAGAAAGCCAAAAGCTTTAGCCATCTGCTGCAAAACCGGAGTGTCAAATAGAACAGCGATTGCTACTGGCTTAGCCCTACTGGCATTGTGGGTTTCGAAGTCCGAAAGGTTTGGTTGTGCTCCAGAATGCATCGCAGCATCCGTGATATAGAATAAATACATCGTTTTGATAAACCTCTTGATTCTCTGATAGCCACCTTGGATACCATAAATCGTCAGCTTTGGAAAAGCATTCGCGTTTACAATTTGAGCGCCCCGGCAGTGTGTTACCAATCCATTGACTGTATCTCCGAAAGTGAAGGGTATTCTAAATTAGGCGCAAACATATGAATAAATACAATATCACATCAAATATCACATCAATCCAGTTATCAAAAGGAATCTCCAGCGATCATCGCCATCTTGGGAGCAAGTGAGGTGCTTTATATGCCAGCGTGCCCACAATCGCAAGGGCAGCGGTGACACCCAAACTTTTAAATCCCAGCAGAGATTCTTCCCGAACACGACCGAGATTCGCAACGTGCTTCTTACGCATCGCTTCCGCCCCATTACCCTCCAAATCAAAATCATCCCAGTTTAGTTTTGACAAAAGTTTCTGATAATCCACCACCGTGCCAGACCAATTGTTTGTGATCAAACCTTCAGCTGTTTTATACCAGCTTTGGCAGCCTGGCGACGCAAATGCGGTACTGGATAGTGCCTTTTGGAGATTCGAATTGAACTCTTCGACTTTGCCCGGTTTCGGAGTTATGGCGAGGCCTTGGTTATACTCCCTTGCGCGCAGGACGGCTTTGATCAGTGCAAGGATGTACCGAGATTGGGCCTCGATCATGAGGATGATGGAGTTATGGCCGAGATTTGTGTTGGGGCCATACAGCATGGCAAAGTTGGGAAGATCTTCGACTGCCACACCATAGAGAGCACGAGCACCACCTTCCCAGATTTCAGTCAATGGTCTTCCGTCCCTACCGTATATTTTGATCGGGTGCATGAATTCGACGGTGCGAAAGCCTGTGGCAAGGACTATGAGGTCTAGGTCTTGCTCGACGCCGTCGATGACGATTCCCTTCTCAGTGATACAATCGATATGCCTAGTCTCGAGGGATACATTATCACGAGCGAGGGTTGGGAAGTAATCGTCACTCAGGATCATGCGTTTGCATCCTGGAGGATAGTCCGGGGTCAACTTTTCCCATAGATCGGGTTGATTGGGAAGAGCTTTGTGCATAATATGCAAACTGGCTTTTCGTATCAGCTCTGCAGTATTTGAGTTGGGATCTCGCATCACAACATGGACAGCTTCGCGGAAATCCATTATCGATGCGCGTAATCTCCACAGCGCCGGAGGGCAGTATCTGAATATAGCCCGAAATGGTTTCCAGACGTTCATGTCCAGCCGAGGTACAACCCAGTTTGGTGTTCGCTGGAAGATGGTAAGATGAGAAGCCTCTTTGGCAACTTCGGGGGCGATTTGGGCAGCGGTGGCACCTTGACAAGGGTCTTGTTAGCTCTCAGCCACAAGAAGAGAAATATTATCCTCATATACCATTTCCGATAATGCCAATCTTCTTATCCTTGAGCTCATAGCTCCAATCCCACCTGGCAGAATGCATCATCTTCCCCTTGAAAGTCTCAATGCCGGGAATCGATGGATACTGGGGATAGTTGAGTTGACCAATTCCCGACACCAGGAAGTCCGAGGTGATGGAGTATTCCTCTCCGAATTCAACATCTTTGCTGCCAATCACTTTGACTTTTGTGCACCATTTCTTTTCGACCTCATCCCATCGTGACTCTTCCACCTCGGAGCTAAACCGAATATATGGGTATAGGTTATATTTCGCTGCGACCTTTCGAAGGTAGTTCTGACAAGGTTAGCGGCTTCGACGTAAAAAATGAATTGGTCCATACCAAAATTTCCTGTTGGTCGGAATACAGTCTCGTCCAATCTGGATTCTGTTCGAAAGAGAAGCTGTATAAGTGGGAATAAACTATAGCGCGGAATATTAATTTCTCAGGCCGCGAATACAGGTGTTGGATTAGGTACCATCACAGCAGCACCCCGGATATTTGTTATCTCGCCAGGTTCCCCCGAGACCGGCACTCTTTTCGAGAATGACGAAATTGTGGATATTATTTTTGATCAGATTGATGGCGGTACAAAGTCCTGGAGCAAAGACGCGACTATAAGTAACTATACGTCTGTCTTTTACAATTCCGGCGGCCATCAAGCGTAGCTCAACTTGCCTTACCTGAAATTCCAGCACCAATGATAACAACAGCAGCCTTGGTATATTCCTTGTTGCCGACTGAGGTTCGGGCATAGTTGTTAGGGGCCATGACGATGGAAGTGTTCAAGGGACTCCAGAAAAAGAGAATCAAAGGAAGTCGCACATTAAAGAAACGAATTGTTTCTTAGAAATATGCTGTGGAGTGCCTTGAACATAGTTATAGCAAGCATTATTACGTTATAACTGCGGAACATGGCAGAAGACATTTCAAGCCAGGATTGCCTTGATGCCGAGGGCACGGCAGACGGCAGGATTACATCTGCAAGCACAAGAGAATAATAAAGCCCTGTCAACCATTGGGCTCTTTTGACTATCTTTCGGCACGGCTTAAGGCCCTGCACGTCTTCCCCGCAATCCATCTCCTGGAGCAGGCCTCATCCACGGTGGAGATGCGCACTCGAGCCGAGGGAAGATCGGTGAAAGACATGAGACGAAAGACGGGTGACATAATCCTCTCTTGGCGCCGCGCTCGCCCCAACCCAGATAGGGAATAGCGCAGGTCCCCAAGGGGTCGCGAAGCCGATTGGCGCGGAGCGGGCTTGGCCATTTTTATTTGAATCCGGACATTTCAGCAAAAGGGATCGCGGTCGCTAACCTTCCAGGAAGGAAAGGTGGACGATGGTCTCGAATCGCCTCGGCTCTCCAGTTGAATCCACACTATAATCGAGAGACAACATTGGCCTGCATAAGATTGCGAGCGCACGTTGTACCTGTCATTGAGGATGCCACAAATCGAGTCGTGTAACTGCGTCGTCTCGTCAAAGTTCTGCAGTCATTCCCCACGAGCTTATACGCTTAGCTTGATAATGAACAAAACTGGTGCAAATCATGCGATACAATCATACACAGGAGTCCTTTCCTCGTGTGTAGCGGTAGATTTTCCCAAGTTGAAGTGCCTGTCTCGTATAAACAGTCCAGGCCCTTGGATGAAGATTCTGGACGATGTCACCCAGTTTACCAAGTTAATTTAACACATACACATCCACAACGCCAACGGAGTCGCAGTTTCAAGGCGAAGTGCGTTAATATATCCGAAAATTTTGGCGCCGATCTCTCCGGCCCCCAATCCTCCGAATACGGAAATCAGACCGGGCTATATCATAGAAACAGGGCGCACGCCGATCCTTAGGTGCCATTTTTCAATGTGTTGTCCCAGACGAAGGAAAATGCGCTTACAGGGGTGAGCAAAGTCATCAGGCTTTATAGTTGTCTTTCCAACCCTCATCTGCGCTCTATTTTTCAAAGACTTGGTTGGGACACTTTATCACAAATCGTTTCTTCCTTCAGCTTGATTTCCCTCTAGTTTTATGGCGAACGCCATTTAGAACACACTATGTCCTCGGACGCACCTTCAAGAATTCATCTCTTTCTTCTCTTGATAGCCGCTTTGCTGCTGGGCCTCAGCTCAATTTTGTCACTCATCTTCAAAAGCGCTGCTTTCTTTCCTCGCAAAGACTTTATACTCCTACATGGAGCTGAAAGCTCTTACCGTCATGATATAAAAACCAGTCCATCTCTTCCTATGTTCCCCACCTATCTCGATGACGGAGCGATCGGACCCGTTTTGGGCAGCGGCTTTCTTTGCTTGTTTCTCTCCCTGATCGCTGTCATACTTGTATCGACTTCTCTACGCAAAGGGCCTTTGCTGGTGAGTGCTCATTTCATCGAGAAACCCTGATTTCTACAAATCTAATGCAAAAAGCAGATGGTAACCCGCTCGCCGATTCTCATACTCTCAATACTCCTCGTACAGTATCTCTTCAGCTTGGGGGCTCTGATACATACTTTTTTAATCCACCATCTATCCGCCCACTTTGAACCAAGTCATCGCGCTAATCCGTACGATCATGGTATCTTTGACCCAGAAACATGGACATGCGAGATATATTCTTGGCACTCCTCTATGGGTCGCGAGGTCAGCTTTCTCCATCGTCAATGTATTTTTGAGGAGGCGAGCCGGTGGGCGTTAATACCAGTATTGATATTTTCGACCGGGTTTGGTGTGTTCGCGGTGTTGGCAATCGTAGCTGAAAGAGCCATTATTATCGCAAGGGAAAAGACTAAAAACTTTGAAGTTGATGTTGCTTATGATTATGATAGCCCGTCGGTTTATTCACGCTGATAATTTGGATAATTTGGATTTCATATAAATATGGATTGTACTAAAAAGATGCTCCTGGAGTGATGTGGTATATACCTTTGTATTATGCTATATAAGTAATTTGTAGGTTATAATACACTCTTCCTCTGTCAAGGGCTGTAGTAGAACGTCCGTGCATGGGGGCCAAGTGGAATAAATAAGTAACCCACCATTGGCTGTCTACGTGCTTTAACTTCGAGCATGAAACCCCTCAGTTGGTCTTAACATACATGCAACTGGCAATCAAAAGTGGGCTTTTATGCATCTTCAAAGGCCAGGCCACTAGGGGTTTTCCTAAAATTAAAATAGTTGTCCATTTAAGTATCCAAGATCTACCTCTTCTGTATTAACTGCAAAGTCTCAAGTATATACAACATGATCCTCCCAGGCCACTTTAAATGTAGCTCGCTGACCTCGTCACCAACACGAACAAAAATTGTAATCCTAGTGTATTTTGCTTTCTAATTCAAAAGTGTTTCCACGGAGAGATGAGGAACGGAAATACCGGCCTTGCCTGCGACTTGTCATTGTTTATTTTCAGGTAGCCGAGGAAGGTTCGTTCCACCTGTTTGGGAGATAATTTCAATAGGAGTAAACCAAAAGGACACATTAAAGAGAAGAGCCAGCGGCTGCCCAGATGAGATGTAAAGAGAGCCGCCAAGTGCTTCCGCAATTTTGGAGCGTTTGGTTTACATCAGCAACAGTCCTAAATGGAGGAAGAAATCAGAAGATCAATCCCCTTGCAGTTTTGCACAATGTAATAGAAATCGCACAGGACATCGTGGGCCAAGACTCTGCCTTCTAAAGACGGCTGACATTGAGAAATTGACGTTTCTTTAATGTTGATGCCTTGGAATTTGGAAAGCGGGCATACAAGGACCCAAGCTCTTGCAAAGAGTATGCTTTTAATGGTTCTTTCCTGTGGGCCATTGCGAGGCAAGTCCCTGACTTCCAGGGATCCAGGATGTACTGTGAAGGCAGAGAGCTTATATTTTGGATGGTACTTACGTGGAACATGTGATAGACAGTAGTCAGCGAAGCTTCTTCTACATAGCTGGACCTTACGGTATCTCAATTCGTGGAAAGTTTGGCTGTATGCTAGATTAGGCAATGATTGTCTGGTTGACCATTTGGAGAGTTGCCGCTAAAATGAGTTTAGCGTGATAGCTTATTCCAACTTCATTTCGCTCCTCCAGCGCGAGCGACAGTGACGGTGATCTGAATTTCAAGCCCGTCAGCTGCCTCGACAAATTTAAGAAAGGCCCTCTGCTCGAAGGACAGCAGCTAGGAAACGTGACCGCGGATATCCAACGCGTTGAGGCAGGTCTACTCAGAATGCAAGTCATTCCCGCTCAGCCGGCTGCATGGCCGGAGAGCGAAAACGGGAGGGAAAGCCGTGAAGGTACTCCGTACAGAGTACGAGCGAGGCAGCCCCTGAATTGTGGCTGAAGCTACCCCTCCTCGCGTTTCACTGTGGCTGTGTGGCTCTCACGCCAAGTGATAGGCCAGTTTCATCGCCGTGTGGAGCGTCGCGGGGCCATTTCAGCCCTATAAAATGTGGCGGGGCAATGCTTGCTTGTCGACTTAAATTCCAACAGCAGTCTCTCTCTTAGTGCTGCCAGTACGTTCCTGGAGGAGTATACAATATCGGTAAAACAAGTAGTGTTGATTTTGCCTATTCAATCATGTCTACCTATACAGTCGTTTCCGGCGATACCATGTGGAAAATCGCCAATGATCATGGCATGACACTCGACGCACTAATTGCGGCCAATCCGCAGATAGCGAATCCCAACATCATTGAAGTTGGTCAAGTCCTTAACCTCTCTCAATCTCCGGCCGAGGATCCTCCTAATCCAGCCCCTGAAACCTCTGCCACCACTGCTGTTGCAGATACACCCGGCCCAGTTTTCAGCGCTACAGCCCCGGCTCGTGAAATGTCTACCGCAACTGCTACTGCGGAGTCCCGTGGCCCTGTTTTCACCGCGGCAACCCCGGCTCCCTCTAATCCAGCGGGCTACAAAACTGTTGCTTATTTTACCAATTGGGTACGCCGCCAAAGCCATTTATATCTCTGGGTATCTACCATCAATAAACTGTGCTTAACTGTCTGATCCTTTTCTGGTAGGGTATCTATGGTCGAAATTATCAGCCTAATAACATTCCAGCGAGCCATATTACACACATTCTCTGTATGCAACATGAAGGTGTTCTGTATTGAGTTTGGGTACGATCTAACTATTACATACAGATTCATTTGCCAATATTCGCGGCGATACCGGGGAAGTGTATGTCTAAACTCCCGTGTTTAAAATCTCGAAACATATGCTAACAATCTCATAGCCACTTGACCGATACGTATGCAGACTTAGAGAAGCACTATCCTTCAGATTCTTGGGACGAGCAGGGCAACAATGCCTATGGCTGTATCAAGCAGCTTTTCCTCCTCAAAAAGAAAAACCGTCACCTCAAAATCCTCCTCTCCATCGGCGGATGGACTTATTCATCCAACTTTCGGGCCGCAGCAACCCATGAAGGTCGCCAGACCTTCGCTCGCAGCGCCGTCAAACTGTTAGCAGACTGCGGCTTCGATGGCATCGATATCGACTGGGAATATCCCCAAAATGATACCGAAGCCCTCAACTTTGTCTACCTTCTCTACGAAACTAGAATGGCACTAGAAAACTACGCAGCCCAATACGCTCAGGGACGACATTTCCTCCTCACCATCGCAGCGCCCTGCGGCCCGAAAAACTATTCACAGCTCCGCATGGCCGAGATGGATCCCTACCTGGACTTCTGGAACCTCATGTGTTATGACTTTGCAGGGAGCTGGGACTCCACGGCAGGACACATGGCCAATGTCTTCCCATCCCAATCCTCACCAGAGAGCACGCCATTTAGCGCCGATATCGCTGTATCAGCGTATATCTCCGCCGGTATACATCCGGGTAAAATTATTTTCGGTCTCCCACTATACGGCCGTGGGTTCGAGAACACCCAAGGCCCCGGATCTCCATTCCAGGGCGTGGGTGAAGGGTCCTGGGAAAACGGAGTGTGGGATTATAAAGCACTCCCGCAGCCAGACAGCGAAGAACAGAACGATGACCAGCTTCTCGCGTCGTGGAGCTACTCGCCCAGCGCGAAAAAAATGATCAGTTACGATACCCCGCACATGGCGCAGCGGAAGGCAGAATATATACGTAATCGGGGACTAGGAGGAGCTATGTGGTGGGAACTCAGCGGTGATCACCCTGTAAACCACGAGAGAAGCTTGATTAATATTACCATAGCCGGATTGGGAGGCACAGCGGGCTTGGATGGAAGCGGGAATTGTCTGGACTATCCAGCAAGTGTTTATGATAACCTTAAGAAACAGTTCGAATGAGCTTGGATTCTGTGAAGTTAGGCATTTTGACTTGGAAGAATTAAGGAGATACATTGCGTGGAAGCTCATTTACAGCTTGGAGAGAAACACCTCGTAGGAACATCCAGTGTCCTAGATAGTCATTCCCTCGTCTGACCACTTTCAAGACTAAGTAACCCTCCGGAAGCTGCTGTCAAAAATTTGCCTGATGGTACTCCGGATTTATGGGGTATCTGAGCGTGGGGGAAAAGGGGGCCGGGGGGAAATATGTACATGAAATTGGTAATTCTTGCGTCTTTTACTCATAAAACAGTAAACGGGGTGTACGTGAGGGGATTTCATCGTAAAAGGTGGCATGTGGGGTTGGGGAATACATGAAAATGTAACAAGGGGCTTCAAGACAAACGGGTAATCTGGGAAGGTTGAATTAATAGGGCACTCTCAGACAATAGGGGTACAATAATAACTGTAGCTGACCTACAGATACTTTTAAAACTTTTAAAAGTGTTATCAAACAAATATTGGGCTAGGGCAGAAAAGGAAGAGTGGTATGTTAAAGGGGTAAAAACACCAGGGGTCGGTGTCATATAAAGGCTATGCCGGTGCTTTGAGGGCCGAAAGAAAGTCACCAGATTGGTACTTTTGCGTCATAGACAGAAAGACGAAGCGTTACGGGGTCTTCGGTTTTCTCCAGTAATATTGCTATGGAGACAATTATGTTAGCACAACAATCCTCTTGAAAGTTCGGGAAAGAAACGTTTGAATATTCGAACCTTGTGCTGCTTCCGACAGTTCCTCAGACCAGGCTTGCGAAGGCCATTCACAACTGCTTCCTTTCTATTTTCGTCCTGATCCATATCAGGAATATAGTAATACTCGCTCTCCAATGGTTTGCCAGCTGCATCCTTTCCTTCCCGTCTCACTTTTCCGATACAGCGAGTACTTTCAATAATAGAAATAACTGCGATTGTTGGTACAAGGGCTCGTTCTGATGAGAGTTTGCCGATGAGATCTGACGGGAGGTTCTTGACAATGGTCGAGAATGGAGTTGAAGACAGACGCGAAAATGCCAGCTGGTTGATGATATGATTTTGAATCGCCTCCTTGTCTGATTCGGGCAGAGCGTTCGTTTTTGGAGGTAGTTGTGCATACGGCTGGGATGGAGTGTTAGGTCTCTCGAGAGTAGAGCGCACTGGAGATTCGCCAGCACGGAAGGAAGCCATTCTCGGGAGAATATTTGCACCAAAGGGACCGAAAGAAAATACAATAGGATCGTTCTCTTCATCGTGTTCGGATAGGTCTTCGGATTTGCTCAAAGAGCTACTAAGGGAGTCTTGTTGGCTATGACCATGTGGCTGGGAGGCAACTTGTGTTTTCTGAGACATGGAATCTTCTGTTGATTTGCTTCGACCCAACGGTGATGGCTCATCCTCGTAAACAATGACTTTGCTTGGCAAGGAGCGGGAGGGGGTCGATGGAGCCATCGAAGCCCCTAACGCTTGAATAGCAGGCGATGGAGAAATGGGAGAAGCTAGCCGTTGTCTACCTTTGAGGGGGCTCGACGTTGTAGAACGGGGTGAACGAGGTTGGAGGGTCTTTGAAGGAGAGCCCTCTTCCCATGTTTGATCTGAATGCATGGAAGTCGAGTCCTTTCTTGACTGACGTGGCCATTGGAGCAGTACGCGTGAATCTTGCACATCAATCATGACATCTGCATCTCTAATATCAGAAGTAAATGTCTTGCCCTTGGTCAATTCGTATGTTTTCCCTTGACAATGCAGTTTAATGCCGTTCCATCCTGTGCAAAGAATCTCTATCCTATCTCGATCAAGTGGATGTGTGGCAGCCTTGTACGTAGCTTTCACATGCACTCTTGACACTAGGCGGTTGGCAGAGAGCTGGTAGTTGCAAGAGAGGCTGGATCGCCCCATCGTGACAGCCTCTCCATTTTCACTCAGCATTATGCACGGAACTGTCGACAAGGGTGCCCTTTCAGACGCCATTGAGTGGGTACGCTTCAGACCGCGTCGGGCACGTGGGGGAGAAGAAGTCATTATGGCGGTCGAAGAGGTCGGCATGGGGGTTGGATACGTCGAGATACCGTTATCGTCATCGCGTGCGAGGCGTTTCAATGGGCGAGGAAGGGGAGGAGAGGAAGAAGGCTCGAAGGGGGGTAGGAGAGACGCGGACCGCTTCACGCCGGCCACGGACAGGAGCTCGGCACTTGGTCGAGGAGGTGAAGACTCCATGGTGACCAGACGGGAGCCGCAATGCTTGCAAGAGACCCTTTAAGACAATGTCTAAGAAATCAAGGCTGAATAAACACAGAAGATACAGGAGACAGGAGGAAAGAAAAGAAGGGAAAAAAAAAAAAAAGAGAAAAATACGACAGACGCGGTACGTGACAGACGAGAAATGGAAGGGAGAGAATAAACACTTAATAAATGGGCTGAAGGCTAATACACTAAGCAGAAAAGGATTAAATGGATGGAATGATCGAGCAATGCAACAAGCATGTCGTTCTCAGGGGTCAAGAGAGGGTAGTGAAGGGAGAGACTGGCGTTGTGGGAAGAAGTCACGGTCAGGATTAGTAGATAAGCGGGAATGCCTGTCCTGACGCACGCCTGGTGGAGCTACGCGTCTGGTGGCTGGTGACAAACTGCAAATCGCGCTGCGAAACGACATACTAAGTACTCAAAGGAAATGCGACTCGCTTCGCATGACCAAGGTCGAGTGATCATTTCGGCAATTGGTCAGATTAAATAGCGAAACAGGCCAGGCATCTCGTCAACATCGCTGCTCTTCAGCCGTCGCGCGTCCAAACAAGCGGAAAGACGCGCCGGCGAATCGCCAGCTGGCAGATCAAACCGCGCCTTAGTAAGCACCGGCTCGGGCACGTGCGTAGGAAGCTAGTTTCGGTTAGGATTAGCGCATGTATCGCGCGGAATTCCGCCATCCAGATCTTATCAATCTTGATAAGAACGGATGCTTTCGGTCATTCTCAACCCGATCGCTTTTTCGCCCGCCTTTGCTTTGCTTTTTTGGGTCCCTCCTTGGTCTAGTTTTCTGTCCTACATTATGCGCCTCCTGGACCTTCCTCCTTTCTGCTCGCCGCATGGGCGGCCTCCCGGCTTGACAACTACCCTCCAATTTGGGATACCGGCCCGCGAAACTGCCCCTCCCGTGAAAGCCGGAAAAACTTCGTCTAGCAAACATTTAAGCTTACATTAGCATATATTGCCGAGGAAACCCAATTTATGACACCTTCGGTTGCTAATTTTTCTGGATCTCAAGAGGCAATTGCAAATCTTAAAAAAGCTGCGTTTCCTTCTCCTGCAGCCTCCGTTTTGATGGATATGTCGGGGTGATTTCAGATTTGGGACAAAGGAAGGATAAGATAAAGCCATATTCCAATGAAAGCCCGAAACGGAGAGCCGTTGGGATATAAGAAGGGTAGGTGAGCACCATATCCCAGGTTCAAATGCCTACCTCCCTAAGACGTAGTAGTGTGGACGACTCTGATCACCAACACCGATTACCTCCCCGGCCTCTTGACATTGGAATATTCCTTGAAACGAGTTGGATCAAAGTATCCTTTAATTGCGCTCTATACCGATTCGTTTCCGGCCGAAGGACATGCGGCGCTAGACGCACGGCGTATCGCGAAGCGCCATATCCCTTACTTGCTCCCATCGGCTCACAAAGATTATAGCAATGACACCCGCTTCTATGATTGTTGGAGTAAATTGGCGCCGTTTTCCCTCGTGGAATACGACCGCGTCGTCCAGCTTGATAGCGACATGCTGATCCTTCAGAACATGGATGAACTGATGGATTTGGAGTTGGATAGCCCCGCGCTGGGTGGTACAGGGACTAGGGTATTCGCTGCCAGTCATGCGTGTGTTTGCAATCCGCTGAACAAGCCCCATTATCCTCCGGATTGGTATGTACAACTGCGCTCTTTGTTTCTTTTCCCCCCCTGCACCACTTGGAAATGTCGCCATTCCTAATCATCAACTTCCTTCCAGGACCCCAGCCCACTGCGCATTTACAAGTCAGCACAACACCCCAGATAAAGCGCAAGTGGAGGGGGCACCACCAACGAATGGTCTCGCAATCCCGAACGGCGGTCTCCAAGTTGTCAACCCTTCCCTGGGCGTATACAATCGCATTCTTGAATGTCTGCAAACCCCCAGCTCCACCTCAAACTATGACTTTGCGGACCAGTCGCTCCTCGCAGACTTGTTTCCCGGTCGATGGGTCGCCATCCCCTATATATATAATGCGCTAAAGACTCTTCGCTGGAAAGGCGTCCATAGCGCGATCTGGAGGGATGAAAAAGTGAAAAATATCCACTTCATACTGAGTCCAAAGCCCTGGGACGAGAAATGGCGCAAGCATGCGTCGCATGAAGAAAAGATCGCAAGATCTGCGAACGGGAAAGCGGACGAGACTCATGACTGGTGGTGGAAGATCACCAATGAGAGGCACGCCGAAGAAAAGCGTTTGGGCATTCCTAGAGATGGATTTTAGGACACATGTATTGTAGCATTCTGTTGTTGGCCACTTCTTGATTTAGTATGGATATGTCGGGTGCATCTTTTGGTAATTTAATTTGATAGACTCGTCACATGGAATCGATGTTGACACGTTCATTCAGATGTCAGGGTCTCCTCAGGATCGTCAAGGGCCTTTATATGAAACTACAGGACTCCGCTTTTGACAGCCTCTGAACCCCTGCACCCGCGGCTGGGAATATGCTGCCAATTTTTTCAAGGCAAATCCTCCTTACCACATCCTGCCAAAGCCGATCTTGGCATCGCAGGTTGGCCCTTGTAGCTCAGTCGGTAGAGCATGAGGCTTTTAACCTCAGGGTCCAGAGTTCGAGCCTCTGCAAGGGCGACTATGTTTTTTTTACCGTCCCGTCTTCTTAGGCTAGAAGCAATCCGAGAAATCAGGGAATGCTTCAGCATGGTATTATATCCCTTGGACTCAAGATCAAGTTTGTTCGGCGATCCTTGGACACGCTGTGCGACTACGGCAAACCGGCCGATGGTATCAGATGCGCACTCTGTAAGTTATTTCTGTCAATAAATAAACATTTGAGCCACTGTTTCAATCATCACCCCAAATGCTGAAATTGGATTTCCAAGCCCCCCAAGCTTGGATGTTTGGTGAAATCCCACCTGTTTTGTTTGACCTCCAAAGCTTCAGCACAAACTTTCATGCAAAATACGTAGTCCATGGTTCAGTCGCCAGTTAACCTTCCAGTCAACGTACATACTAAAGCTCGGCATTTGGTCTCTGCTATAAAGGTACTCCTATTAACGTGGTTTCATGTACTAACCATCCAGCGCAGCAATTTGTCTGGGTGCTTGCTATGTTAAACTCTGGGATAGCCACAACCCCAGGCTCCTGCTTTCTTAATAGAGGTAACATATGCATATGAGGTTAATGAGCAGTTGATCAAGCAAGAGGTTCTTGGACAAACTATGCTGTCAGATGGCTTGGTGGTAATGTCGATGTCTATTGTAAACTGCGTGAGGAAACAGACGCACGTAAATAACCCTGCCTTCCTTCCCGTTGTCCCTTTTCACCGCCAACTACATATCTTTACAAAGTTGAATAACTTTTACATCTCCTGGAGCTGGCCTCTCAACAGAGTGACGCAGAGCATTTCCAAGACTCAGACTCGGAAAGCATATCAGAGATGAGAACTCAGCGCCGTCGCAACCTTCATGATTGGAATGTCGGGTCGGGGAAGCCATATTCACAAGACTTCCCAAACGTTTGGAGATGGTATGTCCCTTGACCTCAAACAGCATACACAGGCCAGGGCTTGTCAGTGAAGAAATGAAAAGCGCTACTAAATATACTATGACAGACTAAAGTGGTGGAGTTCAAAGGTCTCTAAGGAAATGATACATGAAGTTCTTTAAAAAAGAGTAAAAGGTATGCCATAAGACTCCTGGGATATGGAATCGTCACTAGGATGCTTAATACGTGAATAGATCCAGGATACGCCACCACAAACGTTAGAACTCGCCAACCCCTCTTTACATCTTAGAGATGGTTAATTTACGAGAAAACATAGGTGGCTTCACCAGACATAACTTGGACCTGTCATGGGAAAAAGAATTAGAATATGCGTTGCTAACAAGGCTATAGGGGCTCGGGGGACGTACCGTGCATCCATCGCTGTTGCTTCCGGTGGCAGAGTAGAAAAGACCGTTCTCGTATCGGCAAGAACCAGAGAGGTTGTCACCCTTGATTTCAATCTTGAAGTCGAGCTTCTCGTTGGTGGTGGGCTTGTTCTGGAAGATGGAGATCCAGGTGGCACCATCCTTCTTTCCAACACCAAGATTGATCGGGGCCCAGTTGCCGATTGGCTTGCTGCCGTCACCCCACTGGCAAGCTTCCTTAATGCCAATGCCCTTGGGGTTGACGTAATACTGCGCAGAGGTAGGCATGTTCTTCCACTTGTAATAGGTACCGGCATCAGGGCAAGTGAGTGGGTTAGTCGATCCAGGGGATGCAAGGAGAGGAATAGTCTCGGATTCGGTTCCTAATGCTTGTCAATAATACGAGCTGAGAAATTCACAAGCTGCTGTGGAACACATACCGGGATAATCGGTTCGGCAAACAGAGACGACCTCGCTCATCGTGTTCTTCACTTTGACGCCACCAGCACCCTTAACGCAAAGCTTCTTGGAGAGAGTGGGATTGGTGAGACGGAGCTTGCCGTTCTTGCATTCCAGTCCACCAACCGACTCACCGGTAGAGCCTTGCGTGGATGGCCACTGGGACTTTTGGTAACCAGGAGGACAGGCATACGAGCACATAGTTCCTTCAGTGCAGCCTTCACCCTTAATAGCAGTTCGGATGCTGCTGATCAGGCCACCACCATAGTTGGGGAGTTGGACGCCACTCCACCCGCCGTGACCAAGCCAATGGAGAGAAATGGGGCCATATTTCGATGGGAAGTCAGAGCAATCAATCTCGCCATCAGGGAAATCGGTGTCGAGCCCTTCGCCCTCACCTGGCAAGGAGATGTCTGGCTCTGGGAGCTTTGGTTTCGGGAGCTCTGGCTTGGGAAGGTCAATCTTTGGAGCAGAAGGAGTTGGAACAGGAGGCAGAGCGGCCTCAGAGGTCGTGGCTGGCTCTTCAGGCTTGGGGGATTCATAGAACTCCTGGCCGCCCTTGGGCTTGTCGACTGGGGCTGGTGGTGTGGGCTCGCACACCTCAGGGTAGCTTCCGCCATCAGCCCAGAGGAGACTGCCCTCCGTAATGCCCTTGCAGGCTTCCTCCTTGCTAATGGGCTTGCCATCAAGCTCGTAGGCGACGACAATGGGTCCAGGCACAGTCACGACCTTGGTGGGCACGGGATTACGCTTCATATGAACATGACCATGTCGATGTTGATGGTGGCTGGCCGCGACGGAGCCGGCAGCAGCAAGCGTCAGGATTGCGGGTGTGAGCTTCATTGTACAAGTTGGTCAAAAATATGGACAAGCAATGAAAGAGCGGTCGACGTCGAATTGTGGAGAGCAACTGTCAAGGAGAGGATCGAGACCAGTCGAATATCTCGATTACAACGCTTGTGACGCACGATAACTGCGGAAGTTCAGCCATTGTCAGCGATAGGAGAACCCAGAGAAAGGGTAGTGGTGACGGTGAGAAGTTTCCGCGTCTTCAGCCAGTCTCAATGAGCAAAAGAAAGGCCAGCAGCCATCACAAAAAGTAAATTTTCAAAAAAGCCTGATGTCGATAACCCGCGGCAAAGCGAAATGAAGAGAGATGCAACTTACGCTTGTGACAAGCGATGGTATGTTTTGCCTCTGGAGGTTGAGACTGTACAGGGTGTCGATCGCAGAATGGGTGGACCAACGGGTTTCAGGAGTGAGAAACTCGGAAATTGCTGTCTTTCCAAATGAACGTGGGTGGAAGGATGCGATAATCCCCCAGGTCGGACGGAAAGATTGAGAGAGGATAAAAAGAGGACGAGAGAAGGGAAACGAAAAAGGTCGTGAGAGACGCCGAATGAGCGACAGGACGGGGAAATTGGAGGATTAAAAGGAAAGGGAGAGAGGGAGACGAAGGGGCAGAGAGAAGTGAGGTTCGCTGGCCGGGAAAAGTGGGAGATTGGCAACGAAACGGGGGGGAGGATTGGGCTGCTGATCCCTGGGCGGCCAGGGGAAAGGGTGGGAACCGCCGTGCCCAGAACAGTGACCAGCCAAAGTGGCCATTCCAGAGAGAGGCCGCAGCCTCACCAATGAGCGCCCGGAGCGCATTGTTTTGTGCGCCAGAGTGGTCAGCACAAAGGGGTTGCTGTGGAGGCCGCTATACCGCTAGCGTTGCACTGGTGCTCGTTAGCGTGGTCGGCATTGTCCAGGGGGCTCCAGGGCAGGGCAGTGAGACACAAACAACAAGAAGCCACCCTGTTTATTTGCACCATCCTCGGCCAGCTTTACATAATCGCGGTGGAGAATGGCTGACGGTCGCTGGCTTGAAGGGTGGATGCTCGCCTGGCCGACGTGGACGCATCATCAGGGTGGGCTTTTTATCTGACACCGCTCCGTGTCTGTGTGGAAGATGTGGAAATTATCGCGATGCCCGACCGCATCGTCTTACACTGTCGAAGGAAATCAGAACAACAGCGGTCAGGTAGCTCCATACCATGCGGTTATATCTGCCGCCGTCAGGTCGAATGCCGAATTTACGCATCTGTCCAAGTGTTTCCCTCTCACGTCCTACGATCACCGTTTCCCTGTCTTCCCTTGCGAAGTTTGTTCCTGGCTGACCCGTCCCGGTGCTCAGGAACACCAATCAGAGCCTGCGAATCCCCGCTGCTTGGCACAAAACGTTTTTGTTCTGAATTTGGTGGCGGTTCGTTTTTCGAAATATTACGCTTACATACTCGGTACCCTTAAAGAAAAAAGAAAATACGGTATCGTTCGTAGAGTCCTCCGTATACGAGGCAACGGGCACTGACTGCGCTGAGCCTCATCGAGGGCCCAGCGTCGAGTTCCCTATTCGGGCGCTTGCCACCGCTTGCATGGCCCTCTATTCGAATGGTAACATACTCCTCAAACCCAACCTCACAGGTTGGTAGTTATGATCTTGCTACAAGGCACGAGACCAGTTGGAAAAACCACACAATCCCTGACATGTGGCATGCTACCATTCATGCAGGTACCGAAGGCATCAATACAGAACAACCACCGTCCCGCAGACCGCTCTCGTTGCACGTTCCCACGTTGCCGTCCATGAGAGGCCGAGATATGTGCTCTCTACTCAGTATTTATGTCTCCATCGCGGATCTGCTCGCGAGAACATCCAGACCCTGAAGCTGAGACGAAGCAGCCCCGAAGGCTGAACCCACCGGGACACCAGGATAAGGACCCCACCGTGCCATGCGACGGGGGTTTGATGCCGCAGAGGGTTGAAATTTCGATCTCGATCCCGCTTGTGATGTTAAAAATATACAAGTTCCCACAAGAAACAGGGTTGAGGACACATTATGTTAGATCCTGAAATGGAAGATGGGTTTTGCTGGTTCTCTCATGATCGGGTTTGTTTGGACCTCGTTGCTAATAACTCTGAATGTCATTCCATAAATCCCTGCCGGAATGGAGGGGAAAAAAGAAAAAAATAACCTGGATCCCCACTTATCGAGTGCCTTAAAGCGGACATATATTTATTATGGATGCACACTCTGTCCCACTTCGAGAGATCATCCCATCCCGGTGCATACGGCGTACTTATCTCTGGGGATGACCGTGGTAGCATTTGCTGCATTGCCGTGGTTTGTGCTTTTTACAGATGGGCTTGATTCGCGGAAGTTATTCTCCGGTTGATCAGGGTTGTAACTACACTCGAATCTCCCGGTTTCATTCCTGCTACTTCTCCTTGACTGCCCTCTGGTGACGCTTTGATTCTTTTGCAACGATAGGTATCGCCATTTGGTGGGAACAATGAACTCTCGAAGGCGACATATGTATATCGCTGCGTCACACACGTCGAATAGAATGATCCTCCGCTCCAGTTTGACTTCCCTCGGCGAGAAGATCCATTCACGAGAGACAACTTCTAGAGAAATGCGGGAAACGATTGCGTACGCTTTGCCGCCATCTGGACGGAGATATCTTTCAAGGGTTCAGAATACTAAGGTTGCAATAATGAAATATAATTCTTTTCGGATATACAAAAGCGCCACTAACTTAAGTCAGCAAGGTTCTAAGTGATTGCAGCAGCCCTGCTTCCAATATAAGGCCCTGACTCTGCGGATATGGAGAAGACTTTATCAAAATCAAGAACAGCCCAGCCCGTGGTCCAGGATATGATCGCATATCCTGTCGGTGCCAGTTCTTGAGCACCCATGGCAACATATGAACATGAACTTCGTATTCTTGAAGCTCGAGAGCTTCTGTTTTAGAGTACTCATAGGGTCCTAAGTATGAAACCTCCAGGTCAAGGCTAGAAGATAGGTGGTACTTTTTTGCACATGATACTTTGTGTGATGTTCGGAGAGAGGTATCAGCTAACCCTTAGGATAGGTTGGCAAGGTACCGTAAAATCAATGCACCATCAAATAAATAAATAAAAATAAAAATAAATTCCAAAGCCACTGCGATTCCGCCAGACTCCTCGTCATGGATAGAGCCTCTTAATCGTGAGAAGACTTGCCAAATGACCGCTCGACACAAGAGGCGTTCCTCGGCTCCACTGCTTGGCGTGGCTGTGTCTGCCCAAAGTCACCATCAGATGAAGTTTCAAGCGGCTCGAGAATCTGAAGGGAACTTTGGCAACCGCAATGCGATTCTAAGACGCAAAACTTCACAGTGTTTTTTGGTAACAATTTGTCTGTAGTTGGGCTGCATGGAGAAGTCGAGGACCGAAGAGACTTTAAATCTCATGGATGTACGGAGTAAGACCGCAGAAAAGGAAAAGCAGGTCATAGATTGCCTTCGCAATGTACAAGGCTTTCGTCGAAACTCCAGAACTAACAGGCGGGACTTCTCGTGACTCATTGCACGCAAGGCAACTCCAAACTCACATCCGCTCTCGCGGGCATTTAACTGGCTGTGTTTGAGCCTGTTGATAACTTCAATTCCTCCCGGATCTTTTGTCTTGACACGACCAAGTAATGCCACACAAACGACAGCTCAAATCCAAGAGGGAAGAGATGCGCAGATCGTCCGCAGACGACGGTCCTGTCTACTTTTGGAAACCGGAACAGGAAAACGGGTTCCTTGGCCAGTGGTACGAATCTAAATTCACTGTCACTCAGCCGGGCGACGAAGACGATGCTAAGAATGTCGAGATTACGTATATGAATTGTGAACAGTGAGGACCATCCAGCTCTCTTGGACATTCCTCCTGAGTACTGACGCTTTTCTGCCGCTTTCCTTTTCCCGATGCACTAGCTACATGATGCACCGCAAGGGCGTACTCTTCGCCCCAGACGATAGCATCACTCAGGAAATCGCCTCCGTTGATAAGCCCGTCCCGCACCCCAGCACCCTCCGGAGTCTTGGTCGCAAAGTCCCCAACTTCGATGAAAAGCTCTGGAACAAGGAGCGCTTACGAATCGTGGTGGAAGGGAATTATTTGAAATTCACCCAAAATGAGGACCTAAAGGCCCAATTGCTAGCAACGGGTGATAGAGAACTTATTGAAGCCAGTCCCCGCGATAGGATATGGGGAGTGGGATTCGGGGCCAAAAATGCAGGTGCCATGCGACATCGATGGGGACTGAATCTACTGGGAAAAGCCCTTATGGAGGTGCGAGAGAGGATTCGAAGTGAACAGCAAAAGACACCGGTGGATTCGGATGGTATTGAGGGCTCGAAAGCGAAGAGAATGAAAGTATGATTCTCCCCTTACGTCTGCATAAATTAATATTGTATGTAATGAACTTCGTCCGAGTTCTCACAAGTGCCCAAAGTACTCGGCGAACACACCACACGCTGTTGCGTGACTGGAAAGCCTTTCATTTTCTAAACCAGATCGGAAACTCCGTAGAATTGAGTCAATTATTGACTTCTGAAAATGCAAGCTTTCAACCCAGTCTGCGTTCCCCTGGCCACAAGGGGCGAGGTAACGTACTCTGTACATCGACGTCATCATCCAGTGATATCATCCATCCATCCCTTTCAGTATTTCCGTCAACGAAGCACAAGTCCTAAACGACCAGAATGCTTCCATTTCTAAATCCACAACAGCGGAGTCCAATTTTCTAGATTTAATCTTTGCAATATCATGTCTCCAGTCCCACGCATCCCCGGAGTTCCGTGGGTTCCGATTTGTATCCAATGCGGCACTGACCAGAACCCGTGTAGATGTAAGGTCCTCGGACCGACTCTAGGTAAGCATACGCCAAGAAATCTTCTGGGAGCTCTGTGTTTCTTACATCCACCTTTCTAGCATTCTGGCTGGGATTATTCTCTGCGGTATGGTTCCTATCCCCGCTATGTTGTTTGTAGTAAGTGAACATGAATACATGGACGATACAAGGGCTCAATTCTGGTGTCACTTCTTAAGGTAATTTGTTATCCTACCTCATTATTCTGCGGGTGTTGCACGACAAAAACAGGGAATGGGTAAGCTTGAATCAATTCTGAAACTGATGCTGTCAGCTGAGAATGATGAATGCCTAATTGGTTTGCGTTACAGTGTGCTCCAGATGCCAGTTGAAATAAACAGAAAGGTCAACATGCACATCCCTATATAGTGAATGGTTAGTAGACCAATCTGATGCTGAAATTTGAATTGTATCAGGATTTTCATGCCTCTAACAAGGCAATTGCCGGCCTCAAAGATTGTGCAGCTTTCACACTTCCAGAACCGAAGATGGTCCCTGCTGATTCCACATCATTTGATAGCCTATTCGTAACACAGAGTCACAGCAGCAAATGCGCACAGCACAATACAGGTACTTTTATAGAACCTGAAATAAGATGTTTTTATGACCACATTCGCACAGAATTGTTGAGCAGCTAGTTTGCTGGTGGATATCATAGCTTCTGATCCATAAGGCGTAATATCCGTGCCGGACATCATTAGCCGATGTTGGTTTAATGGTATGGGTTGATATCTGGCTGCGCGACCACGTCGTACGAACTTAACTGGGGGTGGATGCGCCTTAAACAAGCTTGTTGGACTATGAAAGTACCCAATCTGGCCCTGTCCAACAGCGGGCTAGATCATGGTGGTTATGTTGTTGGAGCTATGCTGCACGACAAAACCATTTTCACGCTCCCGTGCAAAGGGGATTAGTATTTAGCCGGGCCAACCTCTTGTTGTCCATGTAGAGTGCCTAATGTGTCTCTGTTTAGCACACAACCACTGTCGTTGGTCATGGCCCTCAGAGAGCTGTTTGCTGGTGACGGTGAACTGCAATGGATGAGTAAGCGACTGGATCGGATTTATTATGAACCTAAATCCATCACCCAACAGAGGAACAGAGGTTGGCCTTTTTGGAAATTTTGAGATCCGCAAAGTTTGGTTGGAGGAGCTTTGAACATTCTGACAAGCGGGATTCAAAATGGCAGTCTCGTCGGAAGAGCTCACGATTAAAGCGACTTCAGGATCACCTTATCAATTAAATAATGAGCAGGTGGGCGAAGTGTTAATCTATTCGTGTTTGACTCAAACTAAACCTTTGCGCTTCCCAGGTGATTCGAGCTTCCACGGCACTACTACGGCACATCAAAAGCGAGGAGAAGAAGAAAGCAGAGGAATCAACGGTGAAGAAATTACCAATCGATGGCGACAGTGACTCTGAAGGCGAAGAAGTATCCGGCGAGGACGTACCCGTTTGGCTTATTCTCACCACTAAGAAGCACATCGTCGACAAGAACCGCCTAAAGCCAGGAAAAATTCCTGTGCCGCATTCTTTGAATACATCATCCTCGCTCAATATCTGCCTTATAACTGCCGACCCTCAACGAGCAGTGAAAGATGTCATTGCCGACGAGGCATTCCCCAAATCTCTATCCTCCCGAATTACAAAAGTCATTGGCCTCACCAAACTAAAGGAGCGATATAAGAGCTTTGAAAGCAGGCGCATGCTATTATCGGAGCATGATGTATTTCTAGCAGACGATCGGATCATACTACGATTGATTAAGACTCTGGGAAAGACCTTTTTCAAGTCGAATAAGAGGCCGATTCCGGTCCGCATCGAAGAAATTCAGAAAGCAAATGGGAAAAGGTTGAAGAAAGATGACAAGAAGAGACCTCCACCAGGTGAAAAATACGCCGCCGTGGCGTCACCCGAAATTGTTGCCAGAGAGATAGAAAAGACCCTCGATTGTATCCCTGTACACCTGGCGCCGGCTACAACTGCGGCTATTAAGGTTGGAACTTCGCGATTTACTCCTCAGCAGATCACGGAAAATATTGAGGCGGTAGTAAAAGGAATGACTGATAAATTTGTCACGAAAGGATGGAGAAATGTCAAGGCCATTCACGTAAAGGGGGCGAATACCGTTGCTATGCCCATTTGGCTAGCGAGTGAACTTTGGTTGGAAGACAGCGATGTTCGTGAAAATGAAGAACAAAGTGAAGTTAAAGCGATCGAGGGCTCTAAGAAGTCAGATAAGAAGAGAAAAGCAGTCAAGGCAGCCGACGATTCAAACTCAAAGAAGCGCAAGGTCACGGAGGACGATGGTGAGGCAGAACTGATTGCCTCGAGAAAACACAAACTTAAGATGCAAAAAGCAAAGGCACGGTCGGAGAGCTGATTGTCGGATTAGTAGGGTTCCCGATGTGACACGTCTATATTTTGCGAAAGCTACGAAGGGGATCTTGCAATTGTTTGAGGGATCTTGACGAGGACAGGCTTTCGGATTTGTTTTGATGTATGGCGTTCAGAGTCTGAGACCAGGCGTATTTGACGGGATTGTTTGAATAGCATAGAATAAAAGTCTTAATCTTTACACCTCCTTCCACACGTTTCCATCTGCATCTTACACTCCGTAGAGGACTTGACTCGGTTGCTTCCCCCGATTTTTCGGCTCTTGGGTTTTTCGCCGCGACTTTCCGATCGTCCGCTTAGTCATTGGGACTTTCTTGCATTGCCGGACAAAGTCCGCCGAAAGAGGGATCACGATTGAGGACGAGGTCGAAAACGAATTGAAAAACCATTGTCTGTAGCCATTGCATCTCCTTTTTTTTAATATAGCTACGCCTTCCCATACCTTCCTCCCAACCCTCACCATGATTCCGCTTGCCAGACAATCCATCCTTCGAGCCGCTCGCTCCCAATTTTATCCCTCCAGTACATCTTCGCTCTTCCGGTCACAACAGCTTTCGGCACTCTCCAGATTACTCTCTACCCTAGCAGTCTTAGAACAAAGGGATGGAAAAATTCAGGGTGCTTCGTTGAGTGCAATTGCAGCTGCCACGAAGCTCGGCGGCACCGTGACTGCGTTCGTGGCCGGAGCCGGAGCAAAGGCTGGCGCGGCAGCGGAGGCTGCAAAGATTAAGGGTTTAGATAAGGTGCTTGTCGTTGACAATGCGGCTTACGACAAGGTGCGGCCAGCATATATTTCGGTGTAATTGGATGAGGTGTCTATTGAAACTCGGCGGCTCATGGGTTGCTAACTGTGATTTTGGTGACTAGAACTTACCCGAGAACTACGCTCCTCTTTTGGTTGAGAACATTAAGAAGGGCGGTTTCACGCACGTAATCGCCCCCCATTCTGCTTTTGGCAAGAATATTTTGCCTCGTGTGGCTGCATTGTTGGATGTCCAGCAAATTTCAGATATCATCGCCATCGAGAGTGAAGACAGTATGTACCAACAAGCTTTTTGAGCCGGGGAAAAAAGGGAAGGATAGTAATGTTGACGTTAAGCCTCACAGCATTTGTGCGACCCATCTACGCAGGAAATGCAATCCTGACCGTTCAATCAACCGATCCCGTCAAGGTTACCACTGTTCGAGGAACTGCTTTCCAAGCCGGTGAAGCCACAGGCGGATCTGCGGAGATCGTTGATGGTGCCGACCCCAACGCTCCATCACCAACAGAATGGGTCTCCGAAGACCTCACCAAATCCGACCGTCCCGACCTTGGTACCGCTAAGCGAGTGGTTTCCGGTGGACGTGGATTGAAATCGAAGGAGGAATTCGACAGAATCATGACTCCCCTGGCAGACGCGCTCGGCGCCGCCATTGGTGCGTCCCGTGCTGCTGTTGACAGTGGATTCGCCGACAACAGTCTTCAAGTCGGCCAAACGGGCAAGAACGTCGCTCCTGAGCTATACCTCTGCGCTGGCATCTCTGGTGCCATTCAGCATTTGGCTGGCATGAAGGATAGCAAGGTTATTGCTGCCATCAACAAGGACCCTGATGCCCCTATCTTCCAGGTTGCTGATGTTGGTCTTGTGGGAGACTTGTTCGAAAAGGTCCCTGAGCTAACTGAAAAGCTGAAGCAGTAGATATTCAAGTATTTGATTGGCGTTGAACTTGTCCTTTGCAATAAAATGATTTGACAGTCATGTTTCTCTTTCTTGTCCAGAATGAATGTTTTAGATTGATTCCTGTATGTACAGATACCGTCATTGCAAAATATCTGGTTAAATTTGAGCTAGGTCTGCAGATAAAACCTCATTTCAATAGATTCAACGCAGCAATACCGGGTTAACCTCATGCACTGAACCCCAAGCAATCAGGGTTACTCAAACGCATTTTGGTTCGTAGATTTATGTTGAAGAGGACTCCCATTTCTTCACGACTCATGAGGTAGGGCGGAAAATGGTTCCACTTTCTCTGAAATCACAGACCGAACGACAATTCCGTGATCCTGTGTTGAACCAAGCAATCGCGTTTAAGCAAACTTTGTCAGCCATTAAGTGGGAGCTGGATTCGCCTGTGTTCCGTGACCCATCAGCAGTTTGGCTTGAGAATCCAGCTCCGAACCCCGCAATTCCGAATACCTAGAAATTCCGAACGCTTTTCTCAACTCCGAATCCGCTCGACTCAGCAAGGAGCCGACGTCATTGGTGGGCCAGTATGCTTGTTTCCGAAGAAGAAAACCTCCAAGTTTGATGATAAACTACTCCGCACTCCGTAGCGGCCCTCAAGGTTCTGTGGAACACACGAAAGATGCAATCCTGTGACTGAGCCAGAATGGCTCGCTGGATCAGTGGAGTTCAGTTCGAGAATTCTATGGCTCAAGCTCGATCGAGACCATATGGCTATCCTCACCCTCTGGCACCATCCGTGAGTCACTCATTTGATCACTTTCGTCTCGAAACGATGGATTTGTCAGAAATGAAGTTGAGTTGCGTCACAAGTGGGCAGTGCGTTGCTTGGTCAAGATGTCGAGGACTTTTGGGGTTCTGAAAAGCCTGCTTTGGTTGCGGCATCTGAGCTTCTGACAACAGCAGCGCTTTCGCAACTCTCGCATTAAGGTATAGCTGCAACCGAGATTAAGATTGGTCAGGAGATAAGACGGGTGAGGCAGCAGCACCCCGATAAGTCTAAAAAGCAATGCGTCAAAACGAAGTCTTAGGATCCGGCTGACGGACGGAATCTGTATTCGGTAACTATATAGGTCTAGGCTCCATGCTCCATACACATAGCGTATCCATAGGAATGACGACGAGTCGACAGACCACGTTGATGCCGCAACAAGATATATCACTCAAAACCTAGTACTTCTTAACTCCGTAGTCCGTATTCCGTACGGAGCACTCCTCACGTCCTCCAGACTCTGGCCATTTGCATATGTCAGCATTTCAAGCCACACAGAGTCAGAGCCACTCCTTATTGGTTCTCCCGAACGCTACGAATGCAGGGCGCGTCCCACTATCGGAGAACGAGGATGGGAATGGCCTTGACGAGCGACGGGGAGATATCCTGTCGCCCCATGTTTGAGTCATCCACCTTCGGCTTGGTAAAGCTTGTCCAGAATTGAGTTCGCGGCTCTGGCGATGCTGAGAAATGCTTTACCCAGAAGTCAGGGAATGCACGGTCCGGCTATGGCTTGGTCGGGTGGGTTGGAGGAGCGGGACAGGGTCTCGAGGTATCTTGAATGACTATAAAGGCAACTTTCTCTTCTTCTTATTTCTGTTTCTCTCACTTTCAAACTATCTTGTCAGTTGATGTGATATACACCTGAACACTTGGTGCACCCAGAACTAGATCTTGCTACCTTTCAAAGCTATCACCACGATATCAGGTTTTACGCAGAGCCTTTTGATAATCAAGCTTATTATAAGGAGTGCCCTGATACATTCTTATCCTGAAATCTATTCCGAGTCCGGAGTGGTATGTTGAAATCAAGAATTTCTCTCGGCCTCCTCACTAACTTGGGCTGTAGATCCTGATATATCCCACAAAACAAAACACAACCGAGCACCTTCTTCTCCAAGGGGACTATTCCAGCTCACCAGATCACCTCCTTACGATGGCTGGCAACTTAACTGACTTCACTCTCAACTATTATCCGGCGGTCGCCAATGCAAAAGATGCGTCTTCGCTTCCAACGCCACGCCGAAAGTCAACAGACAGCTCATCCTCTGCATTCTCGAGTGTTTCATCTCTCAAGGCAATGGTTCAACGATGCAGACTGCAAGAGTCCTTGCTAAGTCCGAAGAAGCCCAAGGCATCAACGTCAACAACCCGAGCCGTAACGATGGAAGCACGTGCTACGTATTTCGCGTTGAGATAAATGGGACTATGGCGTTGGTGCTCAAAGCTTTGATCGATTAATTTACGGCTTAAAAGTAATGAATTTGCCTTATCTTTTCTTTTCTTTCCTTTTTTTTTTTTTTTATCGCGGGAGTTAAAGAGCGATGACACCTTCATGGGAGCATGCCAAATTTTTGAGAAAATGGTGGAGTGCTTTCGAGTCATGAGACAGAGAGTTTCTTTTCGTGGATACCCTGTATCAATTTTTAGAATTTGTGAGCAAGCTGAGCTATTTCTTCATTCTTGAGGCCTAATTGAGATTAATTCAAAATTTAAATTTCTTATGATTAGCGCTTATTCCGGACTGCGGGTCATGTCGACTTAAGCGCAGCGAAGAAATCGATTAAGCCTTGCTGCCTGCTGAGGTGTGCATGTGCTCGCTCTGACTCTTCAGTTATTGGACTGTTGACCAAACGTCAGCGGAGTTCTCGCCTACCAATACGACTTTTACGATGAAAACCTGCCATGAACCACGGAAAGTTTCCGTCGCCGCTGCGAATCAAATTCCTAGACATGATGAGGGTGATTGATTGTAAGAAATGGTTATTCGGCCGTTACTATCAGATATGCACAGAAAAGTTGGAGGTGGACGCTCAGAATCCAGACATTAGCTCATGCATAGTGATCCGCTTTCGCACCGCATTTGAAAACCCCTCATGGTATTTGACCCAAGCCTTCGAATCTTGATTATCCTGACCGTCATTCTGTTGATTCTTTCCCCCTTGCTGAGGCGTGGTGTTTTGTTGAACTGGCGCCTCCTTCTGAGGAATAATCCGACCGAAGAAGTCTGTTTGGGGTCCATTGAGCCGGGAATGCCTGGATGAGACCTTTGATTCGTCATGACTGCCCTTCCTTTCTGGGTCTCTACTCTTGTTCGCCGAAGGCTTTGGCGCGTCATATCGAGTCTGGCGAGATTCTGCTTGACGTTTCAGAAGATCTTTCCGGTACTCTTGATCGAGTACTTGACGCACGGCGTAGCGGACTGGTGCCGAGGAACCGGCTGAAGTAATGGATGTGCCTTTTGTTTGGGAGAAGCTCGTTAAGGAGTCGAGAGCCCTGTCAAAATCTGGTTAGGCAGTGGCGATAGAAAGATTTAATAATCAGTGATACTCACGGCTCCATTCGATATATCCAGCCACTGTGGATTCCACTCTCAATTTCGACCCTTGTCCTCTCAAATGTCACTCCAAGACCATTCATAACCCTTACTGCGGACTGCACAAGAGCCTTTTCACTCTCCTTTCTCACGCTCGCGATTCCACGCTCACTCCCACTGCCGCCTACGATAACCGGTTTTATCTCAGGGGCCAGCATCCGCATTAAGTTAGGCACAAGCTCCATAGCAATCGTCCCTGGGGATAGGAACACACGCAGTAATGGAGCAGAGAGAGAAGCTCTAAACTCGGTAAGGATAGCACGGTTTTGCCTTTCCGCTTCGAAAGCCGCAAAGTCCGCCCTTGTACCTGAGAATGGATGGTCATCTTCATCCTTATCGAACTTTCGTTCTCCAGTGCTGGACTTGTGCAATGAGGAAAAAAGGTGATGAAATGCAATGACGGCCTGGCTGAGGTATGGGTTCAACTCCCAATCTTGATTTGAGTAGATTCTCGAAGATGCCAGATCGTGGAAATTTAGCCACTCGTATGCAGCATTCGGTTTTGAGAAGTACGAATCGTCTTGATAAGTTTTAGTTGGGTATGTGAGAAAGCAATCTGTAACGCAGCGATCATATTCGCCTGAAGCATCGACCATTTCTCTCAAGCGACTGATTGCATGACGTTTGCGGAGGTCTGCAACACCCACAGGTGTACCGTCATTAGCCTTCCCAAATGGGGTCTCGAAACTGTGAGCTCCTACACGGTCATAAGGAAAACCGGCGCCATCGAGAAACACACGTTCAACAATCTCTTTGGTTCCTCCACGTCCTAGGCCTGGAATTGATCCGTCCATTGAAGACCCCCCCAGGACGTGCTGCTCAACCCATCTCCTTGTTAGTCGTTTATTTGCCGACAATGAGCCCCCATACCGTAATTTTCGAGCTATCCATTCACCCGCAACGAGCACGCCTCGAATGTCACCCTCACTTATTCCGCGAGCTTTCACCTGACGGTCGTTTTTGACACTGAGTCCCCAAGAGACCTCGCATATTCTTCTGACAGCATCTCCATCGCAAGAAATGTTTTCCTTCTCAAAAACATGCTTCATCCGTTGGACCACTTTATCCAGCGGCACTTGACGGACATGAATAATTTCAGCAACGGACGACGTGCGAAGGGGGCGAAGGCTGGGGTGGTACACGTCGTTGCAAATCAGAATCAAGGGTCGGAGAAGCCTAAACTTCTCCCCCTTCTTCTTTCGTTTGCCATTATTACTCGTCGCGTCCGTTGGGGACTTCTTTGAGTTTTTCTGGTCCAGAGCGACAAGGTCAATGAGCGCCTTCATAAATCCTCCTTCTCCTCCCCCTGAACCGGTAACAACACCATCCACTTCATCCACCACTACACAAACTGGCCTACCAGGTTTTCGTATTGCCTTTCCATCAGCTTTGACACAAATCCCTTTCACATTTTCCGTGCCAACCGCATCCTTGATTCTTCCCTTCACAACATCCCGACTTCTCTCATCACTGGCGTTGATTTCCAAAACTTCGTAGCCGGCTTGGCTTGCGCACACATGGGCCAATGTTGTTTTCCCCAGACCCGGAGGCCCGGTAAGCAAAAGTATTTTACGGTGTGTAGGTTCTTCAAAATCCACAGGCTTATTTTGCGTCCTCGACTTGGCTAGATTGGGAAAAACAATGGAATCCCAGCCCTTTAGCCAGCGTAAAACCGCACGATGGGTCCTATCGTCGCCGATAAGATCTTTAAATTTTCGAGCGCGATATTTCTCCGTCCAGAGAACATTGGCGGCCTTTTCAGACTTTCCCTGGCATTCCGCTGGAGCCTCCACTGACTGATGAATGGTCGGTGCACTCTCTGATCCTTTACCGGCGTTCCCGATTGTTCGAGCCTCCTCGAGCAATTGGTGAATCTCGATACCGTAATAGCTTCTGGTTGCCTTCCCAGGAGCTGTGATCGATCGGCTAGCGACCAATTGCTCATAAGAGAGGAGTGTATTTGGTTTTCGTCGCCGGATAGAAACGGATTCACCTGAACATTTCCGAATGGTGACTTCCTCGCTTCTGCTGGGAGGGCTTGGACCGGCAGTCCTAGAATTGCGCAGACGGCCTGAGAGCTCTATGCTTTGAAATTCGGGGAGAGTAGAGGTACAAGACGGTGCTGTAGTTTCATGGGAATATGTTCCTTGAGCACGAAGCCAACTTGGTAACTCTGAAGAACTGGATTCTGATTCGGAGCGAAATATATCCTGGTGCCCGTCCTCCTCGTCGACAATAAACGGCCCTATGTATTTTGCGCGTTTCGTAGAATTTGTATCTATCTTCTCCTCGATCTTCCTCTTTCCATGGTCGATTAATTGTTCCAACGGCGACTCGTGGGAAAGAGGGCTCGGGGCGCAGAATAAGGCCATCTTGAGAAAACCGGGTATAGAAGTCTGAAGAATCGAAAGTCTAGTGATGATGTCGCAAATGTTGAATTGGATTTGCCCGCACGAAACCCGCTCTATGCGTAGGACGCGATACGCGTCGGGAACAACCCAACGACTTTGATCAGGAAGAAAGCGATAATGGTGCGGCTGCAAGGGTGGAAAATTCGTCTCTCTGATACAAAGCGAACAACGTCAGGAATTCCCTCGCATCGAACTAATAATGGATTTGTTATCGGGCTGGGTGATGCAAATAATCCATATTGATCTACACGCGCGTGTCGCGTTGGGATACGATGAGCGCTGATTGGACAGTGTGTCAAGTTGCTGTTTTAAGATGACATAATCAATGCTTGAGTATTTTCCACCACGCTAGTTCTAAAATAGCTAGCGCAATCAAGCTGGAGGCGCGAAATTGGAGCGTTGAGCAGCTGCTTGTCACTCCATCGATCAACTGCTCCGGCATCGCTCACGCATCCCTTGAGTAGACAAGAATTGCATTTGACAACCTTGCTCCTTATTTCTGTGTAATCTAAGGAGCCATTTCCTGTCATCGCGGGCTTTTGCCTCGTGAAATTTTGACTTGGTTGGCCGGCTTCGAAGACCTCACCCGTTAACATGGAGGATTCAACCATGACCTCTGGCGACCTGGCTACTCAAGGCAATCCCGTGCCTACTGATCAAGAGGGCCAAACTGGCAGTGACTCTCAGTCCCCGGGCCGCGTTTCGGGTATTTATCCCTGTCAAATCACCTGCAAACCGCTCGCTGACTCTTATTCCTGATAAGCCTCCCAATCCAGGCCAATATCCTCTGATAAGAACGATCAAAATGGAGCTGCATCAGACAATCCTCTTGATGCGCCTGTATCGCCCAAACCTCAGAATGAACAGACTGAACCGGAGGACGAAGAGATGGGCGGAACAGAGCCAGACGGTGGAAAGGAGACCGGGCAAAGCGAACCCACAGGAGCTGCAGCCTCACAGGTAGATGGACCGAGCGATGCACCGGGCGACGAAGCAAAAACCACTGCAGAAACTTCGGCGCGCTCGAATCTAGTTTCTCAGACACATGCGATTATTCTTCCAAGCTACACATCGTGGTTTGATATGAACATCATCCATGATATGGAGAAAAAGGCTCTTCCCGAATTTTTCAATAACCGCAACCGTAGCAAAACACCATCTGTCTACAAGGACTATCGAGATTTCATGATCAACACTTATCGTCTGAATCCTGTCGAGTACCTTACGGTAACAGCGTGTCGGAGAAATCTTGCAGGAGACGTTTGCGCGATTATGCGTGTGCATTCCTTTTTAGAAAATTGGGGCTTAATAAATTATCAGGTATGTAACGTTAGAGTCAATGATAATCTCATAACTCACATATTCATTTAGGTTGAACCGAGCTCTCGCCCTTCCAACATTGGGCCACCGTTCACAGGCCATTTCAGAATTATTGCTGATACCCCTCGTGGCCTCCAACCTTTCCAGCCAGCACCCAACGCTTTCGTTACTCCAGGTAAACCCCATCCATCTACAGAGAAAGCCGCCGCAGCGGCGCCTCCTGTTAAGGCCGATCTAAATCTTGAAATTCGCCGTAATATCTTCGATGACAAAGGGAAGGAAGTCACTAGTGATGATAAAGATAAACAAGACAAACAAACAAACGGTGATAAAACGGTCACCAACGGCACAAGCACCGACTATTCTGCCAAAGGCGTGGATGGTGCGGCACGAGCAAAG